AAGACCATGCACACCCAATTAGTGCTCGTCGGCAATTCTTACCATCCCCGGCCGCCCCTCCCTCCCGCCTCTATACATCCCACTTTTACTACATTTTCCTCTTTCAACCTCCACAGAGGCACCAGACGCTCGTATGAATTCTCAAGAAGGTTACCCAGCCAAACGCCTATATACACTCAGCGGCTACCAAGGATCATTGGAGCGATCATCGAGCGATCTTCCGGCGAAGCGTCACTTTCGAATGATTAAATGAATTATTAACCAAGACAGTTTATGCCCTTGCTGACCTTCGCTACTTGAGCTTGGCCAGATCGACCGTTGAACCCTTGAACCCCAATAAATCAATCTCCGGGAGATACCTTACTAAAGCTTCTTCTGGATCAGTCTTCCTTACGTGATGTTTTCTTTCTCCCAGATACACCCGGTGGAGGCGCCAACCAAGAACGTCGACAACATCCACCTGCAGACTGGCAGCTACACTGCGGTTACTACGTCCTCGGGTACTTCCGGTGGTACCGGAAGCGTGAACCTGTCGTCGCCGGAGAGTGCCTACAGCACCGGATACTCGACCGACGGGACGTCGCCCGGGACGAGCTTTCCTCCTGAGTATTACATAAATATTAGGACAGGAACGCACTACTTTCAAAGCGGCAAGGGCAGGGCCAAGAGGGAGGCTGGACTCTCGACCCTTGCTGGAAATGGAAAGGTCGGGGATTCCCAGGAGTCTGGGGAATCTGGGAAAATGCCTAGGGAGAATAAGGAGACGAGGGATCTCAGAACGAGCACCCCTAACAAGGTGAGGGCTGGATAACGGGCTGGTTATTAGCATTATGGGCTCTGAGGGGTTGGCGAATAATTTTATTTTCTCTATGTACTGTACACTCTGGGCATTTGCAGATAGGCGCTGATTGGGGGCAGTGGAATTTTTATTGGACGGGTAAACGGAGGGTGTTAAAAGTACGTGGACCATTGGACAGGAGGATGGTTTGAAAAGTTTTTAATTATACCCAGGTCATCCTGACTTCAGGTTCAGACAATTATTCATGACCTTTTTATTAATGAACCTTCGTGTCGGACTTAATTAGAAAATATCCAACATTTATTCTGGACTTTGAGCACTGTGTTTTTTTTTTCTAATTTTTTTTCCCCCCTTTTGTTTTTAGTAACCATCTCGCTTACTTGCAAAATTACTTGAGTCTCGAGGAGATGCCGGATTTTGTTTCTGGCTCAGATACACTCGGCTGACCCGTAGGAAGGTTCAAGAGGAAATTTGCACATCTGAGATTAGCATCGCTTCGTCGGGATTCACCTCTGGTTTTACCTCTCAAAAGGGCTTCCTTTTCCTACGGTCTTCTGTTACTGGCAAAGCTTTGACATACCGGGTTGCGGACCCGTTTATCTCGTTCCGGAAATACACCGTGGTATAGTTTCGAGCGAGGTTTTTAACGAGAGATAGAAAAACGTGGCGGAAGTATCGTTAAGAGATTTTATTCTCCCATAATGGTCGTGGAGTTATCATGTATTTTGTTTTTTTTTTTTTTTTTTTCTGTGGAATAAAAATCCACTCGTATATGCATTACTAATGCGCTTTTGTCAAAAAGATATTCTAGAGACAAAGGAAACAATTGTAATTACGTTGAAACCTTTTTTTTTTATCCGCCTAAAACTTTGTACTGAAAATTTGAGTTGAATTCGACGCTTCTCATTTACATTCTGTCCAGACTTAAAATAATGACTAGACCCGTGAGTTATGTTCACTTGGTAAATGCCACGTTGGGCTTTCGTACATTGATAAATACGTATATCTGTCATTTTGCAAAGAGGTAAATGCAAAGAGCGGGGTAGAAAGAGTCGTCAGAGTATTTTACTTTTTTATTTTTTATTTCCCAACCTATCGACCCTGCCAATTCGACGGGCAATAAGCGCGGGACGCTTAATATGCTAATTAAATTACTCGTTGTCCAGATAAAAGTCCCAGGTTCGAAAAATCGTTATTTGAAAATTTCACAGAAACAGTCCTAACAGTTTTTCTTCTCCGAAATATTACTGGTTGTCAATTGAAACTTTTTTATCCCGAGCCTTTTGTCGTCGTGTCGGAGCTCAAATAACTTCTTGTTCAATGTGTACGTCGCTTCGATCGATCGGTGTAAGCTAAAAGGGTATGAACAAAAAAGTATATTGAAAATAAATGACAAACACCGAACACCACTCCCACGTCCCGTCCAGTCGTTCAGTCTCATCCCCATTGCTCCATCCTTGGCAAGAGAATCGGATAGCAGACGATAGCTTCGATTACACTAGATATCCTGAAGTAGAGCCTGGACGTTCGACGTGGGTTATCGAATCGATTTAATTACCAGTGATTGGCGCCACTGTCTCGAACAAAACCTAACTTCACTCGGGATAAACTTTGTGGAGTTCGCGAGTTCAGCACGCAATCAGATTCCGAGCTTTGTCCTGCAGGAGGATCCCGTTAGGTATCCCGGGTCTGAAGAGCAAACTAATTTCATCCCCTTGAGAAAAGGGGTTGAAGCTGTCTTATTCTATAAATAAAATCGACGAGGAGCAAGCTGAACAGCTGAGAAAATATTGATACTCCTTGAAGTCTCTTGAAAATGATTTTTCACCTTTTCCAACAAAGTTAAATTAATATATCTTTCTTTCAGGGTCCTGACGATCCAATCAACCAGGTCTCTAAGCAACAGGAACAACAGCTGCAACAAAAACCCTCCAGCCACAGACGTACCGAGTCCTACTCTGCTGATTCGTCGCGAAATAATTTGCCAGTACCTTCCTCAATTCCGCCACCTCTTGTTTCACCTCCTGTCCAATCACCCAGGCAACGTTCGCGCATCAGGACGAATCCATGGCTCTCGGCCAACTCTTCAGGCTCCAGCACTGCCGGCTTCAAGTCGAGACTTACCCTCGACGAAACGAGTAGCAGCTCTGGTCTGAAGCTGACTGAATCCTCTGGGAGTGCCAGTGACGTGAACGTGAACAACCCTCGGGACAGTCTTAGTAAAAGACGAGAAGGTCGTCAGGAGAGTCTCAGCGCTGGACGTAGTCCGTTAGTATCTAATGATCATTGTTGATGATGTCTGGCGTCAGACCTGGCTAGGGTAATCTTATTTAAAAAAACTGTCACAGTATCGTGTCGGACATGTAAACGAATAACACAGTACGCTTGATCAAGGGAATTGGAGCGATTTGTACCTTGGGTACTTTGATGATGACTTTCTGAACAAGATTAGGTCGGGTCAGGCGTCATCATCAGGGAAAATTGAGTGTTTGTAAATTTTATCTTGGTCTGCCTGATCATTGAGTGCCGCTTCAAAAGTCTTCACAGTCTTTAATTAGCGGCGACGGGACGTGACAGCTCATCCTCTTCTTCTTGCTCTTCTTCCTCCTCCTCTATCTGTTCTCCTTTTACTTCTCACTGTGTTGTTGGTATCCGATTGAAATTTACGCTCTAAAGGAAGTCGTTACACTCAAGTTCCGGTAGTCGTAGACGATTAGGGGAGGAAACTATGAAATAATAATGATCACTCCTATTTCAGGATCAATCAGAACTGGAGAATTTCACCGGGTATGGAAATCAGACCTAAGGTACCTCTTCCCCGACGTAGCAGCAGCAGTTCGTCAGCGTCTTCAGTGACCAGGAGTATTCGCTCTTCGGAGGACGACATCACCCTCAACGAGATGATGGGTAAATTCGATGAGAGTTACGTGTACGAGAAGGAGACGGACATCCTCTCGGATAGCGATCCAACCGATTGCGAGGACTATATAGATTCCCTCTCGGATATAGACACTGGTCAGGATGGCGGCGACGAGAACGATCCCTTCGAGAATGACGATTTCGACTACATCGACAACGGCTCCTTCCTCGATCTGGATAAACTCGATGGCGTCGGACACTTTCAAAATACCGGACACTGCACGTACTTCACATTCACCAGCGAGCTCAATCGACGTGGCACGAGACTTCGGGAGTCATTTTTGAAACGTCGCTGTAAGGAGGAGAGTGCGTCTCACAGATCGAGCGTTCGAGGTGGTACGAAGCGGCAGAGCATCCGGCATAAGAAAGTGGACGACAAGCAGAGTGAAAAGAGAAAGAAGCGCGTGTCGCAGCGAAGAAAAGCAAATTTGGAAAAGTGTGACGACGAGACGGCTCATTTGAATCGCGTACTGGTAGAGAGGATGCTGCTTAAGAATTCGGGATTCAATCAGGGTAGCAGAAGCGTGGGCGGCACTCCGATTTGTCTAAGGAGAAGGAAGCACGACGTTAACAAGAATTTGTCGCCGATAAAGATAAACGATAACTGTACGATAGAGCCTACGATTGTCGAGAGTGAGATTGTTAAGAGAAGATCGAATTCCGTGAGCTACGTGAACGGCAATATGGTCAGGAAGCGACTAACCGATAATACGTACATGACGACATTTGCCTCGGAAATTGCATTAATGGAAGCTGACAAGGAAGCCGATAGAAAGTACAAGGAGCTCATCCTCGAGGCAGAGAATATCCTGGTGAATATGAAGAATCATTCGTCGCCGATTATACCGTCACCTAGGAAGATTCACAATGGCCTGGCGAATAAACGTGTCGAGCTGATTAAAAATACTGAACTCAACATCGAGCTGGCTCTGTCGAAGAGTCGAAATTCCCAACCGGAACTTCAGAGCGGAAGTATCAAGGACTTGGAGCACACCAGTCCCAAGAGACAATTCACTCAACCCTGTTCGCCCATTCATAGATTCATGGAACGCAATTCACCAGGTACCATAATCCCCAAGGAGAATCCGTACAAGCAGGACTTACCTAAGTGTCCTGGTTCCCCAGCAATGTCTAGGAAGACGCCGCAGAATTCACCCAGCAGGAACTTTATGCAGGGACGTATACGTATCGCGGAACCCGAGCTTAAAGAGACCCTTAGAAATCAAATGACCAACAATCTTTACAATGGCTTGGGCTCTCCGAACCTTAACGAACGCAGTATAACGTCCCTGTGCAATAAGAACCAAGTGTTAACATCTCAGCGGGAAAAGTCCATACCGGCTAGAAAAGACATTCGCACTCCTAGATTCACCAAGGAGGAAGGACTGACCTCAAGTTCATCAGACTCCGAAGAGCGTTGTGAGGTCAGACGAAAAGCTCCTCTGCTAACGTTCAGGTGATTTTTGATAATATTTTTTATCCTGAAAACAAAAATTCCCCGTCAAACAGTACTTTTGCTATATTCGTTAATACCAATCGAAAAGGTATCTTGAATCTCTTAGATCCGTCGACATGGGTCCAATCAGAGAAGCCTCGTCCTATTGTCCTCAGAGCGAACCAGTCAAAAGAAAGGTTTACGCCGGAAGTGCGACCTACGGCCGGATTCAAAAGACTCTGGGTGAACATCATGCCATGCTCAGAAATTCAGACGGCGACACGGCGACCGACGACACTGGTATATATTTTATTTATGTCATTGAATAAGCAAATGGAGTATACTGTGTCATGCATTTATCACGTTACTCACACGTCATGAACGTGACTGTCCTCCACCTTTCTTTATGGAATTCTCAATTGTACGGATTTTCCAGACGACTCGAGGCGATCCTTGAGAGAAAAGGTTGCGCAACTGAGGCAAGAGAGACTCGAAGCAGAGGCGAATATGAACGCTCAGGATACTCAACTTTTTCAACATCAGCTTTCTCAACTACGCCGACAAATGCTCATGCAGACTATCGAAGGCTTGAAGCGTAGCCTGGAGGATCAGTCAGCCACGTTGAAGCAGACTTGCTTAGAGTCTGTTATAAGCGACGACATGCCTTAAGGGCAGTTTCGTTATCACTGAAGTACAGTACTTCAATGTATATGTATACTATATATTTGATAATACGGTACGACTTTTTGAAAAAGAAAAAAAAAGGCGAACGTAATTCAGGATAACACATGACGAATTTATCGGGTGGCCCTGGGTGCGTATGAGGAAATAGAATGATTTTGGAATTCAATGATTATACAAGGTGAACTCTAATGTTACGTGTTAACGGTGCAATGCATATCCCTGTACTATTTTGACATTCGCACCAGGGATTCCCCAATGGTATCATAGCGATTTCTCAGTACTTTGCAAAAATGATAATGGCGAATGTGACTATATATAATATATATGAGTATGCTCTACGCGCGACTGGATATATTTTTCTGCCTGTGTACGTGGTACGAGAAATGAAAATTTAAAGATGCTACAAATATTTTCTGGACACATTTTCCTCTGCTGTTCGTTCTGTCAATGTGCAAGGGACGCTATTTTTGACACGCAAGGGTTTCTATTTATTCGGTTTTCCGCCATTCGAGGATTCCTGAGGTTTGGGAATCAGCCTGACTTATCTATTTCTACCGGATACGTACCGATAATTATTTTCGAGTCCAACAAGTTCTCGAGGTCATGAATACTCATGGGGTGTAGAAGACCTTTTGTTTTACACTTTTGATTGTACAGTTGATTTTATTCGCGTCGATTATAATTAAATCGAGATCTTCCTTTCTTAATAATTTTCATCTAGTTTGAATATAGCGGTATAAACATTGTGAGCCTCCTATCGGAATACTAGTATGCGTAGATGCATAGAATGGGCCTATTCGAGGGTCTCTTATTATCCATATCATGCCTAGTGTAACGAAAATGAAAACGCCAAAAAAAAAGTGTGACGTTGAAAAGAAAAAGAAAGAAAGAAATAATAGCATGACGCATAGTAACGTTAAACGAGGATCAAGAGCATAGATTTAGAAGCGATAACAAAAACTACCCTGCAGACACTCTTAACAGATACACAATAGTTGTTTAGTAGATGATTTCAAGAATTAAATTATAATCGACTACCCGTTAGAAAGATAATCGTAATTCGTTAGCCCAGTGAATATGGCCCAGTCCTAAGTAAAACAATAATTAAAGAAAAGTAAAAAAAAAAAAAGAATAGTACCCTCAAACTCTTTCTATCGCAGAGTAAACATACATAAGAAAATGAAAGCGCACTTTTAGACAACTACGTTTTGAAAGAATAATTAGAAAATTATTCAAGGCAAGTTTGATTTAATAACAACAGTAATAATAACAATATTAATAATAATAGCTTACCTCTCTCGAATCGCCTTAGATTAGAATCAACTTATTATCGTTAATGCGTTTTCAAATCGTGATTAATCTATTTCCTCTGTATATTTTATTTTTCTTGTAATTCAAACTAATGTTTTTTTTTTCTCTCAAATCATTTCTAATGGCATTGTTCCTAATCGACACAGTCAACTGAGATTATAAAGATAATACAATCTGCAAAGACATTTGTCACTTCTGCCGATAGAATGAGGATTTCCCTATTGTATACCAAAGATAAAGGATTAGGATAAAAAAGATATAATAAAAGATCTGCATAGTTAAACAATGGTACTACACCGAGATTAGTATACCTACCGTTAGTAACATTATAATAGAATTACTCGAGAGGAGGTCTATAGAACGTCTAGATTAGAATTTAGTAAAGGATAAAAATTCATCTCTGAGGAATGATTTCTATTTCTTTTCTACGTGTACCAGGGTCGTTTGCGATGATACTTTCCAGTTTGTCCTTTCGGATTAATTATATTACTAATTTAAGAAAATTAATTAATGATTGTTTCATATACCTATAAGAGAGAATCTTTATGGTTCATTGATGGTTCGATAACGATCCTTTAACGACAGTTATTGTGAAGTTTTGTTTAACTTTGTCATTCATCATACCTTTGACTCTGGTATCACTTTAATCTATGATGCACTTTCAGTCATAGTGATATTTTTGTGAGAATAGACTGATAGCGTTATCAATTCTCGTCGTTTAGATTAAACTTATTAGCGATTATACATTCTTATGTGATTTACTTTAAGAATTTTTGCGAGATGGGAAGATATTGTAATGCGCACATATTCATTTGTGTTAGATATTAGGAGGTCATAGGTCAATATGAAACATTTAGAGACACTTGAAGTAGGATTAGGTGAATACCTTGCCTAGCGTATTAGGGCACTCAGTATGTTAGAAAGAGAAAGAAAGGGAAAAGAAAGAAGGAGAAACTGCATTTATTTCGGTTTCATTGTTTTATTTATTTTTTTTTCCCGTAATTAGTTGTAACTAAATTATTCGATATAACGTTGGAACGTTGGTTCTTTAATCGTTAATGTACGTAATACGTACGTTACGAACTAAACTAATTGGCGTAACTATGTTGTGGATTTTGAGACTTAAATGATGTACATAATTAGTTTAATATTAAGTGAGAATCATGATTCTGTAATTAATGTATAAGTTGAACTCTGAGATATTGTGGATCTTTGATTGTCTCTTAAGTTTTATGTCCGAACATTCCAGGAGCACAAAATTATGGAAACTGTATTGTCTATGCTAAAAAGCATCTGTCCAAATTCTAATGATTAAAACGAAATAGTTACTTAATGATTATTCGAGCAGTCGCCCTGCCAGCGATTGGCTCTAGTCATTTGATGGACCTCGCAGGGTGGAATTGGCAAATCGAAAACTTTTCATTAAAATGAAAATATTGTTACAAACAATATTACCTATGTAAACAAGCCATTTATGAAATTAAATGGGGTTTTTTGTATATGATTATGAATAAATTATATTATGTCGTTGGATATATAAGCTGTTTTTCTTGTCATTTATTCATATTTTATTTATTCTATATTGCGAGGTCAGATTTACATTTTGTCTATGCTGTTAATACATCCATTATTGATACAATATAGATATAAAGAATCTCAAAAGAAAATAGTAAATTTTCTCCAAATAATTATCTCATTTATTAATCATTTTTTAATACATTAAAATGGCAATAAGTCTCATCATTTACATATCACACGGAAAGCCAAAAGTGTCAGAATAGTCAAAATCTTAATATTGTGTGGATACACACGTTCATTTATAATTTACTTTACCTTCTCAAATTTGTGCTCAATCTCAAAAATCCCACAGGGGGTCTTAGTCTTATCACAATAATCAGCCCATTCGCCTTCAGATAGATCAACATCCTCGAATTCTTTTCCTTCACTAACAGCTCGCGCATACCATCCTTCTCCTGGTGAAAAGTCAATAGGCTCTATCCCTCGACAATCAAATACTACCATTTGTTTGAATTCACCATTATCATCAATAGTGTATGACTGAATGGTGTCTTCTAAAATGGTCATGGAGTTCTCTCGATGACATAGTTTGCATTTGCTGACAAAATGATTCACCATGTTTCCCCTTGGTGATCGTGTAAATACTGACAGAGACATGTACTGCCATTTCTCAAGGACCTCATCGCAGTTACTGCATTTAAATTTAAGACACCATTGAAAATCTGGACCTAAAGGCTTTAACTCTTCTATGCTGTCCAAATTTGCTTTTAAGAAGAGGGCAATTTTAACCATTTTTTATTTTTGCAGCTGTTATTCTTGATCTTAACGTCCCACAGGTTATATTTATAAAAACGTATGATCAACGTTTCTCTTATTTACTGGATCCTCTTCAGCCTCTACGAAAAGTCGTAGCTCTATATGAGGTATTACATTTTCTAGAAAATAACGACTTATCGGGAATTCATGAAACTTCTATCTGCTTCTATAAAATATAAGAAATTCAAAGTATTTACCTCACTGTCTCATCACCAAACTCCGAGATTAGAGAACGATATAATCATAAGCTGGAGTCACGAGCAATAGTGGATTGTGTCAACGAAATTCAGACGTCTGAATCGTTCACTGTGTGGACAAGTGAGGACACTAGCATGGCTGACACCGCTGATACCAGCTGACACTAGTTCGTATATGTAGTTGCAAGAATGTGGTGTAATCGAGAACGTTTGGCTGTTTTCTTTATTAGTTTATGCTTAGTAATAACAAAATGCATTGCTGAAGATATATTAGGATGTGGTGGTTTTGTAAAGAGTCATGCGGATATTGATTTTTCGAGAGTTCACATAAAATTGTAAGTAAAACTTTGTGTCAGGGTTATGACACGGCATGTTTCAGTCGTAACCGTAACCAGCTACAAATTTATAACTAATGAATGAAATTTATTCCTATATCAGATTTACTAAGGCTGGCAGCTTGAAGGATCAAACGGAGTGTGCTCCAAACAATGGATATTACTTTCTACCCCTTTACGATAAGGGAGAATACATATTAAAGGTAAAGCTAAGTCTGCTGAAACTGATTTCATTTTACATTAATACTTGTTATTTTTCCTACCGTTCTAGTTTATATAATAAACAAATATTATTGGAAATCATAGAATTCACTATTAACACACATTTTAATTTTTGTTTAGATCGATCCTCCTAGAGGTTGGAGCTTTGAGCCCACTGAGGTCTTTCTGAACGTAGATGGTTCTACCGATGTATGTAGTCAAGGAAAAGATATTAATTTCACATTTAAAGGTTTCGGCATCACAGGAAGGGTAAGTATTTCTTCATTCTCAACATTATTCAATAAAATATCAGCCACAGGTAACTTGTACTTATTTATGTAACAGGTAACCAGCAGTGGTACAGATTCTGGTCCGAAAGGAGTCACCATATCTTTATACACAGAGAGTAACAAGTCCACTCCAGTTGAAGTCACCACCACTGCACAAGGTGGTACTTTTTACTTTACTCCAATTCAGCCAGGAAAATATATACTAGTAGCTTCTCATCCAATGTAAGTATAAAACCATTATCCTGAATCCTGTTCTTCGCCAGATATACGTAACACAAGTGTACTACTGATCCTCCTTGTAGATGGGTAATCGAGAAATCTACAGTACAAGTAACGGTACAAGAAGGAAATACTGAACTCTCTGATAATAGTTTGGTCGTATCTGGTTATGATGTTAGTGGTCGTGTCAGTAGTGAAGATGAACCAATGAGTAGAGTTTCATTTATTTTATTCGGGGTAACGTTAACAGAATCTTTACTGTATTACAAAACAAAACTCAATATTGTATAATGTTTTATTGACATTCAATCTATCATTCTAGACCGGCAAGGCGAGAAATTGCGCAACCACTCCGATAAAGGGTTTTGAGTCAAAGAGGCCACTTTGCCACGTTACTTCAGATAAGAATGGTAGATTTACATTCCCTTCGTTATCACCTGGTGATTACAAACTTGTACCTCACTATGCTGGAGCACAAACGAAATTCGATGTTCTGCCAACGGAGTTGTCATTCAAAGTTAGCCACGACAGCCTTATTCTTTCTCAAGATTTTAAAGTTACCGGCTTCACGGTCAGTGGCATTGTCCTCACAGCACCACAAGGTAATCCTTTGGCAGGAGCAAAGATCTTCGTGTCAGGGCGCGAAGTGGCTATCACAGATAAAGGTGGACGGTATATTGTGGATAACATGAAGGCTGGGCAGTATTCTTTAAAAGCGGAAGCTGGTGAGTATCTGTTTGTCAGATATAGTGCATGCAGTGAAAAAAGAAGAATTCTAACATGGATTTAATTACATTGTAGCTGATGTACAATTCGAAGAAAAGGTAGTCAAAATTTCACCAAACTCACCGGAATTTCCAACACTGTCACCTTCTTCGTACAAGGTTTGCGGTAGAGTAACACTCTCAGCAAAAGGAACATTGCACCATCGTAAAGTTGCTATACATAAAGTAGGTTCTACTTTCTATGAGGAAATAGACACTGACCCTAAGACTGGAGAATTCTGTTTGTACCTGATACCAGGAAAATATCAACTTAGTGTAATAGTTACTACCGAAGAAAAATCCAAAGGATTACAGTACGTATTGCTTTATTTGTTAGAATACAAAATTCCCCATTAAACTACAACTAATAATATGTATTTCTGATATATAGATTCTTTCCATTGCAACAAACAATCGACGTCACATCCAGTCCGATTGGTAGCATTAATTTCTTGCAATTGAAAGCTACTCTAAAGGGTACGGTTCAATGTCTGAAGGACTCTGACTGCAGTCAAGTTTCTGTTACCTTAAAAGTTCTTGATGGCATTACTATAAAAACGATACAGGCGAAAGGTGAGCTTATAATTAATATAAAAATTATTCCCATACATCTATTACCATAATTTTTTTCAAAATCGCGGTAACGAATATGAAAAAAGTACTTTATTCGTTATCGCGACCAGTAATCGTTTTGAATTATACTACTTTCCCGTTCTGTGAAGTAATTTTTCGATACACAGATGGGGAGTACGAATTCTCAAACATTCTCCCAGGATATTATGAAGTCCTAATAGACACTGATATGTTCTGTTGGGAAAATCCGAGTCACAGAGTATCCGTCACGTCAGAACGGGCGGAAGTACCACCATTTAAACAAAGCGGATATTCGGTTACCTTTATCTCGTCCCACGATACGGTTCTTGAATATTCCGAACCAAACGAAACCGTTAGAATTCACCTGACTCTTCCTAAGGGAAGTACACGACACTGTGTCTCGAATCCTGGGGAATATAAGTACATCCCTAAGAGCTGTCATGTTTACGCCAGAACCTCTTACAATTGGAACACCAGCAATCTGTCTCCAGTTATTTTATCATCCACGGAACATAGTCATAAAGGCAGTATCATTAGTGCTGCCCTTGTGGAAGGTGTTAAAGTAAAGATTGAAAGTGTCGGAGAACCCATAATGTAAGTATGCAGAAAACGAATATATAACCTTAAAGAATAATCCACTGTATACTGTTTCCTCACAGACTTGGTCCATTGAAGGGAGAAAAGAAAGGAGATGTGTACAAATATGAATTTGAATTCAATGCAAACACCGATAACGAATATACCATTACTCCACTTTCGGATATACTATTGTTCAGTCCACTATCATTGAAAGTGGTCGGTGTTAATGACTGCCACGATGACATAGCAACATTCACTGGGGATTTAGGAAAAGTAAGTACACCGTATAAAATATTCTTACAATATCATTAACTTATTTTTATCTACAGATTGTAAAAGGTAGTATTTCACCTCCTTTGGAAGGAGTTACCGTTAAGATATTTGGAAAGGATAAGGATGCCCCTGTACAGACTTTGGTTACACAGAAGGACGGTCTCTACAGAGTAGGTCCTCTCGATGGAAAAGTGGAATACAGGTAATTCTATTTAATAAATTATATTACAGAAGTGTTCGCTGTAAAGTATATATATTTCTTTTAATACCCAGCGTCACAGCTGAGAAGGAAGGTTTTGTAATTACTGGACCAGATGCCAAAGGAATTTTCTCAGCTCATAAACTCGCTGAAATAATAGTCGAGGTTTCTGACCAGGCCGACAACGCACCACTCCAAGTAATAGCTTATAAATATAAAAGTAATGAATTTCTTGATAACAGATAATCTATACATTACAATTCTCGACTTTTTACAGGGCGTCCTTCTATCACTTTCCGGTGGTCAAAGTTACCGAAAGAATAGCGTGACCGGAGAAGATGGTCAAATGACCTTTAATTCTTTATCACCCGGAGAGTATTATCTCCGGCCAATGATGAAGGAGTATCGTTTCGACCCACCCTCAAAAATGATCAACGTAGCTGAAGGAGCGACAGTCCGAGTAAAACTATCAGGCAACCGAGTCGCATTCAGTGCTTACGGATCAGTAACATCCTTAAACGGCGAACCTGAGCCAGGTCTTCTGGTAGAAGCGCAAGGACAAGGGGAATGTTCATCCCTCCAGGAAGAAGCCACAACAGAGGAGAATGGAAACTTTCGTATCAGGGGTCTTCAGCCGTCGGTAAGTATCAAATTAGATACATCACAATAAATCTTACAATTAGTCACAGTTATTCCTCATGTCAATATTTTATGCACAGTGCTTCTATGCCATTCGTCTGGAACCAAGCGCAGAAGCCAATTCGCATATTCAACGTGCAGCACCCAGCTCCATTGCTGTTCAAGTCACTGAAGATTTGCATGGACTTCGTCTAATAGCTTTTCATCCAATATCTCGTACAGATGTTTCAGTTCACGTAGTTTCAGCTCAGCCTGAACACTATCGTACATTGAAGGTCAAACTGTGTAGAGAAGATATGCCAGACTCACCAATTCACATATCAAAACTCGACAGTCAGCACAATGCCAAGATTGGTACCAGCTATAATTCTGGTTTCCTCATTCATTTCCCACCTCTACAAGCCGACGGTAAAAAGTATTTTGTACAGTTGGAATCATCCCTGTCACAAACCTTACACAAGTACAAAACCATTCCCGTATACTTTGAAGCGAATTCGTCGTTTAAGCATGTGAAATTAACATTCAGTGCCGAAAGGAAGGTCGACCAGGGTGATATGAATCAGACCTCTATCGTTGCTTTGCCCTTGATAATGCTCGTAGCCTTAACATTTTTGAATCGAGAAAAATTAATGACTTGGCTAAATACTGTGGTTGAAAGATGGTCCAAGCCGGTACCTATTTCTAGGGCTCCGGTACCAGCCATTCCAATTGATCCTCGTGCTGACGATATTATCGTTGAACAGATTATGAACATTAATAAGAGAAAGACTAAGCCGCGTAAGACATAAACAATTGTTTATTTTTAATTTATTTATGTACTCATTTTAATTCCTTTGGAATCTATTGTTTTTTTCTCTCTTGGAGAAATTACATTTACTGTGTATATACAGATAGAGGTATAATCTTCGTGAAAAATATCAATGGTGTTTTTCTGAATATAGAAAAACTGTCAAGGAACATTGTCAGTGCGAACGTGAGATGTAAATGAAATATTACTGCAATATTATGACTAAGAGCAATGTATGTGTCTGATCGTAGACAAGAACACAAAATAATAATGAAATTGAAATGTTTATTGAATTCTTTAAATTGACTAGCTACATGATCTATAAAATATTTTGCCTTTGAATTATGTTATCTCTCTTATCATAAGCTATTGCGTCAATTTATCCAGCGGTTTGCAAAACGCGCTGGTACTGTGATCCACAAAAACATCGAATTTTTCAAAGATATTTTGATATTATATATCTATACCGATTGATCCTGTTCGCGTTGCCTGCACTAAATTCACCGGTGTAAAAAGTGTGAATTTTTTTTTGGTTCTTGATTCTCGTTAACCGATGTCAATGTACATTATTATTATACTTGTACAATTGGTTCAGACTAGATGAACAAGTCAAATGACGTCGGATTAAAGAAGTCGTATTACGTAAGTACAGTGACACAATATTTTGCACGTGCAAAACATGAAAAAATATATAAATTACATACGCCTACTGTCATTATGATATTATAATGATATCCGATACGAATAATTATTACTAACGTTTCTATTAGATTTCTTCTGCCTTCATTTCGCAATATCAATTTTCCCTGTTCTTTGCGCGAATGCAAATTTTAAGATTGTGGAGGGTGAATAAAAAACGGTTTTTTATTTATATAACATCAATATTATTATTTTCAAAATATACAAGTGGTTTTCAGGTTTTGATTTGAACTCTGAATTCTGGCAACAGAGTATTCTATAAGAAATTCATCTTTGATACTTTATTTAATTGGAATATATCGTTTTACCTCCACCAGTGCATCCTTGCAAGAAATCCGCCACAATAATCACATTTCCTAGAGCATATAAAACGTCTGTAAACAGAAAAAGACATTTGGTGTAATACAGAACGATGTATATTGTCCATTTATTTAATAATTAATAAAGCACTTATCATTTGCGGTAAATGAAATAAATTGATAAAATATTATTGATATTTATTTATGTATAAATCATTATAGTATATAGAATATTTAAAAACCTGTGGTGATATCTCGTAGTAACATTTCTGGATGCTAAATGATCGATCGCATTTGTCATCTTTCGGTGGATGTCGCTTTTGGCAAGTGAGCAACGTCTGGATAATATTTCCTTTGAATTCGTCGGGCAACAGAGCCTCTATGATTTCTGTTTTAATATTATCATTCTCATCAAGCTGACAAGGGAGAACAGTAACATTAATGATTTATTTTACACATTACTTTCTTGCACCCTTGCTGTTTCAAGATGGCCTTCACTTACCAGATCCATTTTTTGCCAAAGGCAATGAGAGTAACACTGTCAACAAATTGACCAAAATATTTTAAATGGTCAAGATACCGCGGATTATAATTATTTAAAAATGTCAAACACTCCAACTTACCCCTATGATCTTTCCGTCTTCAAAGTTTCCGGTATTCACCTTTCTAATTTGTTCTGAAACAACGGAAGTCATAAGAAAAACTGTTAAATTTTTTGAAAAAATCATTAACTCACCGTCAGTTACATTAGTTGTACTCTTACAAGATTCTGTTAAAGGTTTAGCCAGCTGTACAATTGCGTTTGAAATGAAAACTGGCCTATCCTAAACGAAACAGATGTTTTATTAAATCTTTCGTTGAATCTCGTAGTATTTACTAGTCAAGACTTACAGCATCGATTAATGGAGTATTGACGATTAATAATATTAAGAATGTCGTTAATGAAACTAGTCGATCCATCTTTTTCATATAATAAATAACTGACTGAAAACTGTACCGTACGTTATGCCGAACAAAATGACTTATTCCTTGTGCTCTTAAGAAATGACGAATCTTTTTGCAAAACGTCGGACTACATATGTACGTAGCTGCTTTGACATTCGAAAAAAATTAATATGAACGATCGATTTAACTTTTATAGCCAATCAGAAATGACGATTTTTTAAACTGCAAATTCTAAAAAACGACATATTGGGCGGAGCGACGTTTAAATTTTTTGCGTGATTTGGATTAATTGTGAAATAATGAATGATAGTCACGAGAGCTTTGCTGTAAAATCATATATTTATCTGACACATCCATGATACAGGTATCGATTGATATTTTTTTTTACTTTTTAACCATGACACCAAGTGCATCGTATGCGTGCAGTGATAACATATAATTAAATAAATAATTCCAATGCATTCGGCGATTTCAAATTATTGAGCATTCTTTAACTTGGTCTTATATATTTCCACCTTGATATTCTTCTCGACTATTATCTTTAAGTAGACATCATTAAAACAGATAGTACGTCTGCAAAGAGAACAATTTTTTTAATTCTTCTCATTATTAATCACCATGTCAAATCAGTATCAATTATAGTTACCCTTGGTGACTGTTCCGCGTAACACTTGTTGAATGTATATGCGTATTCGCAGTTGTCACCATTAGCTGAAAAAGCAATGAAAAATATGCCAACTGAACGAGTATAAAAACGAATGAACGAATAACATCAATAACTCGAGTATCGTGAAGAAAAATGTCATTCCTCAATTTTCTCAACGTCATAATCATTCGTCACCAAAACTAATATCAATTACCTTCCAAGATCGTAGGAGTCTAAAAGGACCCCATACTTTATATTTGTGCCAGAATAATTTTGTTGAATTAACAATGAATTTGAGTGATAAAACAAATTGATTCTCCTATACCTATACCAACGTATAAAGAACAATAATTGCCAGTGTGAAATAATATTGTTGCGTTGGTCATCATATCATATTGGATTAACAAAATAGCCCCCATGCCAGTACTAGTGTTAGAAAGGCTGACGTGGACTTCTTCAGGAATGACTCGAGTATAATGAAATATGCCATTTCTCAAATTTCTTAACGTCACGATCATTCGAGTCACTAAAACGAACAATACACAGTAGATACCGAAATATTTACCGATCCTCTTGCAAGTGTTTACTGCTTTCAATACTTCAGCTCGGAATGCTGGTATACGTTGGAAAAATGTCAGCATCCCATTGAGACTCAATTCCCTCTTATCATCCACAAGGCCGAATTGTTCCCAAAGGCAGTACATGTAACACTGTGCATATGAAATATTGCAGTAATAAAATTCACATAAAATCGTTTGATCTTTAATGATCATTAATTATATACTGTCAATCATTTGTACCTTAAGGGAACGTTCCTCGGACCATTGTCCATTTCGTACGGCTTCTATGTCGGCTGAAACGAACAGTATATAATTTTTACAAAATTAATCAACCCTCTCGAATCAATTGTGTGGTATTAATTATGTTACTGATGATTGCACGATAAAAATATATACCAGTAGATACTCCTGTCTCAGTCTGGCATGCGTTAACGACACTTGCAGCCATAGCTATCATGTCATCAGAAACGAAGCTGGGCCGCGTCTGAAAGACGTAAGTATTAATTAAATAATTATTTAAATATATTGATATTCTATTTTTTTTAAATACGTCACACTGATATATATAATAAAAAAATTACTGGATACTGATTCATGAATTACATTTTTTAATGCCAGGATTAATTATTGTAATGACATTTTGATGCGTTTATCATATTTCTTTATGAACTGTGCTAGATATATGTATTACAAGTAAATATATGTTACGCTTGTACCTGTGCAACATGGCAGAAGCTCTTGTATTGTGAAAATTATTGTGATCTGTCTACGAATTTTATATTGATTTCAAAAGTTACGTCAATTTAAGAGCTGTGGTTATTTTTGAGTTTATTTACAGTATGAATTTTCATACTGTATTATTATTATCATTAATAATGAAGATAAATTAATTGTGGAGGATTTTCTTGTTTTATATTTGACCCAGCAATCCATCGTTTTCATTCATTTCACATAACAAACGTATCCTGGTAAGTTTATTCTGCAGTAATTCGAAATTCGACACCCCCTCAATCCCTATTGTTCAATCTAGGATGTCGATGCACATACCCCGCAATGGACGATCGATGCTTGAAGAATACAGGCAACAGCTACCACACCGAAAATTCTCATTGTAGATCGTATATGCTTATTTAATTTGATTTCAACTCTCATGGTGATTTGTGTTATTCAATAATAATTATTCAACTTTGCCAGTAATCTATATTGAGAATATGAGCTTTACTCGGAGCCACCAAGGGTGCGACTGATCGCCGAGATGAGAGGAACGACCAGACGCGAGGGTGGCAGAGGAAAGCAGCGGAGTGGAGCTGATGGGAAGCTGGATATAGAAGAGGGTCCTGTCTATATCAACATGCCCTTTTCAATTGAAGAGGGCACAGATCAATCGTTTACTGATTTTAGGAAAATCATATTTATCACTGGAGCAGTTTTCCAGTTGGTCTTGGCTGTGGTCCAATATTCCACTTTCTGGTAATACAGAAAAAAAAACGAGCGTGTATAGCGTAAAATATTATGTACAAAAAATATATTACGCTGGTTAAAAATTCAAAAGAATGTATCATGCTTTATGTGCTTTTGCTTCTAAACGATTCTATTAGCATAAGTGTGTATATATATAATTTTTTATCACCGGATGCTACTAGTTAATATCGAATATACTCTGTACCTGTTGTAACACTCCTTCTGACCAATCTATGTTATTTCATCCAACTCTGATGACTATCACAGACAAATTTGTCACGACTAGACATTTTAATTGCTGTTCCGTAGCTCACCGCAATTGTATTCTATGAAATTTTCGTATTTTATAATTACAGCTGTCCTATTATTTACTGAAACATAAGAATCAGAGGCATATACTTAATGATATTCATCGTTATAATATTTTGTGCGTTAGTTCATCATTATAAATTATTTTCTGAAATATTTTCCACAGGATCTGTTGAGATACAGTCACGGTTCTTCCCCGTATACAGCCTTCTCGGTTTTACCTATAAAAATAAATGGAGGAAAGACATGACTGTAAGTCAGAATCATTATCTTTGGCAGGATATGTAATACTATACCAAAATTAAAGATACAGCAGAGTCATGAGATGGCCAGAAGGTAATTTCGTGGGTCAATATAATTCCGTCGGAGGTGCGCGAGTACTCCCGACTCAACCCGGAATAATCTTGCTTCGGGTACAGTCGCCCGCCGAAATATTGACCAGCTCTATCATCATTCATACAGTCCCATAGAATTTCAATGTCCTACCGCAATCAGTGGAGTATACGTGCTGATAAGAAGCAAACCTTTTCAATACCCGTAGAAAGCTGTAAAAGATCAGAGGATGTAAAGGGATCAGTAGTAGCGGTAAGAAGTCATTGAGGAGTCAGACAAAACTAGATCCTCGACTGTACTTCGAGCATTATGTACCAGTACAGTCCCAGAGATGCTAAATAGAGTTAGGAATTCGAAAATGTCGTCTGGCGTAACGAAAATGAATAAAAAACAATAATAAGGATTGCGTATTATCAGGAAAAGATATATGCTACGCAGAAGAATAACTTTTGGCGCGGATGCCAAGGTACTGGCGTTAACTATCGCGGGGACAAAATAACTTCCACAGACTGTACAGCTGGCGTTTCCGTACAGTCCACGGAACTGTAATTGACGACGCTCGCGCGTAAAGTGAAAATTATCAGTGTGTGTTTAAATTTCTCAGTGATGCGACAGTTGTTGCATGTAGGATGATTATCGGGTCTGTTCATTGATAGAATCAAAGCCATTTTGGTGGAAGATTATTTTCTATAATACAGTCAAAGCCCGAGTCGAGTACACGAGACAAAAGAATCTCGACGGACTGTACAACCGAAGTTGTATTGACTGAAGCGTTTTCTTCGTGTTGCTGCATTTCGCTTAAACCGGAATGTATTCCGTGCGTTACTTGTGAAAACACAGAGCCACGCTGGTTCCCCGTGAGATTATAAACCGTCAATTATACGGGAGAAGGATTGTACAAGTGCAATCGAGGAAATTATTTGACTACGGTCAACCAATGAGACTGCAATCCACGGACGCTCGAGTCTCGGGATCGTCGACGCGACGATGTCCAAAACGAGAAAGAAATCTCGCTTTTTGAGAGAACCTGTAATTACGGGATTGTATGCGAGCTAGGACATATTCGCCGATGCTTTTTGCAATTAACACAAAGAGGAAGAAACGTCGCGAGACACCCTGTTTGTTTAACCTGATTTGTTAGGTTTTTGAAAAAGCTACTTGTAGAGTACTGCCATTTGTCACGTGGCCTTGTTTCTTTTATCACGTCACTTTCGCGTGAAATTTAAATTCCCTGTGGGCTCGGCCGATACAGTGGTTTCTATATTTTTTATTTAGTGTATAACAGGTAGTGGGAAAAAAGACAATGGGCAAGACTAGGGGTGTTCATGAAACTACCCCCGAGTTGAGAAATCGAATGGTGGGAATGTATGAAGCTGGTTTGGGACTTAGGGAAATAGCAGCTGCTGTAAATTGTTCTGTGAGTTTCATACATTTATTTTGTGTTTTCTTTATGTTTGTCCAATAATTCTTTATTCTAATTATCATGATTTTGTTTCAGCAACGCACCGTGAAGAGGTGGTTGAATCGGTTTGATAAAGAAGGAACAGTTGAGACTCGAGAGAGATGTGGTCGAAAGAGAGCTACTACTGTCGAACAAGATGAAGCTATTATACGTCTTGCTACGCAAACTCCTATAACAGCTGCTAAAGCTGTGCTTCCAGCTTTAGGTCTCACTTGTTCCGTAGACACTGTAAGAGAAAGGCTTCACAAGGCTGGAATTCATAATTGGAGTCCATCGAGGAAACATATGCAAAGGATTCCACTGGGGTTGGTAGATTGCCAGCACCCTAGTCACGATAAGTAAACATTCTTCTATCGAGCGATTGGCATTGTTTCTATGACTTTTTGCAGATGCTAGAATACTTTGTCTTATTGGATATAACGACACTGTTTTCCTTGTGTTTATGAAATTTATGTTTCTTTACTCCATAATGCTGAAAGCCAAATCGATGGAAGAACGTAGATGTATCTTGAACATTTGGAAATTAATTACCAAAGCGCTCTGATTCTCAATTTTTTAACGTAGCTTTCCATCGTTTGGTACCCTTACGATGTTTCCAGCAGCGAAGGTGAAAGCGCAGCAATTCAACAAGCTGTTTGGCGTCCCACCGGTACCCAACTGGGTAAGAAAAAGGCAATAAAAGGCTCTAGCAGTAAAGCGAAGAAGAATCCAGGCAGTGGCAAGAAAAAGAACGTACCCAAGAAAGTGCGAGCAAGAGATATCTACGTAGGGGATGGTGCTCCTCTTGAACCCGTTAAGCAACCAATTGTCCAGCCAACATTTGTTTTTCCTTCGCAACACAATGTACAACCATCATCAAGTAACGAAATGCAAACTCCACCGCAACCTTTACCCTCCAGTCAGACCCAGTTCAGCAACGCTCTAAGTCTGGTTCAGCAGCCACAGCCTGTATATCAACATCCAGGACTGAACGTCGCCCAAAATTGGCCCTTGGATTTGGTCCAAGGAAGTCATCATTATCCGCAGGTTAGTATTTCAAATCAATGGAAATATTTTTGTTTTAGATATTTGGAAGATAAATTTCAAATTGTATGAGACGGACTTTATATTCCAGGGACAACCTAATCCAATACCTCACGATCATCCACCTCAACAGCAACAACTTCAGGAACTTCACACGCAACAAGAGCAGCAACAACAAGCCCAGCAACAGGCTCAGCAGCAAGCTGAACAACAAGCTCAGCAACAGATACAAGAACAGGTTCAACAGCACAATCAGCAAACCCATCATCAAAGTCTCGATCACTCGCAACATCAACCTCAGCAACTACAGCATCAACACCCACCCCAAAAACTACCAAGTCCTCGGGCGTGTAAAAATGTCAGATCGGATAGTTGCTCAAATTCCTGTAGCTCGAACGACAATAGTCAAATGTCAGATGGCGATGCTGAGTGTAGTAAAGATGGTATGAAAGATGGAAGTGAAGGAAAATCGAGAAGAAAGAAAAAAGGTGGCAAGGCGAAAGGAACTCTAGAAACTAGTGTGGAAATCAGGAACAGGATGATAGGGATGTCGGAAGCTGGACTGTCTACGTTATCTATTGCACTAGCAATTAATAGATCAGTAAGTGATATTTATATTTATTTTATACAAATTACACCATAATAATTCTACACAGCCTGAACCTGACCGGAAGGTATATAACGTGATAAATTTATCTTTAGGAGCGTACAGTGAAAAGGTGGTTGGAACGTTGGCATAAAGAAGGCAATGTTCAAACAAAAGAAAGAAAAGGTCGTCGACGAATAACAACGAAGGAGGAAGACGAAGCAATAATCGCAATGGCCACTCAGCATCCTCTCACAGCTGCTAAGTACGTTGCACCAGCTTTGGGATTAAAATGCAGTGTCGATACCATCAGAGAGAGGTTGCATAAAGCTGGAATTCATAGCTGGAAACTTGGAAAGAAACAAGGGTACGTAATTCAAATAAATCTTTAAGAAGACGAAACTTGCAACTAACCCATCTTCATCTTCTTCAGGGAAGGAAACGCAGTCCACACTGTACACCTTTGGCAACCCAGTGGTAACCGTCCTAGCAAACCAAAGCTTCCCGGTGAGAAGAAGAAGAAATCATCTGTAGGTAAAAAGCATGAGCAAACCTTAGGCGAAACTCCTAAGAGAGCGCCCAGGAAGAAGAGAACGGAACCGGCACCATTGAAGATGGTGCCGCCACCTGCAAATATGATACCTGAACAAAATACAATACAATTTCATAATCCTGCAACAAGTAAATATACATGTTATCATTCTTGTCCAAAAATCATAATTATAATTGGATCTCTCTGATCTCTAGCGGATCAAAATATTATTCATTAATTATAAGAACGAATTCGCTACCCAGTAGCGAGCTATGTTTCAGCACCTAACATAATGCAACCAGTACACAATATTTCTGCACCACCGCCAACGCTCGCACCTCCGCAGCCACCTCCACCGCCAGGTCCTCAAGGACCACCACCTGGTCCACCTCCAATGCAACCTATGGGCCCTATTATGCAACAGAGACCAGACTGCAGAATGATACCACCGGTTTCAAGTCAAGGAAGCAACGCCGTTGTTTATCCTTCCTGTATGGTTGGTAGCAACAGTCATGCAGGTCATATGGAACAACCGGATCCATTGAATTATGAGCCATACATTTGGAGCTTCTAAATCAAGTAGGTCACCAGACTAAAATTATGAAATTTGTATAGGCAGCCGTGCAACTTTATTTGCTCTGGATGAATATCATTTAATGATGACTTCTAGCAAAGGAATTTTAATATAAGGTGATTCGCAATATTAGATTATAACAAAGATGCATATATGCAATGCAATTATCATCCCAGTGAGTGTTTACCAGTAATTTTGAAACGTTCTACTAGTTTTTAAGATTTTAAATCCTGGAGTATCCTGGTGATTTTTAGTGTCGATCAGTTAGTCCATCTTAATTAGTCGTAAGGAAGAGTTTGAAGGATGTATATAAAGTGATCATGTCAATATCAAGCATCTATTACATTCATATTGATACGCAGTACAGATTGAAGTAATAGTGAGTTACTAAGTCGATCTCGAAGTGAAAGAGTTTTGCGAGTATATATATATATATATTATATATAAAGTCTGAATTTTATACTAAATTAACAATTAGATTTAGGATAAAATGGAATTTTATTGTTTTTACTTTCTATGCTGAGGACAGTGATTCAAAAACATTGTCTTCGCAGTAAGGATTAAGTATAACTACTTCAAAGGAATTAGGATTGTTATTCTCTAGACTTCATTAAGTCTATAATAACGTTTATTGATACTGAGTAGTGCATTAAGCTTATCTGATAGTTTTTTTACCTACACCTCGTGATTTCCTTTTGCGAAATCCCATTTTAAATATGTACAGAAAAACAAAGTATTATTTACCAAGATAGAAAAGTCAGTTGATATGTGATTCTGATTGATAAATGAATATTAAGTTCTCAGGTACGTTGCTTATTAAAAGTATCGTTGATTGTAATGACATCGCAATTATTATTACTTTTTTTTTTAAATCTCTAACAAATTTTATTCGCCTACTGTAATAATATTCTTTTCTATGCAAAGTTTACTTTATAAATAACTATTTTTGTTAACGACACGTTATATAATGATGTCTTTATGAAGCATATATCCACAATGGTATTCTGTGCCCACCGCTCTATTTAAAAATATCTTTATTTTTATCAGGAAATTCTTTTATCATGACTTACGGAGGGTGAGAAATTGCAACTTGAAAGATGCATTGTAAATTGAAGTCTCAGGTTACATTAATTTATAAGAGACGTAATATCTACGCAAATTCAGGTTGTGTCAACTGTATTTGATGCGAGATGGATCATGTTTCTTCCTAAAGAGTGTACAAATTTGACGAAATCAAAATGTTCAACATAAATTCTAGCCGAACTTCGTAATACTTTACGTAGACCTCCTATCATAAAAATTGAAAAAACTGAAGGTCTTGTATCTTGCAGATATTTAGATTACTTTAATAGATTTTCCATACTAAGGAAGTACTAATAGTATTCACGTTTTGTTTATATACATGTCAATGGGATATTCAAATTCAATACATTAAATACGAAGTTTTATATTTAGATCTGATGTACATCATATAGCATAATACAATTCTATTCTGCAGAACTATCAAAATTCTTTACAGCAGTGTCGACATACATTTTCAATGGTACGGTATGTTACAAAAGTTATACCAGCGACAAGGAGTTGTATATAATTTTACAATTACACTGGACATTTTCTATTAGGTGAGTTCCCATATCTGGGCTACATTGTTTAATACTTCCTCTGGATTGTTTTTGTGAAACATGAAAAATCCTTGGATTTGTGCTGGACTCACGTTTTTCTTGTAAGACATAACACTTTCGGCGAACTGTTTAGCAAGATCATTTGCTGTCTCTCCTGGCTTCTGATAAAATCTCAGGAACATTTGTTCCACTTGAGCTTGACTGCACCAGCCTGCAAAATATTTAGTATAAAGTAAGAAGCAGGCATTGCCTTATAGTAAATTGTGATTAATTTTGTATACCAATATATTCCTTAACGTCTACTCTGCCTGGTCTGACAAGGGCGGGATCTAATCTTTCCAGGTAATTAGTGGTCATGAATAAAATACGTGCTTCAGTGGATGCAACACCGTCTAAACAATTTAATAGTCCACTAAAAGTTACCCTGTTGAGACCATCGTAAGCTGCTTTTACTGTAATGTGAAAATTTTTCGTTATATACTTATGAAAGTCAATGATGATTTTATAATTTAGTTATTTATGATGTGTTTTTTTTTTTCAAGTTACCTTCTTTACTTTCTTCTCTACTACTGAAAGCAGCGTCAACATCCTCTAGGAGGATTATGGTCTGCTGAGGTGCTACTGCTAATAAATGATTTAATCTGTCGTCTGTAAGACCACGTTCAGACAAATTTAATACACAAATTCCACGTTCCAGTTCACCAGCTAATGCAGTGATATAAGAGGATTTGCCACAACCTGGAGGTCCATGAAGTAAGTACCCCCTTCGATATGGAATACCTAAGAGAATAAGAACCATACTCATTTGTAGAATGAGAGACTGTCATTAAAATAAAAATTGTTGCACCATTGAAAATTACCTCGATCACTATACCACGCAGGATTCTCTATGAATTCTTTACAATCCATTAATATTCTATTGCTAATGCCAGTATCTAAAATTACAGAATTCAATGGCCTTCGTTTCCTAGGATGGCCAAATGGTCTCCACTCGCTTCCCAAGGCAGTGTACATAATAGTTTTTCCTTCATGTTCTTTCAAAGCCATCTGCCTGGCTGTAAATTAACGAAAACTGTTGATATTTCATGCTTATTAGTCTATTTATAAATATTTGTATATCGATACAACCTTCTTCTAGAATATTAAAATATATGGTTTTATCTCTTCCCAGAGCAGTGAGTTGCACTGTTTCCCAAGGGACGCCCATATGTAAATCTAATGTCTGCTGCTCTCTGGTTCTTTCTACTTTTATCCAATTTCCATTATACCTGCGAAAGACAATGTTTCATGAACTATCTGTACTTTTAAATTAACAATACTTAAATACTTATTTACTTCGTAAATAAAGTCTCACTTAAAGAAATGTGTTCCAATGCTTGGTATAAAATCATATTTTGTTTTAACATGACCAGTCTCCTTCTGCTCAAAGCTAGTCTCTACGGAAAGGTGCTGTGTTTTTCTTGCACCCTTGTGCGTAATCCATTGTAAAAGCCACTGGTAACTCTTATCTCTGCATGGTACTTCCAGCGTAATCATGTAATGACGTCTGCAATGAAATACAACTGTTTAAGATGAACAATTATGAGATGACAGGGTGCATTTGCTAATCACAAGTAGCCACTTATGTAAGACTATTTCAACAAAACAGTATGAAGCATTTCAACGCATCGTACCTGAAAAATATCATTCCCACTTGCATGCCTTTTCTTAACATAGCCGCACCAGCACCAATTCCAAATAAACCAAAGCCGGCTCCAAAATAAGGATTGTTTGACAGAGACTGAATATACTCCATGATTGTCATCTTTGATAACGTTAACTGACAACTTACTCAAATAGCAGTATAAAATATATGAAGTGTTGAGAAATAATTTTTCAGTCATCCAAACATTGCAGAAACTTTAAAATAATCTTTTCTTCTACGATTCGACGAAACCTGCATCGCGAGGTACAACCTCCATTGACACGCTTTGGCACGGCCGTGTTAAAATATAACATCACATTCCAGTGAAACTTCAAACATGAGATATTTTACTACTGTACACTTTTGTGTAAGTAACAAAAAATGAAAAACAATGTAAAATAACATGAAGAAACACAGATGTCTCTAGGTGTTAAAAAGAATGGGCGCGAAGAAGGATCTATTAAGCGAAATTTAAAATAGCGTCAATGAAATCAAACTCGAATATGTTCTATTAAGTAAAATATAGTCCTTTTGGAGTAATATTAATGTTTATTGATAACTACAATATTTCTACAATTAGGGTAATCGGATGCAGACTTAAAAATCATATTTTACGTTGTGTCACATACTCTAAAATGGTGACTGAAAATTTGATCACAGAATTTAAACCAACTTTTCAAAATACTTGAGGTTTGGAACTATAGACGCTATTGGCTGTTGATCAATTCGTACGTTTTTATGGCCAATGAACTACTCTCTTTTATCAATAGCTGCTGTCGTTATCGTGAAAGCTCAGTTCTGGCCCATTTGTACATGGGGTTATACGCATTCATGCGTATGATAATCCTGCCAGCAGTGCATTTATTGAGGTTTTGTAATTGTGTAGCATTAAGCGGCACGTGCGCTGCATGGATTGGTTGCTGTCATTAGTGCATTCTTTATAATTAATAATAATATAGTGTTTAGTAAAAATTGCAAGGTAAGTAATATTCAGATTTCTCTGATGCATTTCATAATCATCAAATAAGGGTTACATGTTGGTTATATCGTGTATATATTAGAATGCTACGACAGTGCATGCACACTGATACCGGAACATCTGATTTAGAAACACAATATTTCTGTATTTTTTCATGTTAATATATGTATATATATATATATCATGAAGTAATTTTTATTAAAAAAGTATACTACCAATGTCTTCAATCGCTCATTTAATTTGTGTGGGAACTGGGAACAATTTAGACTTTTTTTAGCTTCATTATGGAAATATCTATTCCAGCGAATCTACAATGACAATAATACAATTTTATAAAGGAACCTGTTTTTCGATAAAATTTATGGCTATCTTTCTACTTTCAAGGATAATGCTTTATTGTGTCATTTCATTTTTCATTGTTTTGTTCACTAATATTGTTACTGTATTGGCTTACTCATGCGACTACAGTTATTTTGTTCTTTTTCAGATGTGGATTTTTGTATTTCTATATTCGTTACTTATATGCTCAGGCCAACTGGAGGCTGACAAGAAAGTTAACAAATATGTTACTACGTTAATTGATGCAAAATGGAGAGATACCCCCTTGTTGCTCGAAGTAGCAGAATATTTAAGTGATGAAAATCCTGATTACTTTTGGAGATTCATTGATGCAGTCTCTAGTAGAACCAATGATTTGGTTAATAATGGTTAGTAAAGATATATGACAGGTCTTTGAATAAATGCATAATCATATTTAATTTTTCATCTATAGCAACAGAGAGGGATCAATATAATATAGCGATTGAAATAGCTGGGAAATTTTTAACGCACACTGAACTGGCGGTCCTTAAGTTAGGACTTTCTTTACGCATTTATTCAGCGAGAGTGGAGATGTTTTCCCAAATGGCTTTGAATAAAAATGCCTCTAGCTTAGGATGTAATACTGTCTTAGACGTAGGTGGTAAATTCACTTGTTCGTTAGAAGAATTAGACGATTTAATTACTCAGGTAAAGTGCCTATTATGCTTTATACAATTTTGCAATGATACCTTAAAATTCACAATATTGGTTACTCATAATTTTAATTATTTTTTAACCTCCAGGATGAATGGAACAAGATAGACACTTACAATATAGATCATCATTACCCTGGATCGCAACAATCTAAAAAACAAGTTGTGTTTTACGGACAATTAGGAACACCAGAATTTCCTGAATATCATGAAAAGTTAAAATCCTTGGCAGAATCTAAAAAAATTGATTATATCCTTCGTCATTACGTAAAAGTATGAAATAATTTTACGATACAAACTTTTAAAAATATATACATACATATTCATTATATTTCATTATTGCAGGATAGGTTAGATAGACGATTACGCTTGTCAGGATATGGTGTGGAACTTCAAATGAAGTCAACTGAATACAAAGCAACAGACGATTCTGACATAAAAGATAATTCTGGTAAAGACGATGAAGATGAAAATGACGGTGTTGAAGAAATCGATGGCCTCAACTTTGCAATACTAAAGTAAGGCGATATTACAGTTTAAAAAAGTATCCAAACAATAACGCAATCCGCTTCGTTTCATTTGAAAATTGTCACACTCCAGGAATTTATATCCAGACAAAAGATCCGAATTGGATGAATTGCAGATGCATTTATTGGATACCAGCCATGAGATCGGGGCTCTTAAAGTTTGGCAATTTCAAGAACTAAGTCATCAAGCAGCCGAAAGAATAATGAATTCACCATCGAGTGAGGCTATCAAAGCTCTTACTGATATCTCACAAAATTTTCCAATGCAGGTAAGCAATCCGAACGTAGAATCTATCAAAATAATCGACTAAAACTCTCCAGAATTCAATTTAATTTATATCACAGGCCAAATCATTGATTCGTACAAAAGTAAGAAGTGATATGAAGAAAGAGATGAAATTAAATCAAGAACTGTTTGCTGCGAGTCTAAATATTCAACCCACTGATACTGCTTTATTCATAAATGGTTTGTTCTTTGACTTGGAAGCCATCGATATTCTGACTCTTCTGGAGTCACTACGAGGGGAATTGCGTGTAATGGAGGCACTTCATAAAATTGGTAAATTTTTAATACAACAATTAATCTAATCTGTTTTAAACAACATACTTACACTCGTTAATTGTGAATTGAAATATTAGGATTCAATAATAAAAGAATGAGCAAGTTATTATCTTTGGATTTATCTGGTAATACGGATAATCAGGACTTTGCAATGGATATAAGAGATTCTGCTGTGATATGGGTGAATGATATTGAGAATGATTCTCGCTACTCCAGATGGTCTCCAGTATTAACTGAATTATTACGACCAACCTTCCCTGGAATGCTCAGGAACATCAGAAGAAATCTTTACAATTTGGTTAGCACACGATGGGATAATATAATTAGGTATCCATATAAAACTTATCATGATCTAACTTGAGATAATTTTAGGTTCTCATAATTGATCCATTGAGTGAAGAATCAACGCCGTTGATTGCTCTAGCTGAATCCCTATACGCTCATTCAGCTCCTCTTCGAGTAGGATTTGTCTTTGTAACCAACTTCAACACTTCCATAACAGGTTTAACCGATGCCAGTGTGGCAGTCAATAATGCCTATCACTACTTCGCAGAGAGTAAGAACTCCAAGGAAGCTTTAAATTTCCTGTCCGATGTAAGTATAACTTTTTCTAAATTTAGTCTAATGCCTTTAACGTACTTTTATCTTGTAGTTGGAAAATTATATAGGAGTGCATGGTCCTGATGTGAGTGACATAAAAAAGGCAATCAAAGCCAGAGATTCGTCTGCTGATATAAATTACATACTCGGTGAGGAATCTGAGTATGACGTAGGTCGTCACCTTGCAAGTGACTTTGTTAGACGTACTGGTTTCAAAAAGTTCCCTCAAGCATTACTCAATGGCGTTCCACTGCCATCGAATCAACTGAATTCTGAATCCTTCGAGGAGGCTGTTTTGTCAACCATAATAACCCTGACTCCATCGATGCAAAAGGCTGTCTATAGGGGTGAAGTAACAGAAGGGGATGATGTGGTGGATTTTATAATGAATCAACCAAACGTAATGCCACGATTAAACGAACGTATTTTAAAAGTTGATAAAAGTACCTGGTTAAATTTGGTTGGTGTTCCTCCCGAAGACCAAGAATATGTAAAATGGAGTTCTCAGGATGCTTCAGCGTGGCTCATGGAGAATATGCGATACGTATCTGCTTCACGTCGAGATAACATGCATCATTTATATTCTCTTTGGATCGTTGCTGATCTGAAGGAATCTATGGGTAGACAATTGCTTCGTGAAGCTTTAGAATATGTGGTATGTGTATAAGAGTTAATTTTTCTCTATACCTAGAATCATTCAGTATTATAATTGCTGTTTCCTTTGATTCAGGAATCTAATGCAGATGTCAGAGCTTCTATAATAATAAACAGTGCCGATGATGTAGGATCAGAAATTGATATTAATAAAATAGCAATTGCTGCATTGAATACATTGCCATCGGACAAGATCCTAGGTTACTTGAAGAAATTAATTAAGGAGGATACGGTGACTCTTATTGCTAAGGGTGATTATGATATCGAGGTAAGAAAAATCAATTGTGCGAATGGAAATCAGAGACCTACTTAATTTGTGAAATCTTATCTGAATTTCAGAATGAAGCTGTCAAAGAGCAGGTAGAACAACAGAACTTTATTCTCAGTGTACATAGACATTATGCCAAGGCTGTTCTTGGACTAGAGAAAGGAAGTAGAGCGGTTATATGCAATGGTCGTATTATTGGTCCTTTTGATGAAAACGAAGAATTTACTAATGAAGATTTCTCACTTTTGGAAAGATTTAGTCACAGTACATACGGAGACAAGTTATTCAAGAACTTATTCAAGAGTCAGTTGTTTGACGATGATGAATACGGTAAGAATTATTATTGTATACAAGAATAGAAGAATATTCTTCAATCAATGTAAGTGTATCTTTCAATATTTTCGTGGATTTTAGAAAAAAATGATATATCTGATGATATGATCATGAAAATCTCTTCGCTCTTGGTACCAAGACCTCAAACTCGTAGTCGTTTTGATATTCCATATCACGGCGATGAACATAGGTAATTATTAACATAATTGTGCTGGTTATAATATAATTGTTTTTTATTGTTGACGTTACAATATCTTTCAGTGCCATAAAGGTTCCAGCAGCAAATCCGGATGGTGTTGCGTTCAATCTTGTCGCCATTGTGGATCCTGTTTCGCGGGGCGCACAAAAATTAGGACCTATATTGAATGTATTACAGCAAACATTAAATTGTGAGATCAAAGTATTTTTGAATTGTGTGGAGAAAAATAGCGACATGCCATTGAAGAGGTTCGTTCTTTAAAAATAATTATTAAATCCTCTAAGGCGTACTTGAGTAAGTTATTGGGAATTGATTTATAATTGTAAAAATGTTTTGCACTCTTAGTTTTTATCGATTCGTACTTGAGCCTGAAATACAATTTACACCGGAAGGTCATATAATTGGAGCAGTCGCACGTTTCACAAAACTGCCAACTTCCTCATTGCTTACGCAGTATATTCACTCACCAGAAAACTGGCTGGTTGAAGTAGTCCGCAGTGTTTATGATTTGGATAACATTAAACTGGATAATGTTGCTATAGGAGTACATAGGTAAGGAATTATAAAATTAAACTGCTTTGTTGTCTTCCTTTATTTTATCTGTAGTAATTACTGGTTCCTAACTATAATCTTACAGTGAATTCGAGCTAGAGCATTTGCTTCTCGAAGGACATTGTTTCGAAGCTCTAATGGGCAATCCCCCAAGAGGATTACAAATTACTTTGGGAACCGAAAACCAACCAGTGATGTTTGACACAATTGTGATGGCTAATTTAGGATATTTTCAACTAAAAGCTAATCCTGGTGACTGGCTTTTACGTCTACGACAAGGACGTTCTGCAGAAATCTATGATATCTCAAGTGTCGATGGTCAAGATGTTATTCAAGATGGTAACAATGTAAAGGTTCTGATCAGTTCGCTGAAGAGTCACGTTTTGAAATTAAAGGTCTCAAAAAAGCCAGACAAAGCAGGAATGGATCTTTTGTCCGAAGACGACAAAAGCTCTGGATTATGGAACTCGATTTCTCGGTACGTGACTATACTTGATATATTATTTTTTAAATAATTTTCAGCTGATACACAAACTAATTATTACGAATAGCAGAATTACTTTGTTTGAATCGTCATTTCGTAGTGTCATAAAATAAAATAACTTTCCTTTATTCTCTGTTTTTTTTAGCTTTTCCATATTTTGGTAAGCTTCCTAGTATTAAATAGAAGTTTGAATATTTTCCACTGTATCAACTTGAGCTTTATAATTACGGTTTCGTAAGATACACAGTAAATGGACACGATAATTTCAAGTCATCAATATTTTGTTTCTCATAATATTTTCAACAACCTGTTTGCTCTCCACACAAACTTTTCACCAATTTTACCTACAGTCTTCTCGAAAAGTCTAAAACGAGTTTTTACTTGATATCAGGACCTTCACAACTGGTGAAGAATCCGAGGATCAAGATGAAAAGTTAAATATCTTCTCACTCGCATCCGGCCATCTGTATGAAAGATTTTTAAAGATCATGATGATCAGTGTAATGAAACACACAAAGTCCCCAGTGAAATTTTGGTTCCTCAAAAATTACCTGTCGCCAACGTTAAAAGTAAGTCTTATGGTAACATAACTTTTAATGGATTATAAAAATTCAGTATAAATAATAAAAATCGTGGTTTCTATAAAAGGACTTCCTACCACACATGGCAAAAGAATATGGCTTCGAGTATGAATTAGTTCAATATAAATGGCCACGCTGGCTTCACCAGCAAACCGAAAAACAGAGAACAATATGGGGATATAAAATATTATTCCTGGATGTGCTATTCCCACTGGATGTCAAGAAAATAATATTCGTGGATGCCGATCAGGTAAAATCAATACTCTATCTCGTAATATTCTGTATTATAAAGCTATATTGGAATTATTTCTTTCAGGTAGTTAGAGCAGATCTCAAAGAATTAGCTACCTTAGATTTAGGTGGTGCGCCGTATGCCTATACACCATTTTGTGATAGCAGAAAAGAAATGGATGGATTTAGGTTAATGATTACATTATAATGAATTAAGAAAAATAGTTCTATGAAAGACAAATGTATAACCATTTTGTTTATTCTCATTTCCACTAGATTCTGGCGACAAGGATACTGGAGGAATCATCTCCAAGGTCGTTCTTATCATATCAGTGCTCTGTACGTTGTGGATCTAAAGCGTTTCCGTCGTATAGCAGCAGGAGACAGATTAAGAGGTCAATATCAAGCTCTTAGTCAGGATCCTAACAGTCTTTCAAATCTTGATCAGGTCAGTTCTTAATTCTAATTCATAATTCTATTCAAATGATCTAACACGAATTTCGTTTATTTAATAATAAAAGTATGCATCATGGTAAGCATTCATATCATAAAGAAAACGATAATTACAGGATCTACCTAACAACATGATACATCAAGTAGCAATAAAGACCTTACCGCAGGAATGGTTATGGTGTGAAACTTGGTGTAGCGATGAGTCCAAAAAATATGCTAAAACAATTGATTTAGTAAGTAACCATTAGCAACAAGAGTTCGATTCTAAATTTTCACGTATAACCTCTCTCCATATTTCAAATTGTAAGACTATACAGAAAATTCTTATTTCACCTTATCGCAGTGCAACAATCCTATGACCAAGGAAGCCAAGTTACAAGCAGCCATGCGCATCTTACCAGAATGGATAGGGTACGATGAGGAAATCAAAGCTTTACACCAGAGAATAGAAAATGAAAACAGACAACTGGAGCGAGAAGATGTTGGTACGTGATATTTTTTAAATTTAATTAATTGTATGGTTACATGTTAAGTAAGTGTCCTTTAACGTTGTCTTGGTTTAATCATTTTTCAGATATTAGCGACGATTCTCCAAAGCACGAAGAGTTGTGAGGTGTATTCCCCATATGCATAAATTGACTAATGCATTTTTACGATATATATGAGGTTTTTTATAACGTTTTCTGTAAAAAGTTGTTCGCTATACTATAGGACATAATGGCCAAATATCAATAGGTCACTCTACTGAAGGATATATGAAGTGAAACGCAGTTTTTCTTCTCGAAGTATTCTGACTTCTACCACCATAATAAGTGCATCGAAGGTTTTTCATGATTGTTTTGATAATCGTTCTTCGAGAGTTTCGATAATTCATCAACGATAGATTATTAAATCTTTTTACTGTGCAGTGTGATATTTTGTCGATTACGGTGTAACTGATCAATTTATATAAACATTTATAACTATTTGAATCATAATGTGAATATTACTATCTTGAGTGAGGTTTCATGTTTTATAAACATTCAATTGATGAGCTCGCAATGCATAATAACAGAACACTGTCACACCGTCCTTCGTATAAAAATATAAGGAATAAAATAGTGAAGAAATTACAAAGAATTAAAGTGTTTAAAGTTCTCCAGTATCCTTGTGTTTCCTTCGGATTAGATTTACCTTTTCGATAGCTCTTTCTTTGTTCAATAATCACCAATGATCTGTGTCATTGTCGTTCAGTTATATTGTTGTGCTGATTCTGGTAAATATGACAATTAGAAAAGTAAATATTTTCATGACTCCATTACGTTTGCAGAAGTCGCATGTTGTCATCAGTTTGGATAAGTAATTTCGCTTTGCTGAACTATTGAGTGATATCATCTGCACTGAAGCTTCGCACCTGATTTCTTCGATTATGGAAAAATCTTCAAGTAAAAATAAAAAATTCGCCTTGTGAGTACGTTTTTAATAAAATGTTTATTTTCCTGAAATTGATAGTTACTCGTTAATAGTTCCTGCATTTGTTTTAAAATGTGATTGCAAATAATAATCCTGCTTGATGTTATTTTCCTGTTTTTAATTCTTTGACAAAACGTATGTGATACAGTAAAATTTGTATGTATCAGTCATTACCTGCATGCATATAAAGACGTTGCACAGTATAATTTACTTCTGTTTAATATATCTAATCATGAAATAGAAACAAAAAATTTTAATAAAATGCTATTAAAAGTGCATGATAAATTTCCTCGAAAGCTACTTATCCTTTATTTCCAACAATCCTATAAATTCTTCCACCTAACTGTACAGAAGCTCATATCTCATTTCATTACTTAGATATTCCAATCTCGATCTGATTCCAACAAGACAGAAACCATGTAATATTTAATAGCACCTAATACATAATGCATGTAATATATAATTTAAATGTAATTTAGCAAATTTCCGTAATCACTGTCGATACTATATAGACAATGATACATGATAATAATCACAAGAACAAAATCAAGTTCGGTATAATCAATTGAACAGCTCTTACGTATTATTATAAAGTTTGCAATGATCTGCCGTAATTAAATGATACTATCAAAGGATATAGAAAACGACAATATATAATCTATCGAATACCAAAAATCATTGGTTGATTCATAATCTCATATCTCGTTTGGTCTTGTCACGATATCAATAAAGCATAGTCAATATCAGTCATAATACGGAATAAGCTATACACTGGTAAGAGGGTACGATATCTCCTTGGAGGAGAGTTAAGCTATCTCGTTAAACAAGCTCGACCAGCACTCTTCCAAGACAGTCCGGTATGCCGTGTAGACGTTTTATTTATTTAACTAGTGACATGTGCAGTCCTTCCACATAACGTGTCCCGTCGTAAGAATCAAATGAACAAAATTATTTCGCCCTTACGTCTGGCATAGTTATCGCGCACTGTAATCCAACGATGGAGGAAGAAAGAATTAAACTGTGAGTGAAATAAATATTATTGACTATCGAATACTCGTTATCCTCGATATAAGGTTTGCGATGCGACTTTTAATTAAGAATTCTTTTCGCTGGTAACGTAGGTTTCCAAGCGCCTTAAACTTTTGTGATGGAATTAACTTATCTCTCAGATAATAGTCGTGCTGTGGAATTCGGTTGGATTAATCTCTGTATTATCTGATGTGGTTTATAGAAGTTTTGTATCATTCAGGGTGAATCCACCAGTAAACTTACATTTAGGAAGCTTCTTTAGTGAATAAAAATCTTTTTTAAAATGAACCATGTATATACATGTAATTTATATGAATATTTACATTTACTGGAGTTCTCTCTACTCACTGTCGGAATCTTCCTAGGCTACGTGGTAACAGTTTTGATCGGCAATCAATATTCTATAAAACTTTAGGTGGTTTTTTAATTTCCTGTCGTTCGTACTTTGATTGATTGATCGTGTACTTTTTCTTGGTGTACCGTTATTCAATGCAGAATCTTCGTCGGCTTTGCCGGATTAAGTACGTTGATTCTTTGCTTCATTACGATTGGATAGGTTTAGTCATCAGAATGATATGTTTGCTTGTTGTAGGTTTCAGAGACTTGACGAATATTTCCAATCAATTGTTATTGAACACCCAGTATGCAGAACGATAAGAGACTGAAACTACGTAAAATACAAGGCGACGTTTAATATTCTAAGTTTTGCCCGAGGCGCCTTCAATTGTAACGCCGTTCAAACGTACACACGTTTGTTATAAGAGAATTAAATTGAACACAGGAAATAAAAAACAAATAATTGCAAAACCGTTCGAGTCTTCACCATAAATATATAATAACTGATTTCTCGACAGATCAAAGTTTGTACGATTAGATGTATAAATGTTGCTGATATTATTTTTAGAATTTTCCATAAATTAAATATTAATTTATCACATGTAAATGCGATAATTTTTCGTTAATTCAGAGATTCCTACACACCCCTTGCACTCTATAATTTACATACTTCCTATGTAGATGTACTTGGTACACAAGTTTGTTAATTAGCGACTTAAGACTCGTGCAGACCGCTGCAGATTTTATTGTTGCGAGTACAGTCCCATCAATGCCAGTCATTGCTGATAGCAAATACAGTTAGTATTGCGCGACGGGTGTATGCGTACTAAAGATTTTTGGTACGTACGCAATGTTTGCGTGTATTATATATAATTTTTGAAAGTTTAATAAGGGTTTTTTTGAGAGAGAGAAAATTTCTGAGTGAGGTATGACCGACGAGGTAATTTTGGATCTGACGCCAAGAGCTGAGCAAAGTCATTTGTTTGACAAATACTTCAAGTGGGGGTAAAATATGTTTTTCTTGATAATTGTATATTCAGTTGAGACCCCCATTAACATTCATTGTTACCGTTGTGGGAACCTGAAAAATAACAGTTATTATTTCCACGCGATTATTATTGATACATACACGTAGCGGGAGAAGATAAACGATACATACTTTGGACGTCAGTTTGCACACGGCATTATTGATTACTCCTCCTGATAATGGACTAAACTGATAGATATGAGTTAATAGAAAATTATTTAGACGTCCAGATTGGCCGACTTAATCAATGTAATTAATTGCAATGCTTACCCAGCATCCTATAGTACGTAGTTCCGGCTTAGTACTGTTGGTTTCAGTACTACCTTCTATTTCAGATTTAAGGACAATGCAGCTTTCGGGTATGGAACCAGCATTCCGCCAAATAATAACGAATGTGACGAATCGGATTCACCTCCCAAGCAGGTGATCTTTTGCGTCCATGGAAAACTCTCTGGTTGTTGTACAGTTGTTAAGGGTAGCACGGGGGATGAACCTTCTAATTCAAAGTATCAATTCCAGAGGAATACGTCGCTCAGTAAGTATAAGTCTATAATTAATAGTACTAGAAGGTAATGATTATACAATGGCTAAATATTTTTTAGTTGAGGATCATTGCCACAGAGAGAGAAATGAAGGAATTGATAAGAAAGCCAGAAAGAAGCTAGTAATTGCCAGTGTATTGTGCGTTCTTTTCATGATTGGAGAAATCATTGGTAAGTTGAGTATCTGTAGTTTTATTTTACTCCTTTGTAACAAACTTGAAGATGAAATACTATATGTATATGCCTTTCGCAGGGGGTATCCTATCAAACAGTTTAGCCATTGCTACGGATGCTGCTCATCTGCTCACTGATTTTGCATCTTTTATGATTTCATTATTCTCAATATGGGTTGCCACCAGACCAGCCACTAGGAAAATGCCATTTGGTTGGTACAGAGCAGAGGTTTGTTTAGTTTACAATTGTATAATTGTCAATTTTGACTCTGACGTTATTTATTATACAATTTTTTTTACTTTTAGGTAATTGGTGCACTCACGTCTGTATTGATGATATGGGTGGTAACGGGTGTCTTGTTCTACCTTGCTGTACAGCGAGTGATTAATAAAGACTTTGAATTAGATGCCACTGTAATGTTGATAACGTCAGCCGTTGGTGTTGCGGTAAATCTAGTGTCAGTTTTGCTTATATAGCGATAATACCTCTGAAACATTAGAATCACAAATTTATCATAATTCTATAAAGTTTCATGTGAACATATGGAAAACACCTTCTCTATCTGTCTTGCAGGATGGGTTTGACTCTTCATCAACATGGCCATAGTCATGCAGGTCATCATGGTCATACCCATGCTGATGTTGACCTTGAGCACGAGAAAGCTCATATTGATTCCAAGTCTAGCAAAGCAGAAGCCAAGAATATAAATGTTCGAGCAGCTTTTATACACGTGGTTGGTGATTTTATACAGAGTATAGGTGTCCTAGTAGCTGCCCTCATTATTTATTTCAAGGTGAGGACGATTGTACTTCCATATTTTAATATCCTGATGATAAAAACACTAAGATCATTAATGATAATTAATTCAGCCAAACTGGAGTATCGTCGATCCCATTTGCACCTTCCTGTTCTCTATTTTGGTTCTGCTAACAACAATTACAATTATCAAAGACGTCATGAATGTCCTGATGGAAGGGATGCCAAAGGGTTTTGAATATTCCCAAGTAGAAAGTACCTTGACACAGATCGAGGGAGTAGTCAAAGTACACAATTTGCGAATCTGGGCATTGTCGTTAGATAAGACTGCGTTATCTGCTCATATTGCTATAGGTAAGTTCTATTCGATCATGTAATCTCAGGTAAGGCACTAGCCATATATGGAATTTCTTAATTTAATTATGTTTCTCATTGGTGTTTAATCAGAGCCTGGAACTAGTCCACAACAAGTCTTGCGTATGGCAACGCGGAATATACATGATAAATATAATTTCTTTGAGATGACACTACAGATAGAGGAGTTCGATAAGAAAATGGAAAATTGTCAGCAATGCAAATCGCCGCCACTGTAATATAAATACTTCTAGAGCCTATTATGTTTGATTGGGATGTATTGAACTGTTAGTTAATTTGCAAATAATATGATTCATAATGTATTCGTCACCGTCTGTTTCTTATTATAGAAGCAGCAGACGACAATTGGGTTTGGTTTACTTATTTGGTTTTATACCTCTAAAGACAAGCGGTATTAATACTTTGAAAATTTTTCAAATTATTTTTCAACTGTCAGTAAATAGAATTTATTCACTAAATCCCAGCAGTATGAATGGATCCTTATGAAATGTATACTTAAGTTTCATATGAATGTTCATTGTCACTTGGACATGAATCCAGAAGCATTATGATTGAAATTTGCGAGGCAATCCTTCTTTTTCTCTAACATAAGGTCGCTCTTTTTTAATGATGTTTAGGCCTAGTACAGAGTTCGAGTTTTCACAAAATAATAAAAGAACGTTTCTTGCATTATTTTGAGACCCATGAATCTGTTTCTTCAGTACAAACATATATATCTATATATATATATGTATGTATGTATATCATTTATAGAACTACAAAAATATTGTAACAATAGTAACTTGTGCACTATTTAAAGCACACATTAAAGGAAAACACTTTTTATTGCCATTGGTTACATATTAAAAAATGTTGTACCATTACTTTTCGTAACAGATATATCCAAAAGTGTTATGTTCATGCATAAAAATTCTACCAAGACAAAAATCGACAAATTCTCCATCATATGAAATGATACAAATATGTAACATCCTGATCACGGATTTCCTGTAACACCATGTTATACGATCTAAAGGAAAGACTATTTTGATAGTTCCTTTGTGTAATAATTTTTTAACAAATTGTTATATTCTATAAATATATTTCAGTTAGACATGACTAATAAAAGTATTATTTTCATTAAAATCATTATAATTTGGTACCAGTACTGCTCCTACTATTTCTGGTATTGATAATGATTATGTCAATTGAAATATATTGATGTATTTTTAAAGTTCAGTAATGTGTAGATATAGATATACGCAATTTGAAATGTGCTGCCACCAACATTATACTGGGTACTAAATCCTCCCTCTATCCTGCTCCATTCTTTGCATCGCAAATCGTAAGCCGGTACGCGAAGACGTTTATCTCAAAAATGGAGTCTGTCAAGCCAAACATATTGCAAATAAACCGTGAAGCAGGTTCTGCTGGCGGTTCAAAAGATGTTGAATCACTGTCAGAAATATTTGACAATGCTTTTCGACTCTTCAACGGTATTAACAAAACTGATGAGGCAACGAACAGTCCTAAAGTTCAGGTACATCAACGTCATGACGAATGTTTGTGTATATTCTTGACATTATCTATAAACAAATGTTTTAGTTTTAACCATCATGTAATGCAGTAGTGATATAATACACATTTTATTATCGGTTTTATCTAACGATTCCCGTTTGAAAATGTAATTATTTTGTTAAATAGTCTGACGTTCGCAGAGCTATGAACATGTTTGAGAAAGCAACGAGATTAGTCTCCATGGCTAATATGTTCAGTGAGAATGAGAGCTTTGACGAAGTAGCTACTGAGAATATCAAGTATTTTCTTTTGCCAGCTCTACTTGGTTCTCTTACATTGAAGATATGTGGTACGGATGATCGAACGCATATTGTCGATGTGGCAGAGGTTTATTTTATTGACTTTCTAAACAGAGTCAAAGCCTATGGATTAACCGATATCCAGATCCCAGAGACTAAAAATGAAGAGCATCAGGATGAGACTGCTGTTGCACAAACAAAATCCAATTCTGAATATATTACTGAAATGGTACTTAGCATTGCATTTTATATATCGGTGTGGGATGGTTCTTGTTATATTACAATAATATGTTTTTCAGGTAAACTCAAGAAACACGAAATTGCAAAGATATCGAGAGCAAAAGGAATTAGAAAAGAATTTGGAGGTATTCAGGAAAAACCTTGACAATCCTAATATCGATGAGGAAACCAAAAGGGAGTATTTCGTTACCCTTCTCAAGGTTTATGTGAATCAAGCTATCGATGAACTGGCTTCTCTGGCAGCTGAAAGGCCACTGTTAGAACACATGAAACAATTAGGCCGCACTGACAGTACCGCTTCTCAACATCAGCATAAAACAAAAATTCCTTCAGCAAAATTAAAGCCGATTATAATCACCCGCGACGAGGTTCAAAAGCAAGTTTTTGGAGCTGGATATCCCAGCCTTCCTGTACTCACGGTGCAAGAGTTCTACGACAAGAGAGTCAAGGATGGAGAGTACGTTTGCAAATTATTACATCTCCCAAGTACATAGCATATAAAACAAAACTAAGAAATCTTTTTTTATTACAGTTGGCCTGATGCATCTCAGCGTAATCAAATGAATGGAACTTGTCTGCAAGACGTTACCAATCCCAACAACGTCGATATTTCACAAGAGGATGCAGAAGCAATAGAAAAGGAAAATAGAACTGAAAATGATGATCCAGAATTACTAGCTCAAACACGAGCCATGGACGATTACAAGGACACGCACAGACGCGGATGGGGTAATAGAGCTAATAGAAGTTAATCATATCAAACATGATTATCCAGTAGTGACATACAATTCACTAATGGCTTATTGATTATCTCCAAGAAGTAACAAATCGAATATCTATTATGTACTAAATCATATGTTAAGTAAAATAAATAAAAATCAACTAAATCAAAAATCTACAAGCAAAATATGATCTAAAGCTAAGCTGCGCCTAGAACTCATAAAGAAAGTAAACCTACTTGTATTGACGATATTTCAAATAATTTGAAATAAAAACTGAAAAACAATCTTAAAGCTTAACGATTTAATCTGTTATATCCGCCGGAGATTTCTTCATCGCATAGAGTAATCTCATTACATACACCAGACACGGTTCATTCATTTCACCGGGATGTCATGTTACGCGTGCGTAGATTTCTCAGATACAAAGGGATACAAACTCAATATCCATACCTTCGGCATTTCAGTTGACTTCCTACAGTCGCAAAGTACAGTACTAAGCTACGGTACTTCATCGTCACCCGGTATATAATTTACCGTAAAGTGCGGGCGCACGTAGCGCACACTCTTGAGGCATTTGTGTGCCGTAACGATTCCGATAGAAGATGGCGCCCAACCCTGAATTCATTGAGGCGCAGGTGTCACACCGTACAGTAAAAGGGTGAATTCTTGTTTGGGCCAGTGTGCAACAGGTTGTCGGAACGAGACGACGACGAATGGAGGTTATTTTCTATTGTGAGTGCTACTATGCAGAAAGCGTTAGAAAATTACTGATACAAAGTTTGAATAGTGGCGTGTAAGGGAAAGCGGGACATGTCTGCTTGCGTATTCGTTGACTTGACTGGTAATCTTTATTATGGTGGGCGCTGTTTGGAATATATTATAAATCTCGACAGGTCTATAGATTACTTAAAGAAACAAAAAAATCTTTCAGATAAAAACGTACTGAACTATTGTATTAAAATAATTAACGGTACTAGTACCAGACTTTAGGATGTTGTTTTACTCATTCGGAAATTACTGCAAAGCGTCCAGAAGCATAGATTTATTTCTGGAGACCTCCTCTTCGTCGTCTCTACTTTGAAACTTCGTGGGAGATTTCATCGCTATTAGGATACTTATTCGTATGTAAGACTGTCGCGTTGTTGGGTCTACGTAGCGTCCTTTGAATCTGTCAAGTAAAGAGGTTATGTGGTTTAATGACGTGTGACCTGTTGCAATTTCAAGGAAACCAAGGTATTTGTCATAATTAGCAAGATTCCGGATACGACCGAGTTCTTTTACCTACAATTTCACGTTCGAATTTTTCCTCGGGCCTGACTTTTACTTCTGACTTGTTTCTTAAGCCCACTGGGCTTAATATTACCTCACACTCTGTCTGCGCACGTAGGCATCTTTTAAACGTACATTTTTTAAATTTACGATGAGGATTTCGAAATTCCTTTTATATCTTATACAATCGGTATAACATACCTAGAAGACTTTCCTTCGTCCTTATAATTATTATCGTTTGTTTTACACCGCGTATTTTCATTTGACGTTGTAGCCTTGTTGTTTTATGATAATTAATACACCTGGCATAATAAAACACTTATTGTGCAATCTCCCATTGTTTATCAATTGTTACGAAGCCCCTGCTTATTATAATAACGTTTAATGCGCCAGTTCTTGACTGGATACCTTGTAAGAAATCGTGAGAATAACTACAACAAGCGTTTCTATTATTTATAATAAAATTTCGTAAAATAAGTCTTAAGTTTTCGTCGTTTATAGTATTTTTTTTAACGTCATTTTTACGAAATTCGAAATATTCGAATTCTCTTAGTAATTGATCAAAAGGCGTTAATGTACATCGACCGTGAGTCTCTTATCAGTAATAGCAAAGCTAATGTTTACACGATTAAAAAGTCATTGAAATGATTACAGGTTTCTCGTTGAAATTGTCAATTATGTACATTGACTATGTACCAATGAGACTGTCATGGGTTATCATAAAACAGTTAATTGACCTCCGTAAGACCGTTTACACTTGTCAAACAGATTAAGACCAAAGACAGTCTGAAATCCAACAACTGTGCATAATAGCGTATGAAAAAGGAAAGTAACCAGGTAGCTCACGAGGAGGAAGAAGGTTAAGGTCAGAGAGCTTACACAGTTGAATAAGCCAGTGCGTATACAGTGGCAATAAAGAATTACAAAATTGAATAACAAAGAATTTATCTTGGGATAAAAGACAGCTTGTATTTATACTGAGAAGTAGTAAATCGACTTTTTTCTTAACAAAGTACGTATTTATCAGTCTCCCCCGTTGATAACTTCATAGAATATTTCATCAATGCACTCATTCACGATTGAGAAAGAAGATGACCTTCGGTATTATTCATTGTTGCTCATCGCGATTTCACGCGCACAAAGCATACTCCGTTGCTGAAATCACTTGAACGAGTTGATAATGTTAATCATATCCATTTATAAGATGACAGGATTGAAACACAGTCAATCCGTTTGAGTCATTCGTAAATCGTCAAAGGAATGCATAATGTAGGTGTTCAGCATGCCAACAGCAAAAACCATTAACAGTTTGAAATGCTTGTTTTAGAAATCCAATAAGAGCAATGTGCGTAGGAGACCGTGAAGTTGCACCTGGATTGTAAGCTTATGTTCCTGAGAGGACATAAGAGCCGTGTCTCCTTGGTAAATCATCATTGAGCCGGAATTCGCGGATGGTCAACAAGTACAACGAATAATAAAAGATGGAGAGATCGCACGGAGCAACTTTTGGTGGTGGAGGCACCAACCTCCAGGAATATTGGGAAGAGTATCAGAAGATGATCGAGGAAACGAAGATGTTGGACGATTATCTTGATGAGGAATGCAGTCCACGTAGTTATGACGGTAAGGCAGATTGGGTATAACGAAATCATCATGAGCACTAGGTATAATTTTAGATCAAGAAGATACTCTTGTGATTGGAATGCTGATTGGCATAATTTGATATCCTTACACAAGGAAGCATCGTGTTTCAACAGTGTCTGACGTATCTACGTGCAACTGGGTAAACGTCGACATTTCAAAAGAGATACCTACGTCAGTATGACCTAGGGAAAGTCCTGGTTGTACGTAGTTTTGTATTGCAAGACGATTCTTAGGTATTTGAGAATTTAGCCGACTGTTAATTTGATAACAGAGCTATCATGATCAAACATTGCTAGGAGCAAAGTCGTTGGGCTTAAAGAGATTTGGCAGATTAGTTTGAGAATGCAAGGAAGAAGTCACATTGACTATATTAAAATTTTTATTTAATCATCCATGTCATTATACGAATGATACAAATTTAACGTTTCTAGAAGGCGAAGAAGAAGCGGAATGGCTTCGCGCAGCTGGTCTGGGCGAATTGACTGAACCCTGGAAAGCCGGAAGAGAGGTGCAACCGGAAGAGCTGGGAGCAGCCTTACGTCCCTTGTCTCGTGCCCAGGCAGAAGCTGTGAAACGTCGTGTACGCTCCCTCAATCATACTGTCAAACAGCGTTTTAATCAGCGTCCTCGGGTACGCAAGCCAGACATCAGAGACGTTTTCAAGGATGTGGAAGTGAGTGGAAAAGTTAGAATTCCTCATGTAGAATTAATACTCAGAGTCAAACTGTTTATTCATCTATTCTTCAAACTCTTGATATCGTGATCAGGTGTCGAGTATTGGTACCAGGTCACGCAGTGCTACTCCAGACTCTTTGGATTCTGTACCTGGTGAAACACCTGAGAGTGCTTCCCCTCCATCGCCACCTACCGTAACCGTTATCGACGTTCATCACGAGAAGTAAGCTGTTCTTAAATATTTAAGAACTTCTTCTTCTATGTCAATGATTAACATTTTATTCCCTCTTTTCCATCAGCGTCAACGTGCCAAGTTTCGTATCGATATTCAATAGAACACCATTAGATAATAAAGATGGGGTACGTAGATTACCAAGTGCTCCTCCTGTTGCAACTGCAACTGCAGCTGCACCTGCACCTGCACCTACTCCAGTACCAATACAAGAAATATTTAGGCGAGCAGGTCACTGGTCTCAACGTGGAGACGTTGCCAGTGATTCCGGTACGTTTCGCACCTTAAATCCTTTTTATAATCCTTATATCTCTGAATTGTCATCACATAAAGCCTGATGCTCATGTACCTAAACGCTTTTTAATTTACAGAAGGTATCAAGCTAACGGCTTATCAAAGACTGGGAACGATTCATGTTGCAAGGCCAGTTATTCAAAGGCGCAGTGGTAGTGATCCTAGCGAAGTAGCTAACACTGCGCACCTGGATGTAGAAACTCCTATCAAGCTAACCGTACCTAAGGATCATGCCACGTTACGGTATTACTCAATTATTATTATCATTGTCTAAAGAAGCTTTCATTATTTATTATTTAACGATATTGCAATTTCTAACGTGTCACAGAAGAAGTTCAGGTGCTCATGCGACTGTGACAAGAAGCCACAGCAGTCTGTACGGTTTCTCAAGACCTGCTGATGAGAATTTAATAACTCATCCACTGAATCGTACCTCGTCCCACGGCCATCTTAGTTTCGAGGAGATGTGCAGAGCGAACGAAGTGAAATCTCAAGTATGGACTGCCGACGTCCTTGCCGCGGATGACGGATACGATCGGCAGGGCGTTGAATTGTTATCCCAACGTGATCTCACCAGGCTTCAGCCATTGTTGTGGCTGGAGCTTAGTGCTGTGTTTGATAAGTACAACGTACCTCTTACCAAACGGAAGCCGAACAAACGTAGAAGGAAAGGTAAGCATTAGGCAACGTGAAGATTAGTTGTAATCACGGTACCTTATCATATTCAGAATCTGAATAGTACAACCAGAATTAATTTCAGCTGGGAATCTATTCGGCGTCTCGTTATCCACGTTGCTCCTGAGGGACAGTCAACTTACGAACGAGGAGAGTAATATTCCACTGGTGTTTCAAAAGCTTCTTCACGAGCTGACGAAACGAGGCGTGATGGAGGAAGGAATTTTACGCGTCGGGGGACACAAGCAGAAAGTAGGTTTTGTTGATATTCAAGCTCTTTAGATGACGTATGATAAACGTACAAACTTGATTATTATCTTTCACAGGTTGAGACCTTGTGCACGGAACTCGAAATGGATTTCTATTGTAAACCGAAAGAGGTGGATAAATTATTTAAGCGTTCGCCGTGCCATGACTTGTCGGCAGTCTTGAAGAAACTGCTCAGAGATTTGCCTCAGCCACTTCTTACCGTGGAGCTTATTGATGCTTTTTATCAGAGCCACGGTTGGTATCGCGTTAAGCGCTAATTATTATTTTAATATTTCTTTTTCATTTGTATTCATTCATAATTACGAATCTATTTCAGGCGTGAAGAATCCAAGCGACATTTCCTATTCTTTGAATCTGTTGGTGCTACTACTTCCGGTCGAGCATCGATGTACCTTGAAAGCTTTATTGACTTTTCTGAAGCTCGTTATCGAACGCCAATCATCGAACAAAATGTCTATACATAACGTGGCCATGATCGTGGCGCCTTCCTTATTTCCACCGAGATATATTTATCCAAGAGACCAGGCTGATCTGAGTGCTCAGGTTAACATGGCTGCTGTATGCTGTCAGGTGACTGAAGCTCTTCTCAATAACGTAGATAAACTCTGGTACGTACCTACCGATCTGATAAATCAATTGCGCAGACAATCTGAGGAGGAACGATATCGTAAATACAAGAAAAAGTATTATTAAATATCACTGCGAATTAGAATCATTGACAATTTTCATTTGTGGTTTTTTTTTCATATATCTATTCGTCATGATCACAGTTATTACGGTGCTTAGATTTTTTATCTTGTGAGATACGTGAAATTGCGTCACGTTTTTCTTTTATTGATTGACCCGCAAGTTGGAATAGTAAATTTGCAAATGAAAATTGTAACATAACTTGATCGTTTACAAGGAATAATAGGTCTTAGGAGTCTCACGGTATTTTTTAATGAAAATAAATATTTACATGGATAGTATTTGCCTTTTTAGGTAAATATTCTTCTTGCCATTGTAATATTATTCTCTTAGCTTAATCGTGATTCTTCCTTATTTTTCTCGATACTATGTTTATGCGACTTTTGACAATTGACAATGAGGTTGTTCTTTTTTTTTTATTATATCCTTATACCATAGAACGTTATATCCCATCATTATGATTTATTGTGTATAACTATAAGTAATGTCGGGTGTAATACTCCGGGAGGATCTTTTTTTTCCCCATAGTGCAATAGCGTGGACATATTCTAATTGTAAGTTTAGTTTTTAGTCAGTACGTTTATTTTAAACTTTTAAGAAAAGACCAAAGCTCTCGTTAACGGTACCACGTGACACGAAGCTTAACCTTGATTTCGAAAAAGTACAACTTGTTATAAATTTACCTACTTCTATGATAATTTGTAGAAGATATTTTCAATACGTTTCTATGGAATTTGTTTTTTTTTTTTCTTTCCCTGCGCAATCTCGTATTCCACTTTCGGATACGGAATAAGGAATTATTTGCGACGGTTGTGGAAAACAAAGAATACGTTATCAGTGTAATCGTAATTGGAAATTGACACTTTTATCTAACTGGATGATGGAGGAAAATTTTTTTTAATTATCGTAATACGTGTGCTATAGATTTTTAAGTTTTATACTAATGCTATTTATTTTCTATTTACCTGATTATCCTAATTTTATGTTCGCACACGATCTTCGAGTGTCGCTCAATAATAGGAGAGTCAGTAGTTTCGTGTTCTGTGTTTTTCATTTAGCTACTACAAAACAGTAGACTAAGTGCAACGAAATCACGGCACCAGTGTGGCATTTTAGTTATTACTTGTAATAGATAATTTATTTCTAACCATTTTGTTTTTAAGTATACAGGATTTTCTAGATCATTCTATCAACATGTCTAATCGGGTTTGGTAACGTCTAGCCTTTTGATATACGCAATCATTATTGTAATAAATTTTAATGCTCGATTGCATTCGTTAATATATATTAGGATTCGTATGTCAATTCTAAAGTCCGTCTACGACTATTACCAACATAGGCAGCGAGTTTGAAAAATAATTTTTTGTTTTTACAATCTTTGTTCGCATTAAGCATTTTTATTTTACGAGGCGTTAAAATTCTTTAACAATTTAACGTATCTCTTGGATGTTTTCTTTCGTTTTGGAAAATTTAACATGTACATTGATGTTTTTTTTTTCTTTTTCACATTTTTGCCCTCTTCCTCTTGCGCCAAAACGAATTTTCACGACATATCATTTCCACGTAGGCATTTTAATCTATGAAATCATTACTGTTTGATAACGCCATACTACTCTAAGAATCTGTACATACATTTTTCGTAAAATTTTTATATTACATAATAAAGTGCCAAAGAAAATCTTGCGTGTGACACAACTGGTAGTATATCTGTGAGAATGGCGGACGGGTGAAACGTAAAAGATAATAAAATTATGAAATACTAACAATTCTGTTTTTGAAAATTGTACAAAGCAACAGATTGCATACGCTAAAGTTGCATCGTTTGTTCTTTATTTTGCTCCTTACGTATAATTTTGTCGCTCTTATAGTACAATCTGCAATTTAGTACTTTAATAATAATTTAAGAGCTATAATCTAGATTATATGTGTATTATCTAATTACCATTTTCTCAGTTAGTAGATTATTATTTGTTACCTTTTTTCTGAATCATTCATTACTGGAGTCGATGTAGTTGACTGAAATTACAAATAATAATTAACACAGTCTTATTATGACGAGTCAATGACGCGCAAATATTTGTGCGAATTTTTTTCTTGTTTTGGCTACCTCGACTGTTTGGTCTGTTGCGTCGGATAATGAAAATATTCGTGCGAATGGCAATTCCTTTGGTAAACTTGTAATCGATACCGTTGAATCTTCAATAGTCTCTTTCTTATCGCGGTCCAAGTAAAGTTGCAGATTTGAAAATTCAGTTCTTCTGTCAGAAACTTCGCTCTCTGTTGTTGTGGAAACCAGACGATTGTTTTCCACCTGAGTATATATCTCTTGTGGTAAGTCTTTACTAGTTGACACCAGTTCCATAGTCGTTGATGACTTTGTTGTGCTCTCATTTGATTGTGCATCTATTGTTTTGTCAAAATCATTCAAGCCTGTTAACGATCTTAGAAAAAAAATGCAATAATGGAAAATTTGTATTAAAGTATTTTACTAATCAATGGAGAAGCATTGTACTCAGTTGTAACATCCATATTGGATATAGGTGAAGAAACGGTTCCATTTTTATCAAAATAGTCGTTGGTCAATGATGATATGTTATTCATCATTTTCCTTGCATGCATTTCAACAGGGACAGTCGCCGTGTCTTGCTCTAATTTATTAACAGTCGTAATTCGTTGTTCACCTGAAAATTTTGTTTACTAAAGTCACGTGTAAAGTTTTAAGAACATTGAATAAAAATGTTGAGTTGAATTAAAATTGACAGTAGTGGCTTATTTTTTGGGTTATTTCAAAACGATTTACATTTTGTTGCTTTTTTCTTGATTTCTGAAACAATGGAAAATTATGCTTCATTATCCTTTAATCAATATCATTAATTTTAACTTATGTGTATTTACTTACTGTAAAGCTCTTGAATGATTTCCATCAGTTCTGGGATATCAAAGAGAAATACATTTGCACGATTATTCAGACCAATCGTTGCCAAAGGTGTCAAGAGTTCCCAATCATCTCTAAGCCCAATTATTGCCACGTAATGACCTGCCAACTTTAATTGAGTCAAAACATCAGCAGTGTAATTGACACTCGTTGAGTCCAGGATGGCAACTGGAGATATCATGGATAATAAATCACAAGAAAATAACCACAACATAAATACAAACAAGGTAACATACTTATCAAAGTCTTTTGACCATTGTACATCCAAATGTCATTGTACAACAATGTCGCATTGATCTCATTAGACGCAGTAATATTCGTTGCAAGAGTACTTTGCATTTCTTGAATGATTTGCAGAACATTACAAGTATCTGATTGATTGAGTGGAATATGAATAGGTGGACTAACGATTTGAGAAATCATACCCATTTTGAGATCATTATTGACACTGTGGAAGAAAAATTATTAATCATAAAAATCTTCTGTTTCATACCTGTCAATGACTTACGGGAATGCTGTCTGTAATCTTTCAGTGAGTGACAGTGAGATAGAACGCATTTTCAAATTTGAATGATCCAGGATAATATAATATCCTACGCTTCTCTGGATTTCATAATTCAAAGAATGTATCATACGAGTAGTGTACTCCTTGGATTCTGAAATCAAGAACACTAGATGAAAAAGTGATCAGGTTTGTTTTTAAAAATTAAATTCTTCATAGAAAATATGATAACAGCATCATAGTAGATAGTATTAATAAAATTACCAACGCAAAGAGGAAATTCCAGCCAATTTTCTCTACTCGTCCAACCACTGTGAATAGTACAGATTATATTTTTTATTCCCATAATCATTGTACCTTCTTGACAAGTTATAAAGCATTCTTTTCCACTAGAAGTAGTGGCACAAGTCCACGTGCCATTTTTAACAGGAGGAGGATCTTCGCACTCTGAAATATTTAATAAGTGTATAACAAGACATGGAGGATTATAGTGTTTTCAAAAATAAATGAAGAAAAAAGTCTCTACTAAAAGTCTTACTTATTTTACAGACAAACGGTTGCTTGCTGTTACAGTCAAGTCCATAGAAATGTGGCTTGACGTGATCGCTGCGATCTAAATTCAAACAAGTCGAACTTTCCCGCTTGTAATCACTACGTAAATCAACCAAAGCCCAAGGCGGAAATCCATCACTATCCTTCTCGATGGGAATAACATTTTCGTTGTGCTTCCATTTCCATATATTAGTTTCGGTATGAAAAAATCCACCCATCCAAATATGAGAAATTTCTTTTTTGAAAAAAAAATCATCATTATCATCATGTCCTCGTTATTGATGATTGACTAATTTATTGTTTCAAAAAATACGTAAAATTATCTACCCCTGGGATGATCCCCCATTGCTTCAATTATTAAATTAGTCGTGTTCATATTATTCACGTAAGCCAGTACGCTTCCACGTTCACTGCAAAATGTTCGACTCTCATTCCAAGTCTTATCCATTGGATAAATTATATAAGTACTGTTTTCATGAGTAAATTTGACAGGCTCGTTCAACCAGTCATCCTCTTCGTCCTCAGCATCTGCAAAACAGTTAAATGTTCCTATACTCTATGCAACATACAATACATGTTCATAAAAACATAACTTTACATTCTTCACAAATAAAATCCCGTTTCCTATCGCAGCTAGTTTCCACGAAGCTGATGCTTTTTTCAATATGTCTGTCCAAGAGTAAGCAACCTTCGTTTCTTTGAGGTCGTCCAAATCGCCATGGCGGATATCCACTGTCGTCAGTAATAGAATTCAAAATGGCACCAGTAGCCATCCACACCCATTGACCATAAGAAAAATGTGCGCCAATCCAAGCAGTTTCAAAGTCTAGAAAAGAAAATAATTTTGCCATGCCACTTTCAAAATGTATCCCAAGCGAATTCTAACCTGGTCTTGCCTTGGTCATACTCTTCGTCAAGATGTCTATGACACTAGGATTCTTAACAACGGCGAGACGCATTCCCTGTGAACGACAAAAACCAGCAGCTTCGTGCCAGGTTACTCTTGCGTGATATAAACTGTAAGTATTCTTATTCACGTTAATCCATCTTGAGGGTACAGGAGTTTTAACGGCTTCCTCGGGTTCTACAATTCAACTTTCAATAGACGTCACAGCCGCATTACGGCTTTCCTATCGGTAAGAAAAATTCTGCAAGCTTACTCTTGGCGCATATAAATGGACGCTGAAGTCTACAGTCAAGATCGATAAAATTAGGCATGGAATGAGCACGCCTATCCATAGCAAGGCACTCCTTGGTAGGTCTGGTTGGTTCCCTACTCCAAGGTGGATATTCGTCAATGTCAGAGTCCATAGGAATTTCATTTTTCTTCCAAGTCCCGTCTTGATCGTCAACCCAAGTCCATATAAAGTCAACTCTGCGTCCAGCCAGCCAGGTATCCTCCATCACTGTGATAAGTGGGGTTAAAGGCAGATTTGAAATTATAATTTTTCTTTTTCCTAAACTTTTCTTTGAGTGGCAAACCTATATTTGAATCTGCAATGGCTTCTGCTACTCCTACTGCTTTTTCCATGCTGTCCAGGATTGCAAGCTTTGCGTTATACTTTGGACATAATAAACGAGCTTCTTCCCAGGTGACGCGCTCGGAAAAGAACAGGTATTGCATTCCGTTTAAGTAGTAATACTCGACTACTGGTTGATGTTCATTTTTACCTGTTTAATAAAAAGTTATGTGCTCACTATAATTTGTATTTTGTTTTCGTGGAATTTACTTACACTCGTCATTCACAAATGCATCCTTGGTCCAGGCAAAATCGCCTACAACTATTGGAAATTATACGGAAAATTTAAATGGGATTTTTATGCTTTAATTGCTATTTTCAATATTCTTTTATCATTACCTTTTTGCTTTGACTGATATTCACCATTGTGACGCGCATTCAAGTTCACTGTAAATTGTATTGTTAATATTATTAATATTTGCAATAGAAGCAATGTTTATTTTATTATTAACCTTTTGCAAAAATTGTTGAAGGAATCAGTAGGAAAATATAAATTGAGCCTCTAATATATAACATGTTGCAATTCGTCCAATGTGTATTATATCCGCAACATCGTATCATTGTAATATAATAGATTCATATATATTTACAATAAGTTTTATTATTTAATAATGATAAACACTCATTTATACTGAATAAGCTCCTGTCTTGCTGCTAACTCTATCAAACTGGTGCTCTATTCCTATGCATAGTTCAAACCGTACCTGGCACTGCTTTACAAACATTTCATTTTATTGGTTCTTACTTTTCTTTATAGCATTTTTATTTAAAAATGAGCACGTTTGATTTCCTTGGCGTATAGCAATTATACGCACAGGGATATCAATTCTGCACGTTATACCATAATTTCAATTTAACTTGCCTTGAATTTTGTTCCACGCCCCTAGCGGAATTTTCCGGAACTCTTATAGGTGCTTAACAGCGCCATATGATCCATCTTAATTGATACACTTTCTATTTATTGTAAGTAAGCTTATTAATGAATAATGCTACTAGCTCATGTGAATTCTATTTATTAATGCGATAATAAATAATAACATATACATGCAAAGCAGCAGAGCACACACTGACCATTATTCCTTAAACAAATAAATAACATAATAACATGGTACAGAATTATTTTTAAAATTAATAATAATTTGCGTCGTAAAGATCATTGTAATTCGATATCCAAAGAATTTAACGTATCGATGATATTACTTGATCGAATGCAGCGTTACCGATTATTGGAGTAAATAAGGAATTCGCCAATTCACAGGAGCAGCAGTTAGTCAGGGCTGGTAAGACAAGCATAATTTGTGCCAGTCTGCGTTTTGGATCTTCATGATTTTCCAAATGTCTTACCAGAATTTCTGACGCGGAGTCTCTTGCTCTTGCAATAAGACATTGCGTTTCATTTGTTTTCGTCAGTTCTAAAATACACGAGAAAAGACAACAAATTATAAATAATTCAAATTAACATCATTAATTCCACAAGAACAAGAATTGAATATGTACCCGGTCGACAGAGAATAAAAGTCTCCAAAGTAGAAAGCTCGACTTGATCCAATTTCAATTTCAAGATGGCCGCTCTGGCCGCAGCCAATGAAACAGCCGTGGATATATTCTCCGCGGAATTTTTCATTAGCAGATCCGAAATATCAATCGGCCAAATCGACGAACGAAATGTGAACAATCCCGTCCATCCTTTTCTTAATATCGCATTTTGTTCATCTATTTCCAGCATTCCAAAATCCCGATGACGTCTGGCACAACGAATCGCGGCCAGAAGAATCTGCGCTGACACTTCATACTGTATAGCTTGATCTACAAAGAAATAAAAAAAACTGTCTTATCCCCTATTAAAAAAATACACCAAAAAAAAAACCCTTACTGGATAAAATAATCCTCGGTACAGACGGTGGACACAGCAAAGGCGAAAATAACAATGGATTGTTAACTTGAGCCTCGTAGTAAGGCTTGGGTTGCGCAATACCAGCCTGTGGCATTTTACAGGGTAAAATCATTCCAGACCGAATAACCTGATTGAACGCACTTCCAGTTAAACTTCCAGTAAAGCTTCCAGTTGCCTTCCAGTTAGTTCCAGAGGTTGACGATAATTTATTCCTACATCGAGGACCACGTTCTTCCTGTACAGCTGAAACAGTGCCGAATACTTTTACCAGTTCGACAAAGTGCATCGTACGCTCTACCGTAAAACAAGTCCGTTAACTTATGCAGTGCCTGGCAGGATTGATTACATTCGCATAATATATCGTGTTCTATTGCATTCCATAAATCCAGTTGCTCGACCCTACGTTTTATATCAGAGAGCCTTACGAAGGCCGCGAACTGTGAATAAGAAGAAATAGAAAATCGTACGAGCATTTCAATGTGTCACACCATGCGCGTACCGTATGTACTGTACGTATAAGACCTTTTATCGTATGGCGATGACTATGTGACCTGAGAATACTAACTGAAAGCCACGTACTACTCGTATAGTATAATTGTCCTATTGCCACCTGTTCCCTGCTCGAACCATTGCTTTTTAATTATTAACGCGACCAGACCGATATATCATTCCAGGTTAAGTATACTATGTGAAATAACATTAAGCCTGGTACACAATGAACGATACGTGTTCAATCTAGATTCTGAAATAACATATGACACAATTTTATTACGAGCCTAGACCGAATGAATTTAAATATTTTTGTAAAATTAATATAAATTAAATAATTACGTAAATAGCTCGTATCTCCTTTTGCGGTTATGTTTCCAATACGTACCGCAGTTTTCTGTCAATGATATTATGGGCTCGTGTGAAGTCCCCTTTAGGTCTTTATGAAGAGGGTGAATATTTGTGTGAACATGGAATAACCAAAGGGGTGGCATTTGATGTGATTTGATTGTCGTTACGTTTGACACGTTACGGTTTGAGCTGTCAATGCTTTGTTACGACATTATTGCCTTAGCGTGTTCGCTGGTTCCAGTGACAATAGACTGGGTTTCGATAGTTATATTTATATACGAAGTTAAATTACCGTTGCGCAACACAAAAGATAGGGCCAAAGGTCATTTGGTTGTGACCTCCAATATTTTATTGTTAAACAAAAATTTTATCCATCAAACCTATGGATTTTTTTGGATACCACGTATCAGTTTTTTAACTGCTCTTTTTAAAACAGTTAGCACAACTGACAGATTTCTAAAATACATAAAACCAGCCGTGAGTCGGCTGTCAATTAAATTCTGTTGACAGGCTGGTTAGCATTGGTTAGTATAATGATTAGAGCGCGTGTCTGACACGCGACCATTGTTTGCATCTCGTTGAGTTGGTCCTAGGCTCCAGTTATGGTAACTCTAACATAGACATTTGTCTTTTTTTTCAGAGCTATTGTTACTTCCGTGGATTTTAATAACAATTATATGTGTCGTGTACTGTTTTCAAAATTGTATACATTTTTTATTTTATTTTATAGGACATACCTGCCGTATTCATGCGAACCGCAAAGCACTTCTTGAGACGACAATGGGGACACCAATTTCGTCTGACTTTGTCAATTGCGCAATTCCCGGTACCCGCTTAAATAAAATAAAAAAAGAAAGTAAGATATTACCCATCATTTAAGAATATAACAAAACTTAACTCTCTTTTAGAATTAGGTGAATAACCTCGTTATACACTGTGTATACAATTAAAGGAAACGATTAAATTCTAATCTGTGATTAAACGGACCTATACAATTGTAAAGTACTCCACGCCGTACGGATCTCTTGAAGAAACAGGAACAGCCGTCGCAGCAATAAACGCCATAATGCTTCCCATAGGAACGATCACCACAAACTTTACATGTTACAGGCGTAGGTAAGATTCTGCCTGTAGAAGAGAAAAGAGGAAAAATAGCGACTGCGTAAAAAAATTATACAAAGCTACCTTAATTTGATAAAAAGAGAAATCCAGCATAAAAAATCCAGATAAAAATTGCTCACGCCAAGAAGGTCAAAGAAAATGAAAATTTGTACGAGACAAAAGTAATAATATTAAATCCAGCTATATCGCTTACCCATTATTTGACGTTTCAATGATGCCCAGCAACGTCTTCAGTCTGACCTGCAGCAGTGGAAATGCTTCTGCCGGTGATCAAAGGTCGAATGAGGCATAAGGTTATCGAATAGGAGGTATTCTGATAGGAAGTATGGTCAACGCGCAGGTTGACACCTCGAATTGAAGGGTAGAGGCTAAAGTGGGTGGTCGAGGAGACACTAGAAGTGCTACCATGGGGTGGTGGAATCGTAAGGGATGAAGGCGGGACTCGAGCTTGTCGCCCTGATGTCAAAGCAGTGGCAATGATAATATTTATCATGGATTATTTATTCTACGACGACGTATGTATCTATTTTCATTATGTATATCTATACGTGTAACATAAAATTATAAAGATGATAGATTTTTAACGAATCTTTATTTATAAGTACATGTTCGGCAATGTAATGGGCGGTTACTGTGGCTTTCTTCTATAAAGTAGTTCAATAACATTATTATTTAGCTAATCGAGGGACGAGTCGGATAAATCCTCTAGGATTGCGATAACGCCATGACGTGTAATTATTTACATGTAATTTTCTGCACTCACTAGCCAAGTACACAGTGGCGAATACTCATTAAGATTACTAACATGATTATCAATCGAGTTATACACGGGACGAGAGAAAGATACGATTTTCTTTGCTTATTCCTTAAATCCTCGCACCAGTCGTCAAACAATCAAGCACACTATAGTCATCAGTGTCTGGGTCGACGACCCTCGTTGAGATTCGTAAACGTCTTTTCTGCTCTGCTTACATTAGTCTCTGGTGCATCTCGTTAAAAGAAAATTTTGAAATATATATTTCTAACGCATGGTACAGATTTCGGTTTTTTAGCCTGAGATATATTGATCGGCGGACATCCTTTTCTTTGTATATTCTCTTTTTCTCTTTCTCTATTATGTATACACGAATCGTACATAGTACATTTATAGTAACGCTGTATCTCACAGTCACTCACGATCGAGATACTTCGATTGGTATTTAAGTATTTACAAAAAGACAAGTGAGTCAAAAATACTCGGCTCGTGTTTCTCATACGAATAATCGTCGCTTTCGATTTCAAACAAGAGTTTCGCCAAAAATCTACGACGACAACTTGACTGTTAACTATGCTCAAGATACATACCAGCAACTGTTATCCGCAAATGATAGTCATTCCTTCCTGAAGATCAGTGTGCCATAAATAACTTAAATATCACACATCGAGCAAGCATACGGAATCTCTACTGTGAAACGGGTTCCGATAACAGCGGAGGTCACTAATGACTGGCTCATTAGGAATATTTTTAGTAATTAACATAAAAAAAAAATCAGCTATTGACATCAGAATTGATTTTCGCGCCCCATAGAAATGCCGATGTTCAGAAGAAAGAAGAACTCGTGTCGTTTACCCAATATTTGGACATTCAATATTGGAACAGAAGATCACGTAGCATCCTACGAACGTTATCAGGCGCGCGATAACAAGTACCATTATTCAGTTTCCGTTTCCGAGATCCCTTGGAGCTTTTACCAGTCAATTATAAAAAGAATTAAGTGTCGATCGCTTTACGAAGACGCCAAAAGCTTAGCTGCGGCAGTGACGTGATGTTGATGATGATAAGGTGCTTCCTGGGTGCCGTAATAGCTCTGTTGTTGATGCTCGCTAGTAGGAGTACCAAGTTGATGAGGATGTTGATAGTAAGAGGTATAGGCTTGTCCGACTGTACCGTCGCAGCTTCTAGGTTCCGTTTTGACAGCTGCTGTACTTCCGGTTGCAAGTAAGGAGGTATGGCCCAGATAAACTGGACGATCAGTAGTGACGGATGAGCTGCTGGATTTGGCAGTGTCTATTTGATGTTGCTGTTGCTGACTGCTCTTGAGTTCTAAATTAACAAGGTCACGTGGTTGACAGTTCGAATTATTTCCATAGACAAACAACATACATGACTATCTACTCTCGACTCACCGCTGGACGGCGATGACGTTGTTGACGTTGTTGTTTCATGATCACCGACAGAGGCTCTGGCGTTCGGTTCAGGCGTCTTTTTAGGCTTGCGTTTCCTGGTCTGAATCCCGTCTTTCCTCATGGCCAATGGTCTGTTCACACCGTGCAACTTGAAGTACAATCCACATGCGTTGCACACCGGTTCTCCTTCGTTGTTGCGCCTCCAAAGCGTTGTCGTCCTTGTGCCGCAATTTGTACAGCACAGTCCAAGCCGTCGCGTAGCCGTCTGGAATTCGGAGATCTGTCCCATTGCTAACGTATCCGAATGGGCGAACTAGTAGCGGGGGGTTCATATCTTTGAGAATTCATTGCGAATTCTACGAACGAAAAACGACGAAATCGGGACACGATGACTCGCGTTAGATTTATTAAACTTACGAGGCGTTTAGATGGTTTTATCAGTGGACGATTCATCCCGTTCATTTTGTGATAAAGGCCGCAGGCGTTACACAGATAATGACCAGTGCCGTCCCGTCTCCAAAGCGGCGTGGAAATAGCGCCGCAGTTCACGCACTCGCGTCCTTCTCCAAATTGAAAATCCATTGCTGTGTCTGAAATATATATATATATATATATAATTTTTAATTTCACCAATTTTCACTTCGCAGCCAGCTACTCGAAAAATTTCTTTGGCTCTTCGAGCTTTCGTTTCCTATGTACGTATCCGTCGGCCTGAGATCGTCTCTTTAAATAAAGTTGCCGCTTCTTTACGATCATCGATTATCAGCTTATCGATCGCACGAATAAACGATTGCACAATTAAACTCTTGTCGTGTGAATAAATATATATATATATGTATGCTGATCTTGACAAATTATTCATTTGTAAATCGGTTATTCGCACGCGACCCAACCTACCCCGTTATACTCGTCCTCGAACGTTTACTGGGAGTCTCCAAGCCGACCTTGATAGAGCCGAAGATTTTAATGACGGCGGATATTTTTTTTATGGGGTTTTGCATTACACGGACCTGCTTACATTTTTAGCCATAAAACGATTGCGGTTTACGGACCGCATGGCTGATGGAAAAACGTTTCTCGACTGAATTTCGAATTAGAAATATTATGCGGATATATTACTGATATATGTATCTCATTGTGTGGCTAATTAAAATAGATAAGAAACAACGTTGATAATTATTCATTAATAATTAACAGACTTATCAAAAGTTAGATAGAGTCCTTCACTGTACTCTAATCACTTGGACCATGATAGGTAAGTCAAAAATGAAAATTTCCTGAATCAGCCAGAAATTGTCATTAAAATAAAAATTAAAAAATAAAACAGACGCACCAATGCAGGTGTCAATTCAAATCTGAAAATTGAAAAGACAGAGCAAAAAAAATATAATAAAGTGTTAAGGTAAGAAACAGTGTACAGGCTCGCCATCTAAGAACTAAAATGTGTACTATTACACCCAGAAGTTCTAATCAATACGGTTTCGTGTCACGAAAGTACATTCACATTCATCCAGGTAGCAGATCGATACTAGTCCCTGTACAAGTATATGAAAACGGTTGTATAACCATAGTAGCTCCTTCGTTATAAAGAAAAACCCCGGTAATAAAGCAGATGAGAAGGAAGTAAAATCAAGAAAAATGGATCAAAGTAAAATAAAAATGAAAATTGAAGAATCAAAAGTCAGAGTACAGGCTATCGGTTTTCGCTTGGAGCCTTTACATCAGCTAAGCACCGTCTAAGCTCTGGTATCTTCCTTCTCGGTGTAATCTATGCTCGCGATAGGGTTTAAAGGTTTAAACATAGACCAAGTCTCGCATTAAAGGGCAATGGCGGCGACGCACGCTCTGGCCACAGGAGTCTGTGATCTGTTGCACTGGTGAGCACTTGACCGGAGGTTCAACTCGAGGTTCTTCAAAGAAGCCGCTATCACCTATAGAGCGCACATGGCCCGCGATGGGTAACCGGCCCTGCTATGCATTGCTAAGAAAAGAAATTTCTTTCTCTTTCTCTACGACGCTCTTGCGCACTGCTACCACAGAAGAATAACAATTGAACAAGACTAAGCCTACGGAGCAAGAATACAAAGCGATAGCGAAGAAACAAAATCATCGAATATAATTGTTCTACGTTAGAGAAATGAAAAATAATTTTTCAAAATATTCGTTAACCCTGGCGCCGGGTATGCTGTTATCGTACTACCAGGGGTATACGATAAACTAATCAGAAACGTAGAAATTGCACAGCTACGTGTCTTATCAGTCGCATATGGATAGTCTGCGTAACTTTTGTTTATCTTGACTTTTCTTATGATGCACGTACAAATGGCTATGTAAGGAACCATTGGATACCTAATCTCCAGGGATATCCCATATGGAAGTTTATACGTTCCTCGAGTGCATCGACGGGCCCCCTACGCACTTAGAGCTTCTATGTACAAGTCAATCGGTAAAGTTAAACGGTGCCCAGTCGCGTGGTAACCCTTGGACTCTTCTTTAATAAAATTGGTATCGCTCCATGGGGTAGATGTAAATTGTAAGATAGGCGTAAATTGGTGTAAATAGGTGTCGAAGGTGTGTATACGCTCGCTGAGAAATATCTATGGAGAGAAATTGTTGACAATGTAGTAAACTTTTATAGGTTATAAATATATCGAATTAAAGTTTTACCGTATGGAGAGGCACGTTGAAAGCCTGCGCTGTCGTAGGCGCGCCACGAGGACATCATAGCGACGTTCTGTGCGTAAAAGGGCGCGGCTGCCGCTGCTGCTAAGGTCGAATGAGGATGAGCTGCGTGAGGATGACCCGTATGAGGATGAGTATGTCCTGCGTGAGGTCCCATACCGCCTCCGGAGCTCCCAGTGTGGCTTGCGAGTGCGTGATGAGCGTAGGTATCTACCCCGTGCTGCCATGAAGCTGTTTTTTCCCTTTAACAAACATTGGTACTTTAGATTTTTATATTTATTCCCTAAGACCAGCCATTGACGATCGACAGACTTTTCTACGGTCTTGAAAAGTACTTTGAAATTAATTTAATTAAAATTCAAACGTTTCATTGAACATCGATCACCGATTAACTCGAGCCTCTGGCTATTTCCAGCTGTTATCGTCGGACTCCTCGACGAATTTCTCTTCGTTAAAACATTGACTCACCATGCGGGTGAGGCCGAGCCTGGAAATGAATGATATTGGGCGGCCGTGGCTGCCGAAGGTATCGTCGGTCTTGAAGAAGGAACGTAAACGGGCGCTTGTAGCTGCTGGCTGTGTTGTTGTTGCTGTTGGGTTTGCTGCTGGTAATCGGAACCTGCGCCGTACCCGCCACTTCCGCTCCCGTGGAACATCCTCCCCGAGAGCTACGACCACGGCATTTGCTGACGAGACAAAAATATAGTGTAATTATAGAAAAATTATTCTTAATGAACTATTCGACTAGAATGCATTTGAAAAAACCGAAAGTAACAACGCACTTAACCTAACCTAACTTATTAAATTCAATAAACTGCCCAATCAACCGTACTCTACCTTCCGCGACAAGTCTGCAAGATAATCGTGGTTCTGGACTACCAAGAAACCATTTTACATTCCAGCGCTACGAGTGCTGTAATTAATTATCCATTATCGCACCAGCTGATTTATCCCAAGGCACCACCAACTGTAACCAAACCTGATTACCCCAATACCCCCTATACAAGCTCAGTAAGTAACCAATCGACTCTGAACCCATTTTCCGTTTACTTGTCAACCCCATAAAGTCCACCAGGAACATCCCCATAGACCTTCCAGGACTAACCCTTAAAAAATAATCCACAGATCAGACGACCTATCGAAGCGTCGAAATCGACTAGAAGTCGCAATGGCGCTATCGCCCACGAATCCCAAGACGAGGCCGCCATGGTCCAGAAGTTGGAGTCTGGAGTAGCCAAGAGCAGTTCTGAAACCGGCCAGTGGGTACCAACTGCGAAGGGTAATTTATAGCCATGTCGGAGGTCCGAGAGAGTAGCTAAGAGTTTCGATGAAGAGAGAGAGAGAGAGAGAGAGAGAGAGAGAGAGAGAGAGAGAGGGAAGAACCAAATAGAAAAAAGAATGAGAAAAACTGAATAGTCAAGGTGCTCGGTGAAGAGGGGAACGTCTAGAGCCCTGGAAAGGTGAGCAATGGAGCGGAGCGGCGTACGAGGAGGGAAGAGAGAAGAGCCGAAGCCTCGGCGAAGAGAAAAGAGAAAAGAGCGCAGCCGCGTCTCCACCTCCGTTGGTCTTTGCTCAGCCCGTGAATCGGAGATACCGATAGCGGCCATCGCGGCCACGAATAACCAACGTGTAGGCGGGACCAAGGGCTGCCCGTGTATATATATATATATGCAATGTATATATAGGTATACATAAGAACGCAAACCATATAGACAGTCTTAGATATGTATATACCAACTAGTATCTTCTCCCTCCCCATAAACCAGTTCCAAAGGTATCATCATGGTCAGCTGCACATTTTCGGCCGGCCAATAGCCCCTGAGAACCTTCAACTACTTTTTTGAGGGGTTTTAAAAGTTTTCATTTTTTTTTCTTTTTTTTTACGAGACGATAAACCACGTGGATTTTTTCTCTCGTATACATAAGCGATGCTCTATGAGTATTGATTTTTTTTTTTTGTGGGGGAGAAAATATTTTTTTCACCTTCTTTCCCCTCACTCAATATCCACTTATAGGTACTTGGTATTGTGTGTGGTTATCGTGTGAGAATCACTATGGGTCGAGCGGTAAGAACATAGGTGTACATATGTGTAATTGGATGTACGGCACATAAGAAAGTTCACTAGCGATCCTCTGGTTATTACATTATGTTATTGGTCGTATCGATAACCGGTTGCCCCTATCTGGCTACCTACACGGTCATTTAATTGCGATCATAAATTAAATATTGTTCCTTGCCACGTTCGTATTTCGATATGTGTAACCAGCCATTGCCGTACGTGTAATAGCGTAGATAGATTAGACAGCCTGTGCAATGTCGTGGACGAAATTTTTCATGGGACTTCCGAGTAATTTAAGACGCAAATATCATTTCTGGGATCTATTAAGGATTACGGTTGGTAATACAGGTAGCTGCTGTTACCAGACTGTAAATTGGTCTTGTGTAATAACATTTACTCAGGGTTGTATTACCATTATATTGATATATTACCAATGACTGTACGGACAGGCGATACAAATACGTTACATCGTCTGTGTTACATTGGATTAAACGTATAATAAGAGATATTTTGTGCTGGGTTAATTCAAACGATTTTATAGAGGCGGATTAGGCTTTGGAAAAGATTAAAATTATATATGTATTATTTTATGGGATTAAAAAATATTATATAAATGTGTATAGAAATTGTAGAGAGTCGATAGGTTATCATGCGCGAATATAATAATTATTCATGTATTATTAATGTGATTGGACTTAAATATAAAATTTTCTTAAATAACTCACGCTTGCGATAATCCGATTAGCTATTTTTATTATGCTCGATTCACTAGCTGCTAGAAAGTTGGCTTCTTTATAAATATGTAGCTTCGTAATTCAACCATTCCAATACTGTCGTAATCACTTAGAGCCGTTTAATGTTCATGAAAGTAAACGAGCACTCTCGCCATTATCCTAGTCAATTATCCTCGTATCAAGACCGCTATCAATCATCCTCGCTCATATATTTATATCTCGATTAAGTCCAGTAGCGAAACCGAAGTACAAAATAATAAAAATTCATTCGAGACGCCTCGTTTGCGCAAAGTCTCAATTTATCTAGTCTCACGGAGCAAGTTACTTCAACCGACGCTGTGTACGTAGAACATAGAGAATCATTGGAGGAGGACTGACAAAGCTGAGCGTCTATTCGATACAGGGAATAAATTCAATTGGCACTTCTCACCTGAATCACCCTGTACGTTATTACGAGCTAGTGATACCATGACGTCAGTCTAACGTTTCCTTTCCACGGGCCATTTTTTAATAGTTTGCTATACGATGAAGTCCCCCACGTCACTTTAGACTGGGATAATGTATACGAATTATCGGTTTACGATGTTAATAAATATTTTCATTATTCATAATTGTATAACAGATCGAAGGGGTATCATTATTCTCGTTGTTAATGTCGTCCACAACTGTCTCATCCACAAGAGTGAAGATTCCTGGCTTATTCCAGTTTCAAAGTCGCCGGGTCGTTTTCCATGAGGGTAAGTGGCGCCAACGTCAGGAGTGGCTATGGCGCCGGCTGGGCCCGCGATCCTTAGCAAGCAGAGTGTCACCATTGCTGGTAAAGGGAAAAGGAAGAAAAGCACGTTACCCCGGGGGTATAAGGAACAGGTAGAAGATAGTGAACAGACTATGGCCATGGGGATGATGGTATTTCTAGTTGGTGAGTCAAAAAGTAGTCAGGTGCCATACTAAAACGAAACCTAAATTCTCACTGGAGACGCAGACTTCGAAATGGATATGGACTGTGTCGATTTATTGATACGTCGCGACGTAGGGCGCCGAGAAGGGATCTGTCGGTCGCGCTACTTGATAGGAGACCCTAATGGACGATCTTCTCGTTTGAGCATCTCGGAGACTCGCAGGTACAGGAAACAGGATGAAAATAAATAATTGACAGAAAACGAAAATCGATCTACTTCGTTTCAATCGTTACGGCGCCAACTTCAGGTAACCTCACTTAATATCTAATTACAAGTAGAATATTGTTGAGAGGTTAGGAATTCGTATCGGCGTATCTTTCAAGGAATTCGTATGTATAAACAGATGGGATACGGAGGACGTGTAATCCAATACAAAGCGGCATTCGTGGAAGGGTTTTTAAGTCTGATGAAGAGTACTTCGGATGGAGAGTAGCTCTTACTGATCAGACGACGAGGAGGACGACGACCACTGGCTTGGTTAGAAGATGAGGCGCCACGGCGCCGCCCGCGTAGAAGGGTTTCCTTGTAGGTCCCGCGCACACTGGGATACCTTCACGTAGAGACGTGACACACTGAGAAACGGACTGCAGCGGCTGCTCTTTATTTTTCGGGGCTCAACAGTGACACACCAACGGGTTTGATTTGATGCGGATCCATAGCCCGTGAGCGCGAGCCTTTGTTCCAATCGGTAATGGGTACCTACTCGTATTTTTTTATTACGTTTAAAAAGTCTTTTTTTGTACCATTTGAATTTCAGAATTTTTTTTATTCGTTCCCACTTTAGTACTGGATAAAAGTCGTACGTGGAGTTTTTTTTTTAATCAGATCTCAGAATCTCATTCAGATTTTGATTCGATGAGTAAAAGTTGTAAGAGGAATTTGGCGAGGATCGTAACCTGCACGCTAATGGGCCCAGTTTAAAATAGTGAACTGGTATGACTATTAATAGAGAATACAAGTATAAATCGTAATAAACGTCAAATAAATATTCAGCCCAGTCGCCGCATAAGAAACACTTTCAATACGATTTATTGTCTATGGAAATTTTACATAGGTTGGTGGTTGAATTGGTTTCTTCTGTTTCAGAACCAGACACGGTAGTATAGTACCTACATAAAATCATTCGTAGGTTGTCGTGCACGTACCAACATACAAAGAGACTCTATCAGTAGGTACTCTCGTAAAATCGTGGATTACATATGCTAATTGCCGAAGATCGTAAAGGAGAAAAATAAAGGATTGGTATCGGTCTGGATCCACCGTAGAATAATTACGATCCAGTTACCATGTGCATCTCCGTGCTGTTTCGCAGTGCTGAACAATTAGCAAGAAATCAGATTAGACAGGTATAATTAAGTTTTAATTAAAAAAAAACAATATCAATGTTATTGCTAGCATAAGCTACATTTTTTCCAGATTCTATGGACCCATCGACTGTTTGCTGAGTAGGCGTGACGAACGGTAACCCGAAACCGTAGATGCAAACACGAGATAAATCTTCTGGAATACTGGTCCAGTTTCGGCACGCGCCTCAGCCTTCGTACACACTCATGCATAGGACTACCTGTTCCAGAAGCGGATGGACATCAGGACAGGATCAGCTATCCTCTTACAGACCAAACTCCTTATGCTATTCAAGTACAGAAGATAAAGAAACTATTAGTACAAGTCTCTGTGAAATCGGATCTTTGTTCAGGTTACTAAGTAAGCAAAACATACTACATTCCTTGGAATAATTCTATACTTGACAAATAAAATGTATAAAAATCCTTAGAACATACAGATTGAATGGAGTTAAAAGAGAATCAGCTTTCAATTTTTCCCACGGGATGCAATGGCGTGCGAGTCGCTGCAGCCACGAATCTTGAATTTATCAGGCTTATCTCCTGTGAGACAATTTGGGTCCCATGTGATATATTTAACACAACACAGTCTTGGTGCGTAGCCAGTGACGTTTTTTACCTTTTTTCCTACTTTTTTATCTGATGGATATTTAAAGACTTCTTTTTTAGGTTTTAACGAGACAAAATTTGCGAGTGACTTGAGACTGGCGTTGGTGCAATCCAGACAAGACTTTAACAATATCAGCGTGTGCTGCCAAGTACTGCAGACATCGGAGCTACAGATAGGCACATCCGGTCTAGGCTAAGTGCTCGGTCATAAACGGAATCGCAAAAACTAGTGTTTTTTTACTGAGGATGTTTCTGTCTTTTGTTATCGTTTATCTGTCGCATCAATTTTCACTCTGACACAAATCAGACTTGGTACTACATTCGTATCTGATGATAAGTCCCAGGTTGTTTCCTGAAACTAAGAAGTTGCCAGCAAATCTTACGAAAAGTCATGAAATCTTAGTGTTTCCGTTGACTTTTTTTTTTTGAGAAAAAAAAGTGTAACTTGCTCATCCAAAAATAGAAAAGGTACTCTTCAGGGTTTAGGTAAGATCAGAATGGCGCCTTTCGTCGAGGAGGTCCATTCAGGAATTTCTTGAAGTGACCCTCCGCAATTCGGGATCTTTTCTGGACAGGCCCAAAATGGCAATATAAATGGGCCTTACTACCCACACTTTTATAATTCGTAGTTATTCGCCGGGGGTCCTACCTTTTCATGAATGGAACCTCTAGTACTACTACATTGGTAGCTGTACTGTTTTCTACTGCCATTACTGCTGCTCGAATATCCGTTCACTTTTTATCTGATTCGCCCACTCTTTCCCTAAAACTCTCACCCTGAAGTGTGTTCAAGGCCATTTTCATAACCAGTTACTTTCGAGCATTGACAATTGTACAAAAATCGTTATCCTCTATACCTTGGGATACTTAGTATGGATTTATTATTGTAATAAAACTTTTTCTATTTTCTCAATGAAAGTTATCAGCTAATAAATATCCAGCAACTGGCTTGACGACAGCTTCACGGTTCGACAGCCTCCTAATCTTCAATGGAACGTTAATGATTTCACGTAATATGAGGACTTTACGTCATTTAATTACAATCTCACGAACGCCAAATCGGCTTAGGGCGATCAGAAACGATCGAGGAAATCAGTTCGCGAGACTCGCAACTTTCCAGGAATGTCAACAGCAAAAATTTTACGAGTCACTTCTTTTACTTGTCATACTATTACTATACTCTTAGGTATCGTGATTCCCCAGCATTAAAATGAAACCAACGAGTCACGCTCTTCGACTACATACTTAGATATTACATAAGATTTGAATATTGGATAGAAAAAAATTAATAAAAAATGAATTAAAACGGCTACATTGATTTTAAGATAACTCTCATATTTTTGCTGGTACCTGTACCCAGCCGTAATCCCGGCAGAATTCATTGGGCTTAGGCCGGCGTGTTAAAATATATTGGCTATTGGGATCGAAGAAAATAAGATCGGCAAGCAGCAACAACATGTCGAATTTGTAGTCAAGTTTCTAGAGTCTAGAAGCGCGTATTATGGACATTTGAAAATTCTTCAGGTCGTTCAATTCCCTCGTAACGAGTCCCGTGCATTTTCTTGTCACCTTCAGCATCACGGGCTGGTGCACACTTATGCGCAAAGCCGATACGAGTGCTGTGCATTCGATGCATTGGCATCGATACCCGGTTTGCCTACTTACGCCTACTTTACATGAAACGAACGGTCGATCGAGCTCGTGAACATTCCCCGAGTGAAAAAGGGAAGAGGAAAGAAGCTAAAGAAAAAATGAGTAAAAACAAAAATATTAAGAGTCGAGCTCGCTCATCTGATTCAGGAATTTACTTATGCTTGTTTCCATGCAGACAAATAACTGTATGTACGTCTGTAGATGCGAACTAGTCAAGACTCGAACCTAACCTATAAAAAATTCCTAATAGAAATCCCACGTACGACAAGTAAAAAAATTGATGAAACAAATATAATTGCATATGCTTTATCTGTAATTAAAGAATAATTGCGATACTTACATACGACCATAATTAACCACTCTAATTGACATCAATTGTTTCTGTATTATTTATTCCAGCTTTTTTTCATTTTATCAATATGCCTGCCTATCGAACCACGCACAGACGTACATTCGTTCCTCCAAAGGAGTTGACGAAAAGATCGTATTTTCGCAGAGGGTCAACGATAATAAATCAGCAGTCGACCGACGAGAGTGCGGAGCCATGGTCGCAATATCGTAAAGTCCGGTCTAAGGCCGACTTCCGGTTTTAGCGTGGAACACGACTTTCCAATAAGGACGAACCGGACTCGGCATCTGCTTTCAGTACAGCCCGAAAGTCCGACAGGTAACGCGAGCGCGCCAGTCCGCCGGCGTCCACCTTTTGCGTTTATCTTCACGCAATATCTAACGCGGCACGGACAGCTGCTAATGACGCAAAGCCATGGCTGAACAGTCGCCCATCGATGGCGAATATTGAAGGAAAATATTTATTTCCATGAAAAACTTTTCGCAGCGTTTAAACGGGCCACGTGCGTATCTACAGTCACAAACTGAATCGAGCATAAGGATACTTGACTTCAAGGATTATTAATACTGTCATGTTACATCTTTCAAGCGATACAACTGATATGAAAATTTATTGTACGTCCAATATAGTTTATGGTGTCATAATTATCAGTCATAAAAAAGAAATAAAGATTTTGTTAATTTTTAAAACAAAAATTCAAGCCAATCCTACGCTCTGACGAGCAACAATTTTCACCGCGGAAAATTTTAATTTGAATTATCTTCGCAGTGTTAACGCGCGATTGATTTATTGTGTGTCTGTTGTCAGGATCAGCGACCGCCATTTTCGTACCACCATAACAGCCTATCCCTATTGCGGCTGGGACCTGCTATTATTTACCATTGTGCCCTGTCAGAGACCTGCTATTAGTTCCCCTCCATTGATTCGAGTACCCTCATAGCAGGGGATCTTTAATGGCGTCGGAGTTTGGCCAGTTGAAATCGAGAAAATTTATTATTTCTATTATACGCGAGGCGCTTCTACGACGATTAATACATAGTAATTAAGACCGATGCTTACGGCGTGAATTATCGGTTACAATGAGCATACGTAACCTCCTACGCGACGACGTAAGTAACAGAATGGATTTCACTTCACGTCGGCTTATTTGAAGATGGCGCGAGACTCGGTAGAGAATCGAGAATAGGCGTAATTATAATATAAAACTTGCCGCGCCGTGTCGCCTCTTGTGTCTCTTCTCGGTTTTATCCCCCTGTCCAGTTCCCTGAGGAACAACGTCTCTGCTTGCCGCCATCCGGGATTCTCAAACGCGGATCTTAAGGCGCCGTCGAATCACTGACAAGGAACCACGTGACTGTTGGTAGATGTGCAGATTCATTTGAATAGCCAAGCTATATTTTTCTTCTGACGAAAATCTTTCTGTCAATCTCACAGAATGGAGAAAAAGGATGACGATCGATTTATCACGGCACATAGATCACTCTCATTGAGAACCTATCCAACTGTATAAGGACACCTCGTCTTTATATTTCTACTTGGTTCTTGTTCAAGCCTAACACTTTGTAAGGACGTATATATATACACATCATGCATACCCTAACCAAATACTGCATTAGCATTAGCCCAAGTTGGTGACTGTCGTAGTTCCTTTTTATTTTTATTTTAGACAAAACTACTGTCGCCGATCTTGTTCGTCGCGCTGCTAAAGTATAACATTCCGTATTATATGGATGCTAAGATGCCTGCAGTTTCATGACGAAAAATGACGACCTCGTAAATAAAACAGGTACGAAATTAATCCCGAAAATGTCTTTCTTATCGGCACTGGGTATAGCAGATTTTATTCTATAAAACCTCAAGTAAATACTGTTAATAATTGACTTTCAGGCACGTGCACCTAGTTTTGTTTTGTTCCAAATATTGATCAGCCTAATTAATCACACTCGTGTTGTTCTTAGGACAAGGCACTACTTAAGACCGGTTTTCATTGGAATCCTCCATGCGATCTGTGTTACTATAAATTTTATAATTTTTACATACAGTCAAGTGCATAGACATGTAATCATAAGTAATTGCGTAGCAATATACACGGTTACCTGGATAATCAGCTGCGAAATGATCAAAAGTAGGATATATCGTTAAAATGTTACACGACAATAATAATAAATGAATGAAATATTATATCATACAGTATTTACATTAAAGCTTCGTTTACTCGATTGCTAATTATTTATTATAAGACGTACCTTAAGACTGTTCTTGCGCTGTAAAATAAATGCAGCGGATGTATCTTGTTAGCATGAAGATACTATCATGAATCCTGTCCAGGTATCGTATGGAATCATTGAAAAAATTTCACTCCGTTAATTGGTACCACACCCCCTCATATTAAAAATTATAATTGACCCCGTATAAATTTAGCGTGTCTATCGCGAATCCTCTTCAGGCCAGGACGTAACGATTCTCCAGAATGTTTAACAGTAATTTCTATAGTAATGGCTTCTGCGAATACCCAATGGATATTCGATTCCATCGCTCTTTGTATTCGTTTTACGTAACTTTCAACGGGATACTAGTCCTACTACCCAGTACTTGAGGATAATGCAGATCAGTATGAGCTCTACGAGTAAAGACACTTTCCATATGGTAAAGAAAAATTCAAACGTCATATTCTTAACTTGGTCGGTACAAATATTTTTTCCACAGGTATTAATCGCCTTGCACTCGTTAGCTATGGTTAATGTGACAACTGATAGACGCCATTTCCTTAGAGACATTAAGGTAAACGATCCCACTAGGTTTATTGAAATTTAATGGAGTTATCAGCATGCGAGTCGCTGTTACTCCTGTGCAAAGCTGTTCATGCATCGGGAATTTATGGCATCAGCATTGACTTACCTTCTTCGTAAGTTGTGAGAGACTCTCACGATTGATATTACGTATACATACAGCATTCACGACTCTCGGGATCTCCAAGGATGTTTTATTTCACGAATACATAAATAATATTGAATCGGCAAGCAGGTTAGACTAATAGATAAATCTAATGAAAAGCAAACTGTACCTGAACCTAACCTCGAATAACGGTAAGATCTTTCAAGTTGTTTGACAAGTAAGAAAAAAATGGTGTAATTAAATTTACATATCCGAATGAACAATTCATGCTTTATTGTGGTTACGGTATGTCGTTCGTGTTTCGCTCATCTGCAAGGCGCAATACCAGTGGAATGCAAGCTGATAGTTTATCGTATCGTAATTCCTATCGGTTCTAACAGCAATAAACGTGGGGAATCGAGTCGAGCTGCTGCGAGTGCTCCCGCAGGAACTCTCAAGATCACTGTTTATGCCGATGAGCCTGCTCCAGTAACACGAATGTATGTATACCTACGATAGAATCCACAGGGTTCTGGTAATCGAGAAGGTAATTTTGCAACAGTTACTACCACCTGCCAGTAGTAGATACTACGTGGATGCTTTGTTTTTTGATATACTATAAAAGAGGCACAAGAAATATGTAGGTACAATGCCTACTTACTGTGCAAGTAAAATAAATGCAGGAGTATTGAAAAATTATCATAGGTTATGTGCATCTACTCTTGAATTTTCTTCTAGGCGATTTGAGTACACCGAACGAACCATTGGTTGAAACAGGTGGGGAGGAAGTATTCATTTTGGAAGATAAATTTAGCTGTTCCAAAGGTGGCAGGTGTCCATGGGTAGGATCAAGACGTCTTTCGAAAATCGTCCCTTTTTAACACTAAACGTACGATCGACCGGTCATTTGACCGTTTTAAAGCCAAAAATACGTTTATAAAAAGTTCTTGGTATGTTTAGTGTTAAAGAAGAAAGGTAGAGCTTATATGAGCATAACATAACCTCTATTCAGAGTGGGTACTCAGTGGTCAGCCATAAGAGATCCAGATGTACCTTTACAGCTTGTAGACAGCCAGGGACATTCTATTGGCGCAATTAGCAGTAAGTAATAATTTATCTAAGTTCAATTAATGCATCTGGGGGTCGCAATTGCGTGTGCGTGAGTCGACCGACGCACAGCGGTGCGTCTCGGCTCGTACACGGCCAATCCTGGCAATCAGTGTAAATTCACAGTGCTACGCACAGACCCTGCCTCGTTCAGACTTGAGTGTTAAGTTTTATTTCTCGTGGTGATCGCACCGCGGAATTCTAGATTATGAGTGCGCATGCGCTGGCTACCGGAAGTCTGGAGTACGTATGACTTCTGCGTTATTATCTATTTTTATACGGATGATGGCTACCAGAGATACTTGGAATTTCACGGTTTGTCCAGTCTCATGTATTTCATTCTGATGTCTTTTTTTTCTCTTGCAGAATCAGGACTGCGTATGAAAATTATTACATTACTAATTTCTCCTAAAGCGATTAGATAGCCATCCTTCCTGGCTGGTGACAAATTAGTCGGAATAATAACTATGCTTACTGGACTTTACTAGGTTTGTTTCTCATGCTAATAAATGCACGAGGTTTTGACTGAGCAATCGATCCTCATCGTGTTACTGGGTACTGTTATATCCTTGCTTGCAGGATGAAAGGACGTTACAGCAGAGGAGAAAGAGGAGAGGATTAGCGCATGTAGCCGAGACGTTTGCATTGGCCTAGTGCCTAGAAGTGTTCGCGGGTTAAATTAATTACCTGGTTCTTCTATGTAACGGGTCTTTAGCTGTTGCAGCGAACCGTACAACGACGATCTTCATGCCGATTTTATCAGATTTTATTGGAGATTTACAGTTAGATATACTAGGAATTTTATAATGATTTTATGCAAGGGATGCTTCGCGCACTAACGTATGGTAAACCATTGTAAACAAATTTATATCATATTTTTATCGTGCCTGTATTGTTTACTTGAATAATTTTTTTTCTTTAGAATGGAGATAAAAAATATTCAACTTTCTAATCGTACCCTATTGGGAATATGCTATAATTATTCTTGAGGTATTTTAAAAGTCTATATGACTTCCGCATTTCAAATATCTGTTCAAAAGTGCCAGACTGCTTGGCATAGATGGGTGGTAATGCCATGAGTCGATTATGGAGTCGCACTATAATTAATGCATAAAAGGTAATGATGATCAGGTGTAAATTTCGTGAAGGAGTATTGCACGAAATTATGGCAGTTGCAATATTTTCTTCATTTACTTGACACTTATTGACAGTTCGACAACTAGTTTGCCATAAATTAATCGCCTCGCTTACATTTAATCTCGGTGACCAACCCGTGAGGCTTGACAGCTCATAATTAAATATGCACAAGCGTCTCTTAAGCAACTCTCTTGCGTACAGGGTGTCTCAAAAGCAATCACTCTAGGTGAAAATAAAAAATTTTGGACTATCCAAAAAAAATGTGTGCGAATTTTTATTAGATGATTATTATAATCTGCTATAAAATTAATTACAATGATTTACTGCTCGTTATTATATCAAATCTTTTGTTTTGCAGATCCTGTACATTCTCGTGGTGCGCCGAGTATATCTACGTGGGCGCATCGTAGCTTCTACAAATACACTGTACGAAGGTGTTGATATAATTTATGATTACGCGTACACACAGGGAAAATGATTCCTAACGAGACTTCTCCATAGACAAATGACTTGGAGATTTTAGCCAGGTTCATTCATTCATCTCTTCCATGTTTAAGGATTCATTTACACAGTTCTTAGCCGAATAAAAGAATTGTTTGACAACTCTCGCCTGTGTCTACTAAAACGAGTATTACATTTGGACTATAAATTAATATGTAATTTGATTTTAGGTAAAGGAACAAAATTTCAAAATAAAATAAGAAGTCAGCTTAAGAATCACACAGATTTCCTAGTGCGATGACTGCAGGTACTTTGCTGTTTATTTAAGTGAATCTATGTAACCACTTTCAATGGATTGCAACGATCATGGGTTAACACGTCTTTTCCTATGGGAACTGTTATTTAAGGATGCTCGCCTAAACGATCCTGCAAATGGCGAGGGACATTATAACTGTCTACGTACGTTAGACACTTCTAGCTAAGAAAAATTAGCCTAGTCGTATAACTATATACCGATAATATATCTATATATTTTTCAAGACACGCGCCATTAGTTCAAACCAGGATACCGTGTTACGTGTGTTGCCTAGGTTCTTGAATCGACATGGGATCTTCTCTGGATCCTGTATACAGAGAAGGAACCTGAAGGTACGTATTATTTAAGTTCGCGTATACTGGAATAGCTGAATTAAAAGTCCCTAGACAAGTTATCCAGGATCTACCTAGTACGAGGATCCAAGTGTCCCTGATGTTAGAATTAACCTGAAAATATTTCCTCCAGTATTCAAACACATTCCCGGCGTCGTCCACGGCGTGTTTTGACTTTTGGCAAAACAGGACATTAAGTCGAAGAATGGAAGGATCCCGAGGACGTTATCTCGATCTGAGCAACTTAATCAATGGCCATCGAACATCTACCGTGTAGGCGTCGTCGGCCTCCTCTGTGCTATACGGACCCGAAGAACCAGCATCCCATGCGATTCCTCCGGGTACCTCTGGACATATTATATATCCAGGGTCGACAACACACACGAGACCTGGATCGAAATTTCATTCTAAGAGCGTCATCGCTTTGTTATTTCCTACGGACACCTTTCTGTCCCTCTGGCGGATATGTTTGGCGACAGTCGCGTGTATGAAATTCTTCAGGAAACCACGTGACAGCTCGAGCGTCACCTTAAGGCAATACGTGCAGGTAATATTAAAGGATAGAAAATTCTTGAAAAAAAAAAATACATACACTCTACTTCACTTTCTCCATTAAGTCTACAGTATTCTAGATCCCTTCGAAATTCCATTTTCAATGTCCTACCCGATGGCGGTTCCGAATTCTCTCAATTTTTATGGTGCTACGCCGAAACCAGTTTGCCGGCGGTTCGGTCAGTTTCAAGAACTTGACATGGAGTATTGACGCGCTACATGATCCCGGAAAGCGCCCTCGGATCGGATCAAAGAGACAGGCGAACGCAGACACGGACGGACAGCCGTACGGCTGGACAGCTCCCTAAAAATTACATAGCAGCTAATGAGCCGCTCAACTTGGAAACGAGAGGACTTGCGCCCGACTGGATATACACGTGACTATGGAATAAAGAAAAATATATGCAAGTCCGTTAATACCTGTATAGTTACACCCACGCAAATGAAGAATTATGCGAGGTTTGTTAAAAGTATGCATGATCATCCCCGTTCGTTAATCTATAATTAATAACTGACTTCTCACACAGATTTATACATACTTTATGGACGTTACTTTCATCAACTACTTACACCGCGCTACTGATTCTTTATCAGTAAGGATATAACGGGTGACGTAATGATATATTCAAATTGAATACATACATACTTTGACTGATCTTCTCACTGTTTATTATAGCTGGAAATTATATTCGGCCTGTGTATACATATACATTCATAAGGATCCCAAACTACCATACAACTTTTGTTACGTCCCTGATGGTGAATTCCGGTAGCACGACCCGTAAAATCCAGGTAAAATATGAGACACGCGTATTACATAAAGGCATTGACAACGGACCAAGGTGGAACGATGAGAGCCCCATAAACGGCTTCTTACCTTCAGGTGTGTAAATACAAATGGTAAGTATGTTATATACTCGCCCACGTTACTTATCCCAGATAGGATCTGGAATATTATTCAGTTCCAAGTAGCAAAGGGCGATTGTTCAATTCCGTGAATCGTCATTTTAATTCTCACCGTTATCAGCAGGGATCTACACAGTGGCAGGATATTGCAGTATCGGCAGTCCGATTAGATTTTGAAAACGGGATTCACGTGGCGAATAAAGTGACTCGTGGGACGCTGTGAAAACGTGTCCATTAATCTGGCACACCTACGCCGAGGGAATGCTTAAGAGAGAGGAAAAAAAAAAGGGGGTAAGAAAGAATCCTGCTAATGGAATGGAAAAATTAATCGCGCTCCCTACTGGACTCTAATGCACTGACGAAGTTGAAGTGCGTGAAAAAGGTGAAGACGATATCCAGTCGAATATAGGGAAGAGTGGGAAGATGCTGGAGAGAGAGAAAAAGGAGAGGAACGAGGTAAAAAGAAAAAGGGTCCGGCTGTGTTGTTGCTATAAGCTGGCACTGCGGCGACCAAGCTCGATTCTTCGGGTACGAGACGAGACGCCGGGCGACAACTAATTAGGCCTAAAAACCCGACGAGTGCCTTCGTAGTCTGCCGCCACGGGACTTGGCCTGCACTTCACTCCGTGAGAGAAGCCCAAAGCCACTCTCAATGGATTGACCTGACTTGATTTTCCGTATTTCTTTTTCTTTTTCAATCTGTTTACCTGGTCTTTAGAGATTTTTGCTCCGACGATACTCCCAGAGTCGATCACTTTCTAAAGGACACCTCCTGGCACGTGAACCTGAAGTATGGTACCTAACCTCATTGCGTATCTACACCCATACTGATTCCTCGGTAAATTATTCCACTGACAATTCCCTGCTGTTATCCAACTTTACCATGAAGTTTGGATAGGTAGGCATGACTATCAGCAGCAACGATACGCTATCATGGTACTGACTATTCTTAAGCGATTACATGACTTCCGGTAGCGACTTTCTAATCGCAAATTTTGTTTATTTCTGTTAATTATTTCAGAACCGACAGAGGATTCCGTCAACAAGAGGAACGAAACGGTCGGACGCGGACCAAGAGTAACCGATCTCGTTCTCCAAGAACCAATCGCGTTCTTCCTCATCAACCGGAGGAACCAGTGACGTTTCGTCAATGGAGAACAATGGTACCAGGATTGGAGCATAGACCATGGTATTACTCCCTGTCCTCTCTGTCTACAACTACAATTTTAATGGCGGTCAGAGCGGTTGTCAGGGGGACCCATATAATAAAGTACGAGCTCCGCCCGCATGCACAACACTTGTCACAAAGCAAGAACGGCCGGACGAACGGGTGGAACGGGTGGACGGAACATCGTGCTGCGATAAGCGATACCAAAAGCGAGCGAGTAAACCACGATAGGGATAGCATTGTTCCGTGGCGCAAGAGCTGACTGTTGTTTTATGAGTACTCGATACTATGTATCCACCTACCTACCTTACGTAGCAATAGTTTCTTACCGTAACAAGGGTAGAGAGGAAATTTAGAGACTCCATTGGACGATCCTGTATATTCAATATAAATACCATAATCTGGCCTAACGTACAATTAGACAGAATATTTGGCGGAAGCACTGATACTGTTTAGTAAAAAAATAAAAAAAATAAATTGTAATTATGCATAGAATAACATTGTGCCTCGTAGGGGTACCGACACTTGCCGATAGACACTGCTGATTATCGGTATGCATATTCTGCGGGAAATTGCTTAGATAAAGTCATTTAGCGAAACGATGCCGGTGCCGCCATGGATCGTTGAATCTTTGTTGATAATGAGTATCTCTCTTTTTTGTTTGAGATTATTATTCAAGCTTTTTGTCATACCATTTGACCGTACCTTACTTTGGTTTTTAAGTGCTCGAGTTTATACGGTGATTCGAGGTAATAATTTTCTGGCGATACGTGTTAATTGGTTAATTTAAAAGAAAAAAATGAAAGAGTAATGGACCACGCGATACAATTTTACTTTTGCGATAATGACGGAATAGATAAGAGGCCAAACGTGTTAGCAGCGTATCGCTTGCGCCAGATGGGAGCTGCTAATGTCATGCCATGCAGTAAAATATTTCATACTCTCGATTGCAATAACTGTTCCCGATAGTCGCCTTATAGGCTGCATCACCGCGTGATTTATCGATCCTTCGTCGTTTCGAATTATTCATGTTAATTCGCGCGTATTGCATCTCGCTATACGCAACCGTTGCTTGGTTAGATTTATGGTCGTCATCGTAGATGGCTGATCGTGACAAAATTTATATGGAATGCGATGCAAAGAAATTGATAAACGAGCGTTACCATATGAGAAACAATGTCCAATGTATAGAACGAAACATATGACAACAGTGTACAGACGCCTTGGTGGTTCGGAGGTAGAAGAAAAATTCTATTGGTCGCTAAGTAAATAGTGTTTTATCAGCTTTATAATTTATATATACTTAGATATAATAATTAATTATCGCATTAATATTGTCGCGGCTCGACGAGTCTGTAGGATTGTTAAATATTGAATGAACTGAGCTATCGAGTAATTCTCTTAGCTGCACGTGGCTGGGGTCGATCGAGACAGGATTGGCCGGTCCATAACCACTAAGCAGGAAGGACTTAACGAGCTAGAGACCTAGGTACTCACGTATAATCAGTCCAAGATTGACATGGTTAGCCGCAGAGAGGATCGGCGTCCTGATAACGTCTTGCGAATGAAGTAAAGTTCCTTCTGAGGCGTATAGGTACGGCGTTATCCTCGATCCTTGCCTGATAGCCAAGGATCCCAGAGCATGCGAGTCGCTTTTCCTTCTCTCTATTTGTTTTTCCTTGCCCTTGTTTTTTTACTCCTCGTCAGGTCTTATTTGAATAATTAATTGCGCACGCCGCCCAGCACGCAGCTCTTCTCGCCGACGTAATTAATTAGTCCTACGCACCGCGGTGCAACTACGCGTTCGTTTCTCTGATAAATATTCCAGCTGGCCGCTCGGGCCGCTCCTTTTGCAACGCGCGCTTACTTTGCCGTCAGACTTCTCTTTCGCGCTGAGATTATCTTAAGATTGGATTATCAATTTGATTTATTTGATTTTTCAGTTACTTCGGTAGGTGCTGAGATTGCAGGAGTTTTATGGAATTTTTATATTTTACTTTTACATAAGCTTCCTTGAATTTACTAAAGATCTATTTGATCTTCTACTTTCATTTGTTTCAGCTTATATACTCTTTAAGGTACTTTTCTTTTTTTTTTATCATTTATTTCTTATGGAATCAGAGTAACGACTGTCACTGTCAATACTGGCAAAAAAATTAATTATCTGTTTAACTGTTTACAGGATCACAAGACACTATCAGTCAATACTGTCAATGGCACCGGGAATTAGATACACTCTTTAGTTTAAGACACTATTTATCCAGAGATGATTAAGATTTTCACAAAGGTCACTATCATCCCCTTGATGATACAAATTGCGTTGATTTCTTTTACTAAAGGGGCACAAAGTCACGATTCACGATTAAGATCATCCACAGTGCGAATAAGAATAATTGTACTTCCTGGGGATGTTTCACTGAGCGTTGATTGTGATTGGAAAAGTTTCATCAACGTGATCCGCAAGCTTGGTCGGCTCGTAGGATCTGAACGAGGACCAAGTAACAGGGACCAGGATCAGGACGTGGTGCAGTCGTTGACTGCGGCTCTGAAACTGCCCTGGACAGTCACCTTTCGTAGAGGAGGGAACGGAGTCAGATAGTAGAGGCTACAGGCGTTCTCTTCTGTGCCCAGGGGAGGAGCCAGGACGCCCACACCAGTTCCCGGCGAGTACGCCCCTTCTAATTTTCATAAAATCTTCCCTCGCACGATCCTGGCTATAATGTCCGACGAGATCAGTCGGGGATAAAACCACGGACCGTTCCTCATGGATATCTTCGCGCGACGCCCTACGGACGCGAACCCATTGGATTTATGGACTCCATACAATTCCTTCAGTTAGCCAACAGCTATTTATCCAACTTCTTTAATTTAACTTATAGATGAAGGACTGTTATTCTTTTTAGATTCCAGGTATCCACTTTGCCTCTTCATTACTTGATTCTATAATTTTTTGGAAATTCCTGAAAACGAAAATAATCCTTAGTACTTCCAATGTCATTCTAATTATACTTCGTGATCTTTTTTTTCTAATACTTAGGTCATGAGTACCTTCATATGTAAAGTGTCATACACATGTGACAGTGGTTACTGAGTTCTTATAGTGTCTATCTGAGTCTATCTTGTTCCTTCTTAATTGTTATCATAGTGAAATCATTAGCCACCAGGTGCAATTAAGTACTTGCTAAGCAGTGATACAATAGAAAGTTACAATCTGATTTGGAATTATTAAAAATATAAAAGATTAGCTATCAGAATGCTGTATACTTTTCACTGATATTTTATGTAATAATAGATCTTGGGTAGAATCATGCCAGCTATGGTTAATGGTCAAATGAAACAAATAGAATATTTTGATATCGGGTACCAATTAGATATCCCACTTTGCACAGTTCTGGATTAAAGCTGTATCGCTTGGTGAAAAATGCACCTGGGGTAATTACAGAACCTGGTATATTTTACTCTTCTCTCGTGGGGACGATTATTGCCACGCGGCCAATTAAAACTCCTGATTGGAAGCCGACGGATGGTATCTCCTGTGTTAATGGATTCTGCATCGCCTTTTCTAATAGCGAAAGTATCCTTGTAATAAAATTTGAATGCCCTGAGAAAATTAGAGCTGTCTTATGAAACTGTAAGGAGAAATAAACCCAGGTGCATCATAATTTTTGGATGCATTTTGCGATGGCCAGGTTAACTACCCTGTATGTATATATACGTATATACAGTATAGGGGTAGGGATAACTTACCAGTGGATATCCTGTAACAAATAGAAAGGACGTCATCTGCAAAGTATTCCTGAGGGTCCGGACACACGCATTTTCCCGTACTCACCGGAAACATCCTGCCAGGTAGACCAGGGACGATACGGATCAGAAAAGCGGAAGCCACTTTTCCTTCTGGGGGATGCGCCGTAAAAACCGTTCCAGTTAGTTGTCCTGAGTCAGGGATTCCAATTCTCTAAAATCCTTAGTGTGTCTGTCTACTTATTTTTTTTTTTTGAGAATCTAAAAATATCGATGACGCCAGATACCTCTGGGCATGTCTAACGTGAAACAAGACTCCATGTACATCCAATTGGCACTCCATGTTTGAAGGTATCCGTTTCTATCCTTTTATCGCGTACCTAAAGAAAAAAAGAGACTATGAGACTTATGGAAGGTTCAAGGACTAATTGCTATGGTGAAGTCGCGATAGAGTACATAGATGGGTCATTCTGCTTGAAATACGAGTACAGTACATTTAGGTACATAGGATCCAGAATTTTTCATAGCTATCTTCGACAGAAATCAAGGGAGAAATAATGTCAAAAAATACCTGTAAGATGGTCGAAATTACACGTGAAAGGTAGTATAGTGAAATACCCATAGACATCTCATAGGTGTATCCAGATCGTTTCCAAGCACGGGATACCATACCCAAAAAGGGATCTGTCTTGTTTGGGAAGTCGTCCCAAGGTAGTGTAATGTAATGGAGCTGTTTTGTGCAGGCGGAGAGATTTGTCCTTTATCCGGACACGATCTCGGCTACCAATTATCACCGTGATACGATCTTTCTCTCGCGGTCCTTCAGATACCCATATAAAAGCCATGCTCCTTTAGGACTACGCCATATAAAGCTCCAGGATATTCTTCTCCAGAGACTTGACGTGAGGGCGCGACAGGAAACGCGTGCCAGTCGCCATCCAGAAAATCGAATGAATAAAATTTCTAAAAAGATTAAAATAGCCATTAAAATTTGAAAATTTAAAAACAACATATGACCAACATAATAGTACCACATAGAGGTACACACCATACAGGAATTATCATCAGGGATCTTATTACTCTCAAGAAAGTCAAGGTTGACAGTAAAATGTAAAGAAAAAAAATGTGCCTTTTTAAAAAGGCTGTACTATATATAAGCACCTAAAGTGCATACCTTTCTGATTGGTCGCCAGTGTAGACTCGTACAGGCATTATGTGTAGCATTATAGCAGCAGTGTGCATCCAACATGGCAGCCCAATAAACGAAGCAGGTATTAATGCACTCAGAGGGGGTCCGAGTGGTCCTCCCCGTTGCCTTTTCTTGGTCCTCAACCATCGGGAACCTCGAGGAGAGTGCACTCCGGGCACTCACACTCCTATTCGTTCGTCCATTAGCGCGCGTCGTGGAATGCAATGCCTTTGGCGTCGGGAGGAGGGAAGGCGCGAGACTTCTGCTGCACAACCACCATCGTCGCCACGAGCACGATCACCACCATCGGAGGAATCACCTACGACAGGACGAAAATTATCTGTCTGACAAGAGGAGAACTGCTTCCAGGAAAAGTGCCTTGTTCCTTCGTTTCTTCGTGCACGCATTAGCATCGGCTCTTCTTTATTGGCTGATCAAGGATCGCTGCGATCCGAGCCCTCGGCCACTGGATTGTCCACTTTAATTAAGATCCATTCTTTTTACAATGGAATTAATCAAGGCTTTGTCAATGGCATTTTAGGTGAGCTTTAACAATTTATAGTAGCAAGTGTCACTTTTGAGGTTAGATGTTTACAAACTTTTATTTGACATTTTGAGGTTAACTCACGCTGGACGCTGCTTTGTATGGGAAGTTTAATGGTTATTTTTATTCCGTTGGTACTTCAGGAACGTATACTTACCCGTGGTAGGTACACACATTAATTAAATCTGATCAATCAGCCGAAAGCGCTATAATGCCTTCATTATCTTGGTAGACGTTCGGATAAAATATGGTTGGTGCAACTCGACGGTAAGTAACGGTAGAGATAGGCGTGGCGCCGATCAGAGAATTGGAGGGTGCAGCTTGACGAAGGGTGCCCACCCTAACATTTGCTGTCTTTAGTTTTCTCTGCTCTCTTTGCTCACCTCACTGGCTCTCCCACTGCTGCTGTATCTTGAAAAGTGACGTACCGATATTATAACCCTCGAGAATTTCGTTGTTCTATCGTATTAAATGTACACCCCTGTACGTTACCAAATGCCATAACGAATATCGTCATTCCATCAGCCTGTACATTTCATTACTATTTATTTCCAGGAATAAAGATAATAATAACCCGCACAAGCAACCTCACCGGAAAGTGCAAAGTCCCTAGGGTGAATTTTCTGCACCCCTAATGGATAGAGTGTTTAATAGGTGGGTGTACAGCTCCCTTCTCTTCCTCCCAATGTTAACGAGGTAGGCGGACTTCTGGGTTAGACGAACACGCGACTTCCGCTGGTACACGCGAATGCACTAAAGAGACCGTTTGGTACGTTTATCGGATTTTTCTTAATGGGATAAAAATAACATGGGGGCTGTATTGTATTTTTTATAATACATATATCCTTCTTGGACCTCCTTTGTATACTCAAAGCTTTTCTTTACCTAGAAGAATTGTACTGATGCTAGCTATTCTTTGTTCCTAGATTATTTTTTTCCAATTGAAATTTATACGCTCGATTTCAAATTTTCCCGCGATTCGATACGCCGAGGATCATAACAGGTGTCGGAATTTCGTTCCTAGCATGTGCGCATGCGCGAGCGCTCAGCGAATAGATAAATGTTAGTCTTAAGTGTCGGTCGTAAAGAATGTCGTTCGAGCCTACGCGTTATTTTATACCAGATGATAGTTCACTGTCTGGTATTACAAATCATCTAGGAGTCATTAAAATTTTCGAATATCTGAAGAATTTCGAATAGGCGTCTCCTAGAGCGTGAGGTACTTCGTGATGCCGTCAATTCACTAGGATTTATAACCAACAATGATCTCATTTGATTAATGCGTAAACGTAATCAATTACTGTACACTAATGGCCATTAGACGATAAAATGGCGGCCTGTTGGATTATTCTCTCACAGTTACGGTACTCGCGTGTTTCTCTATGAGAAATCTCCTTAGATCTCCTTCGGTTGGACTTGTGAGTTATCGTGATACTCACGTTTCTTTTTTTTTCATTTCTTTAATCTTTCAACTATTCTCAAATTTCGACTGTAACGACACACGGGAAACGACTCATTACTTAAATTTATTTGCGGACTCGTTAAAGTACCAGAAAGGACTAAGCAACCACACCCATCGTTTCCAAAATAAGGGTCGCCACGTGCTGACAGTATAAAATAGAACAGAATTTTTAGAAAATAACTTTGAAAAGGTCTTTATCAATTTTTGATATATATCTCATGAAGTTATTACATAATATTTTATATTATACGTTTGCAGTGTACCTACCTGTAAGAAATGGACAAGCCTTAAATATCCAGATTGAAGAGAAATATGAAACTTTTTATATCCAAGGACTTTGTTTCTAAGAAAAAGGATTTTAGCAAGAATCCTTACTGCGATATATAGGTATAGTATAAATACAGTATGTATACATGTAACAAACTCTAGTCACAAATTGATTCTTCTAATCTAATCAGTCGGCGGCGGTCTCTTCCCGGAAACCGGAGCGGTACGCGGGTACACAGGACACAGAAGATGCGAGGGTCCAAGTGGGCGAGGGATGCTGGATGCCAAGGAAAAAAAGGAGGACGGTAAACGTGCGAATAAAGCAAAGCCAGGAACGAAAGAAGCATGAGCCAAGGGAGCCAGAGGAACCAAGAGCTGCGATTCTTGTGGCTTAAGGCAGAAACCAAAAGAATCGCGCTGGAAAGGTTGGCGAAGGTGGCCGATAGGTCCATGGTGGAGATGCAAGGGGATTCTGTAAGGTGCGGCCGAGTGGGCTCCAATGGGGCAACTTAACTTACTCCGAGCTCAGCATGAAATATCGCGAACACAGCGAGAGACTGGTCTAAGCGATGTTCCGCGCAAGATCGTCGATCTAATTTGTTGCGCTTTGAGCTTATTTATTGCGACAAACTGAAACGTATGTACCTATATCTACAGCTATATATATGGTGGGGATCTTGCAGGTATTGGCTCTCATATGGATCTTTCTTGGATGCTGGTTATTCATGGTGATTCTCGCGTCCTGAAGAGATTATGGGAATTCGTTTCTTCTTATTGGTACATAGGTGATCTCTGTATTGTTCTTGGGGCTCAAACTTTTTATTTTTTATTTTTACTTTTCATGTTCAGAATTTCTTTCATTGTACAAAATTTGTATACGCTTATTCATTGGGAACTGTTTGACATTAGCTTTTATATAGTTTACATCAAAATCTTTCTTTGTACTAATTAAGCTAAAGTTATTTTCAACTGCAGAATCATCACTGGATTTGTTTTATATCAATTTACTAACTGGCAGATCGATATCTGCATCTTTTTAATTGCTGATAATATATCTATCCTCTTGATTACATTGATTAGATTTAAAATTAATTATTTTGTCTCTTTATACTTACCTCAAATCTATAGATACATAAATACAAAAAATCTAAATAAAAAGTCATTATTATTCTGCTTTTAATTAACAAAATACAAAATAAAGCTGCTGTCAGATACCTTCATGGCAATCTACACACTGACCGTCGCAATAAATTATTTCTGTATATTTATTAAGTCATTTTCATCACTTTTCCCAACACAAAGGAATACTCTAATTATTTTCTAATCCTTTTTCCAGAATCATTACATGAAAATTACCAACTACCTCTTGATTATAAGCAGCATGGCAGCCATAGGCATACGAAGAATCCAGCTCGCCGACGGAATGGCCGATTATGAAGTCTGGTTGAATCCTCAGAGAACTTAATACGTCGGCAAACTTCATCTGGATTGGTAATTTCAATGAATCTGAACAAAAAGTAAACGCTGGAATTTCTTACTTGCATGGTGGCAATTCCATAAGAGATATTTACACGGTTATAAAATATCCATCAAGGATTGCGATACAGATATCTTCGGATTTTAGTAGTCCAGATGTGAATACGCCAAATGGGTACAATATCTTATTAAAATTAGCCACTTCAATTCATCCTAATTTATAACCATAATTGTTATTTATCTGAACGCAAAGACAGACTTTTAGTTGTCACGTATGTCGGCTTCGTTCGCGCTGACACGTATCAAATATCTCTGTTTATGCTAACATGCTTTCTATCTGAAAGCATGTACGGGTGAATAAAATAATTATTTACAAGTAAAACAACAATATGAACAAGTACAAGTCTTTTGCCACTACCGGAAATCGTTGAGGATTTGCATAATAGATAAATACTCTAATTGCAGCTTTCTATGTGTTATCTGTTAAAATCGACAATCCCCATAATCATTAGCAATTTTGCATAACAACAATTCACTTATTAATTTACAGTGTTAAGCGGCAATCTCTATTTGACCTGAGACATTTTTAAAAAATTACTAAACACCATAACAATACAATTTTCTTTGAAATTTTCCAAAGAACTCAATTTCGTCCCTAAGGCGTCTTTTCAAAAATTCTTTGCTCACGCAGTTGAAGCAGTGCACAGAATTCTTTTCATAGTGAACCAAAATGGCGTCCTACAGGAAGTCGTTCTTTTCCGACACAAGACCCAAACCAATTTTCCACATTTTCGTCTGTACCACGAAATAAACAGCTATCATTGAATTGTCCCCAGGTAATCGCTGTCAACATCAACACGACAAAGAACCGGAAAGCCATGCGTAATTCAAGAAGAAAAAGGATAAATAAAAGAATCGAAGAACCAACAGCGCCGAAACAAATCCTCGGATTATTAATCTCTTAGTAGCTAAGTGCAACGGTAGCAGGGAGCAGTTAATCTTTGAGTTCTCAAGTAAAATCTTCGATCGCGAGTAGCGCAGGTGATCAGTCATCATATTGGTAAGACATGTGTGAGCCGTGAACGACAACGTAGAACGTCGTTCGGAGGGTTGGGGTCGGTTAGATATAAATGATTCTTGCGAGGGAACGCGTCAATCCTGTAATGCCTTGGTTAATCTAGCAGATAATGATGGCGGAGGATGACTGTGAAGACTCAGATCTGTATATGGAAGATGTAGGAATTGAAAAGGATTAGAAGAATTGTCTCTGTCTAGAGATCCTAGAAAAGTGAAGAGAGAGAAAGGAAAAAAGAACCATCCCAAAGAGATCGTTGAGAGAAAAAGTAACGGTGCTGTCTGATAAGAATGACCCGTTGGCGCCATGGTTGACTGTCAAGCTTCCTATGATCCTTATAGGATCCCATGGGATACGTGGACCGCATCCCTAACGCATTACAATACGTTTCCAACTGTATAAAATGAAAAAAGGTTAAAATTAAACTGTATAAAACTTCTGTAAGCTCAATATACATACCTAGCAATCGTCAGAAATTTTAAGAACGCCAATTTCAAATTCTGTAATTGAACTCCCCTATGGAATTCTTTGTATTTCAAATTGCTATTTGTCATTTTCTCAAAGTGCAATTTATAAAAGACAGGAAATACTAACAGTTGTAAATATTTCGTGTGCTCGATAAATTATCGATCTTTATAATCATATGTAACGCGCAGTAAGGCGAATTAGTCACGGGACAAAGCTTGGCGTAATTTAAGTGACGAGTCGTACTCACGGATTATTTTTAATTGATACTTTAAGTTGATCTCGATCATTCGTTTATCCTTTGTTCGGTAAGTCCAGCCATTTGTTAATTGACAAGTTGTAATCGTACATCAGAAAATGATAAGACACCTCTTGCTTATCAGAAGAATGTTTGTCGTAATGATGAGCGTGCTAATATACTGTACTCAAACTTAATAATTATCGTATCAATACATCGCTCAGGTATTCCCTGGTTACATGGAACACCTAAAATGACAAATCTAGATCATACGATTACTGATAATAAACAGAAAATAGATTCTTCTTATCAATCAGGCCAATCGATTCTCAACGTTTCAACTTGTAAGTGTTAAGCTTTCAAATCTGACTGATAACGTTTCGTGGATCCAATAATTATTTTTAATAAGATCGCAAGAGAATTAATTATTGAATACATATACAGTGGATCAGTTAAGATGCACATTTGGGATTTGCGGTGTAACGGTGCAGGATTTTGAAAGTCGGATGTGACAACCATTGAATATATTTTGATTACCCATCAATTGCACATATTATTATTGTTCGTTTAATTTCCGTTCGCAAATAAATATAATTATCTTTGTCTTTTGAATATCGAAAAAAGGTAATTGTAAAAGTCATAGATCAAGAAACAAAATAGAGACGAAAGTTCAAAGGGGTAGCATACATAATAATGGATTTATGTTCGAAATTTAGTAAATTTCTAACGGATTTTTGATACCGGCAGAACGCCTTAGTTTTCTGCGGTAACTTCACGTCGAATATTGAATTCGCAATTGTTTTGTCGTACGTTCGGTAAGACATAGACCCGTACACGGTGGTTTAATCGTATCGCAATGCTTATTTGTATTACAAGTTGAAAGTCTACGTATTAAATTTTACATTCTACGTGGTCCTCGCTATAGATTTTCGGATTTTCCATCTAACGGAATTTTCCGGAACTAAAAATGCTCCCTACGAGAACACATGTCTTGAATTCTCGTTCCACGGCCCCCTAACCGAATTCTTCGTTCCACCATGAACCGCGAACGTGCATCTTACAATTAGCTGATGCACTCTTATATACAGTGTATACCTTTAAGATAGCATTTATAATATTTACGTAGTCGATAGATATCGAATTAATCCAATTCGAGTATACGGACTTGGTATAACGTTCAATAAGACTAGGTTAGGGTTATGATTGGAAGAATTTGATTAGGGATAATCAAAAGCATCCATTAGTTGATGATTAATCCAATTATTACAATCAAACTTTCCTCTCAGATACTTCAGGGAGACTGTCAATGCCTTTACATTCACATACACTTGTATAATATCTCTAACGGTTCTTACAGATTTGAAACGAGGAAAAAAAGTGGATGGTTCATATCCATGTTCCTAGAATCTATCTCCAGGAGATGATACACAATCGACGCTTTGTCATAACACAGAATCCATCTAGCTCTATCTCCAATGAATTAAGGTAAATTAGACAGTATCCCCTTATCTGACACACGACCAAGTCCAGTTTAAGAATAATTCATTTGACTTATAACAATTATATATTTACTTACCTCTCTCCTTACTACATTCCATATTCGTTGCGTCTGTTCCAAATAACTGCGCACTTCTTTTCGATCCATCTTGATAATGTGACACAATACAATTTTCTGTTCCACGGTCTTACCAGCGTGTCGAGACACAAGGTACGATCCGGACTTGGAATTTCTAAGATACAAGATGCCTTTTCGGGGGCAGAATGTTGGCGCCTCCCTTACAAACGTATCCTGTACTTCCACAAGGTTGACAAGCCGTGCATGTATACTACGTGTGGAAGGAGGAGAGGACGTGTGTCTTCTTCCGCGATGAATCTCTGGGAATCTAGTGAAGTGGATGTGATAGTCAAAGAATGCAGTCGCCGTCTGTCCGCCGGGTCGACTTTAAGCCCTGAAACTACTACAGCAGCGAAAGAAGGTACGTATTGAAAATATTTTGATTGATACAAGTTTGATTAAATATTAAAACAAATTTTGAGACTAAACGGTATAAAAATAATCAGCAAGTTTTCTATGTACCAAGATATCCTAAAACAATAAAAAAAAATGTCAATATTTTTATTAAACAATGAGTCATTCTCGATTCATCGATCCATATAATTGATCATATCCAAAATCATACTTGGTTTTCATTATCAAGGTTAAAAGAATAATTTATATTAATTTATGCTAGAATTTCAAAAACTATTTTTTACTGACTTTTATCTTTCTTTTGTTCTTAAATTTACCTCAATATACTCGTTAAACGTTTATAATATAATATTCAATACTAAAATGAGTTGGTTCCAAGCACAGCAGCCGAGATATGCTGAATAAGAGGAGCCACGTTCTTGTTTTATATTGTAAATCGCTTTTACCGATAGTTGATCGAGAAAAGGAGAAGAAAAAAAAAGGGGACGCGGAACGATCCCTGGAAGGTGGAGTGGAGTCGTGGTTGGAGGGCGGCGCCACGTTTGCGCCTGACAAAAAGTCAAAGGTAAAATAAAAAAGAGCGTGGGGAGACCGGCTAACATGGAATAGCCCTTAGCGGACTCAGGGCCGGCTCGATAGCCACTCTTTAGGCTGATGGGACGACTCCTTCTTCTTCTCTTTTAGCCCCTAACCTCTCTCACTATTATTCTACCATTCTGCCCCACTCCGTGGGTCCCTTACGCTCTCCTATCTTACATTAGCCACCCTCCACCCTTAAAATCCAACGTGGCGACATTGACCGTCTCGTTTGTATACTACCCCTATACAGATATATACATATATGCACAACTACCCTTCGAACTGCTCGATTGCGTAACAACGCATTCAAGCTAATTAGCCGTCTCCATAGATAAATTGAAGACTAAGAAAATTCTCAAAGATTCTCTACCCTTATTTTTTTCTAAATCTTCATGGACCTCCGAAGGAAGACGAAAAAATCGTTAAATATTAAAAAATAATATTAATCGCCTCAATAAGATATTTTTCCAAAGCGATTGGGCGAAATTCGAGTGAAATTGAAAATACAAAAATATTGCTCTCGCTAATGTAGGGTAAAACGATTTTATTCTACCTTCGTTACATAGATATCGTTCGTGCACTTGATGCATACAAATGGGACGTATAAATTATCCCTCGGATACACATCCATGTGCATATATATATATATATATATATATACACTTATGGATCCGGGAGTAACAAACTGTACGTCGGTGTAAAAGCGCTCTGAAGTACATTACCATATTTTGAAAATAAGTTACCGGGCCTTTTTTTTTTAATTAAACGTGAAAACGTTTTAAGTACTCAGATTTTACAGAATTGAGCCAATTTCTAAAATCACGTATCAATTACTACGTTTCCATATTTCAGGATTTAAGTGGCATCAACGAATCACGTTGGTGTATTCTTTTCAAATGTTGCACATGATCGATTAAGCCTGTTTAAACTCTGTAAAGTGGAAATCTAGACAGTGACACTTGTGTAAGTACATTTATAAAAAAAAAAAAAGAAGCTATTTCTCTCAGAAGCATTAAGCTTCGTTTTCATTTGTTCTTCTTTCGCACTCATGCATACCAATTTCGCATCCATAAGCCGGACCGCTATTATTATTTTTCTTTTCAATTCTTAAACATACTTGATCAGCCAGTTAGACCAATTAACTCTAATACACATAGGTATAAGTACGCTAGTCTCTGATTGTTTCATACAAGGAACACAAAAACAAAAACCTACAAAACAATCAAGTCCCGCACTCCTGTTACAATGAAATTGATTTATATAAATTAATAGTATGCTTTTTCTCTATTGATATCTTATAATATCGGACTCCGTCGGCGTGTAAAGGCTGCTTTTGTAAAAGCGTCGCGCGACGACGTTACAGATATGCTATTTGACGATTAACGATTTACGTTGTAAAGCAACGTACAAAGCGCTACTGCCGACCGTCGCGACGATCAAAGACGCCAAGCGACGTATCTTTCTACTATTATTCCAAAGAGAACCTTGTGTACGCAGCTTTATGTTACAGCGTCAAGTGCATGCATCTTGCGCTGCTGGTGACAGGTTATTTCTTCTTTGACAAAGAGCCCTGTCCCAGAAGAACGTATGGGCTGTTTCCATTGTGGATCGCGCGCGGAAATAAAAACGTGATCGGTACGTTATCGTTGCTCTATAAATTAAAATACACGGCCGTTTTCTTGGCAATACAATAAAGGACGTGACAGGCGTGTCTTTACACGTGATTGTAAGAAAAAGAGAAAAGAAGAGAGTAGAAATGAAATTAATAACGTACAGTTAATCTTCGCGTATAATCCCCATAGATTTTTTCTTCTATACTGACTCTTATATACTAATTCTCTGTACTTACATGATTACATATCTACGTTTATGTATGTGTGTATATATATATTACTCTTTGGGGTAAATTCGTATACATAAATTCTTTGGGTGCGCCGTATAAAAGCTATTTACAAGTAGCTGCACGTGAAAATGTCTCGGGTGGATAAAGACGATTATTTTTTTTTCAATAAAAAAATTTTTTTCTACATATAAGAAACTATGAATTGTCTACAGTGGGAATTGCGTTAAACACGTCAAATCTAGTCACTTTTCTTCAGTCAATACATAGTCGGAGAATCATAAAAGTGATTCTCTATTTTTAGTACTGACTCGAACAGATGGCGATCGTGTTCAGCGACGTTATTCTCTAGGGATTTACGATACCGTGCGTCGGTAATGTAGAGCGCGGCCACTAAGGTAGGAATCTATCGGTATATTTAAAAAAAATAACCATTAAGACCGATCGGTACGTGCGGCTGTCGTCGAAGTGATGACCGAGGTAGGATCTGTGCCCGATCGACTATTCATTGGTTCTAATGGGGGCACGCTGGAAAAGGTTAAACGGAAACATGTTTTTAAAAATGCAGCACTCAAGAACAATGATGCTTAGAAAAAAAATAGACTACCGTTATGCAAAGTGATTTTAAAAATGATCAAATATCATTTACGAATGACAAAAATCATGTACACTCACGTTAGGGTAGTTTGTCGATTCAACACCGCGGCCGATGGTAACGCAAGGGGTGAGTGCGCATGCGCCAATTGCGCCGTAGCGAGCGTTCCCACATGAAGATAATGTTCATCACCACTCCCATTACCACCACCGCTGGTAAACATATTCAGCTGCAGCTTCGGGTCCACTTTAAAAAAAAAAACAAGAAAAAAAAGATATTCATCACACCAATCATTCGGAATCCTCTTATCAGTCGTACCGCAAATTACATAACAAAAAATATGAACAAAATCCAAAATTCTGTTTGGCAAAGAATAATTAAAATCCTCCCGTATCACCTAATTTTTATGTCACCATCAGACGTGGCAGAAATAAAAATAATTACCGTTCGTGCCGTATACAGCACTGATGGATTACAAGGCTGACGATAATTTTCATCGAAGCGTGATAAATTTCTTAACGCCAATAATGTATAGTGGTGTATGTGAAAGTCAACGCGAAAGACAAATAATAGAAAACGAAAAGTCGTGAATTCACGTCTATTAAGACATAACTGTGCGAGGCCACACGCAGCTGCGTAAGCTGGATAATAAGGTGACGCTAATAAAGTAATACCCGGCCATATAACACACGGCCGACTAGGGAGCCGTAATCCAGCCGGATAAAGTCAACATTGCGCCTACAGAGAAACCGTCCTGGTTCTTGATGGACAAATCGATCGGCAGGTTCTTCTGTTATATATATATATATATATATATATATAGACTCTTAATACTACACTACTATTCAGCTCGGCCACTGGATTATCTCTTCGCCTCCCGTACGAGGTATAATTTTCCCCCATCCAGGAAAAGTACTTATCGTTATCGCACACACGTCTCCGCTTCTGACCAATCCGATGTCCCGTGGCTCGCCGACCCACCCCCTCCAACTTCCCCCCTTTCAATCCTGCTACTCTCTAACCCTCGATCTCAACACTCGGAACCATATTTAGTCGGCCATCATGGACTTTTACCGGTAATCGATTACACCATGGGAAAGAAAATCCTACATACATTCCATGTAGATATTTTTTTTTGTTTTTCTTGCCACGAGATGATCGTCCAGGTTAAACTGTGTTATCTTATCTGTGAAAGATAAGACCTACGGTTGAAATATTGAAGAATGAATTTGCTCACCGGAGACTCACCGAGTAAGCTGGACTTAATCTCGGTCTTGTGCATCCCACTTGGTCCGGCTAGACTTCCGCCGCTCATCACCGAGTGATTCTTTGGTTTTCGCTTTCTCGTCTGGATTCCGTCCTTCTTCATGCTCAGCGGTCTGTTCACCTGGTAAACGAAAGAGAAGTTTATGATAATGCCAATAAAAACGGTGAACGGAGTTGTCAATTTTATCGACACTGATATTTACTTATAGAAAGATGACAAAATGGCTGACAGGTAATTTTTTTGGGGCATGATCATTGAAATCGATGCTTGTTTTTTTTTTCTTTTTGGCGAACACGGAAACTCACGTGGAGCTCCTATCGGCTGGTAAGAAAAAAAAAAAAAATTGATTCTTGATCAAGAAAACAAGATAAGTCGATGCAAATTGATTAAGTTTACGTAACGTGATTATTTTTTGTCAATCAAAGATATTTCAATATTAACGTCTACCGTGGCGAACGGAAAGAATATTTGAATATTTGAAAAATAAAATATTATTTTATGATAAAAAGAAGACGGTGAAAATTAAGAAATTCCTTTAGACTAATTATAAACATTATTATGTAATGTTAATCTTGACCAATTTTTTTGTATGTCAACCACGATAAGATACAACTCGAAATCGGTATCTTAAACACAACAATGACTCTTGTTAAATGCCTTGCCGCCAGAAGGGAAGCAAAAAAAAATAATAAAATTACAAAAAAAAAAGTCTATCATAACAATAAATGGATAAGATGCCTATTCTCTGATACGTCATTTAAATAATAAAAATAATTTATCCGCTCAATAACGCGATACAATTTTCTTTTAATTAATTCCAAAATTTTTTACGGTTTTTAAACAGTAAACCAGGAGGTTTAATTAAATTCTTTAATACGTCCGTCACCACTGATCATTTGATAATCATCTAATTCTCTCAGGTACACATTTCAGTCATATACGTATAATTACGTGTCCTTATCGATGCCTGCCAGCGTGCAGAAGAGGCAGATAAGACAATTCAGACGTTCGACCCAAGATTAATATTAATTAAAAATGATTAACTCGAATGCCAGATGGCGGCACGATCGCGAATGAAATCATCATGGATGAAACTTTTTATGAGAATATTAATCCTCTCGATGCACGGACGATCAATCATCGATTGGTATTTCACCAAAGATTCCGGGTACAATCGTCAATACCTCGAATCAGTCGGACGTTAAATCAATGAAAAAAAAAAAAAAAAAAAATTCCACTAACTATACATAGTTTCAAATTTTTTTTTTGCTATACAGGTAAACGAATCCAGAGACACAAGGAGGGAGTAGATCGTCTCTTATCGACTGAAGGATAAGATTACAAGGAGAGACAGTAAGTTTTAGTATTAATTGAAGTGAAACAAAATTTCTGATGAGTTTCATAATTTCTCATGTCCACGAGGATAAATCAATCGGTTGCATCGTTATCTAAATCAGCCTATAAAATGGCGCCGTCTGAACGATATCGCCGTCGAATTAACGAATGATCGATATCAAAGGTACGATTGAATGACGGTACCAATTCCACGTAAAGTGGGCATTGGTCTTTCAAAATATTTTTTAGAATAAATTCAAAACAAAAAGAGAGAGAGTTACTCGTATTACGATTGAATGACGGTACCAATTCCACGTAAAGTGGGCATTGGTCTTTCAAAATATTTTTTAGAATAAATTCAAAACAAAAAGAGAGAGAGTTACTCGTATATTAAGAGTAAGATAGAAAGAGAGAGAGAGAGAGAGAGAGAGAGAGAGAGATATTCTTGCAGTGTAAAGTACCAAGCGCCATAGGTGTGGTAGACGACTGTTTGTTTCTCCACGTACGTACGTTATACCGTATAAGACCGAGTCATGTGTATATCCTGAGGAAGGTGAAACGTTCCAAGAAGTCTCGGGACCATATAACTGTCCCAAGACGCAATGGGGCCTTGTTTGCCGTCTTTACTGAATTTGTTTTAACTTTGCAGGCTTTATTATTTCTCGACGACGAGGATGTGGTCTTCTCACTTTTTTCTCTTCATTTTTCAAGTCTCGTGAAGGAACTGCGACAAAGATTCAAGGAACGAGGGAAGTCATGGAGACGGAAAAAATGGGTCCTTCCCTTTAAAAAAGAAAAAAAGGTCACTATAAGGGATATCATCGTTATCTTGATTATCGTACCAACTCGTATAGACAGGATAGATGCAAAGGTTATCTTGGGGTAGATGCCATTGCGTGATATCACACCTGCGTGATAGCAAGTCTAACAATTACCAGATACAGGAAATGAGTTTTCTGGTTAATTGGGAGAGAAAAGATAAATCTGGAACTTACGTTGTGTAGCTTGAAGTAAAGACCGCAAGCGTTGCATACTGGTTCTCCATTGTTATTTCTTCGCCACAGCGTAGTGTTGCTAGTTCTGCAATTGGCACACTGCACGCCCGTCCTTCTGCCGCCGGTCTGAAAATAAAAAGAAAAAGAAACGAAAATAGAAATTCAAGAATCAAATAAAATCGGGATTAATTTTCGCGCGAGTTAATAATCGAATTTCTAGGAAGCGCCGACAGAACTGATAAAGCTCAGATAAGAATCTTCTTGGGCTAAAATATCAAAGTAATTTTCCAGGGTCAGAGAAGATGTAAATATATAGATCAAAAAAGAGATTGGTTTAAAAACCCTAGTAGTATCTGCATATCCGTATGAAAAATGATGATTCGAAGTACGAAAGCCGGAAGTCTCCTTTAAATTTTCAATGTCTAACATCCGCCAGGCTGATAATCATCTGGAGTGATTACCCCGTCTATAGGATTTAGCGAAGCTCGTACGAGTTAAGGATGACGGAATCCCCGTGTCGGGACGTCTATTTGCGCCGCGATGAAGTAAAACGAAACTGGGAGTGCTCCAGGGAGAAGGAAACTAGAGCAAACAGCACCCACCCCGTCACGTAGTTATTATTTGCTCCGCTTGAGATAACGCTCTTCTCTCTCAAGAGAGAGCACAAACATTACTTAATATCGAAGTCGTGTCGTGGTACGCAAGTTATCCATCGAGCCCTTATCAGGACAAATATCAATGGCCTCGTTCTTCTCGTGGTCGTAATATTTTTTGTTTGGACCATATGGATTTTCATTGGAAGAATTACAGCGGCTATGACTGGATTCCAAAAATCAATGTGTAAATCAATATTAATTACCGGTGCGACAGACTGTTTGGGTTTGGCGCATCTCATGGGCGGCCTGTTCACTCCGTTCATCTTACTGTAGAGACCGCAGGCGTTGCATAAATAATGTCCTGTACCATCCCTTCTCCACAAGGGTGTCATGTTGGCAGCGCAGTTGACGCATTCCTTGAGTTCGTTCGTTATGATTGGCCCTTCGAATCCCTCGTCTCCACCGGATGGCGGCAAGGTAGCCCAAGGAGAGGGTGGTCCGTTTCCACCCCCTGTGATACTGTATGTACCCCCGGAGTAAAGCTGCAAGTTCGCTGCGTCGCTGGCTGAAATTGCTGTTACCCCAGAGTAGCCTTGAACGTAGTCCAGGGATGGGGGTGGGGATTGGGCGCCAGTTGGCCAATATTGATCACCGGTGGGTTTAACACATTGGTACATGGTTGTACCACTGCCGTAGAGGGTCACTTGAGATCCTGGTGATGCTGGTTGTTCGTAGTGAATGGATCCTGGTCTGCCGCCCCCTAGGAGTGACGATGAAGTCAGGGTGGGATCGCTTTTTATATAAACACTACCGGGGGAGTCGACCTGTCGGATGTAAAAGATTTATTCTTTAATATTGAATGAATAATTTTACCCACCACCCGTCTGACGTGTTTATACATTTACCTCAGATCCTCTGGAACCCGGTTGACTGCTCGTTGGATAAGTCAAGTACAAATCGCCAGATTTTGTATAACTGTAACTGGTTGCTGTTTGCTGAAAGGTATCGGCAGCTGATATATACTGAGTGTACTGAACTGGTTGAGACGGTGGTAGCGCGACCGTTTCCAAGGTGGTATATGTACTGGAACCCTTTATAGTTTCAGCAGCAGCAGCAGCTTCCGCATCATACTTAACAGAGCCACCTCCACCGTCGGAGTAACCAGCAGCAACAAGCTGTTGCTGGGTCGCCCTTATACCGTCTACAGGCGGTGAATATGGCGGTGCCGGGGAACTCAGTTGGACGGTACCGGCTTGGGATACCATGGGGGAAGCTTCGTACTCATCGGCATGACCAGTTGGCGAACCCCGGAACCTGGGTGTATGATTGTTCTCGTGCGGGCTAAATCTTTGGTGAGGTTGGGTCTGCTGAGGACGCCGATGATCCTGCACTTGGATGTTTATGGGATGACTGTCTCTACGGACTTCCGGGTCCTCGGCGTAGACGTAGACACGCTCCACTTCCGCTCTTTCTGGTGCCAGAGTCTCGTACCTGTTAAACAAAATTCTTCTATGTACCAGAGAACGTCGCCGGAAGTCCTTTATTTACTGTTCCCGGTGACCCACCTAGGTGGTTCCTTGGCAGGTAGCGTAATTGTCGCTTCCGCAGCTTCGGATGTTTCAACTTGTCTGTCCTGGCCGTTGGAATAAACTACGTGTTGCTGATCCGCTGCACGTTGCTGTTCCCTGGGACTTCCGCCATGAGAAATCTGTACGTAATGCTGTTCTTGTTCATGTACTACATGCTGCTGTTGCTGTATAACCTGTTGAATGTTCGCAGCAACCGGACTTGGTTCGGGAGACTCTGGTTCAGGCTCGGCAAGGCTCTCTGTGATCTGTCCAGCCGTGGTGATGGTCCTTACGTGTCTCCTCGTGGTGATCACGCTCTGAGGACTTCCGCAAGCTTGTTCCTCGGCAGTCTGCGGAACCTGGGGAGAGTTGTTTTCCGGAGGATGGCTGTCCCACTCGACCTTAATCTCCTGCTTGACCAAAGTCTCCTTCATGGTGTCCTAGAAAAAAAAAAGATCATCAGCATCATCATCGCCAACAAGAGCACCTTCCATAACAATTTGCAAATGATCTTCCTCGAGGAAGTCTGACGTCTATTTAGTCTCGACTAAGACCGGAAGTCAGCAGTCACTAGTTAGCATTACAGCTCATTGGGGCTTTTTGCGGATAAGACTTTAAAGTGTCTAGGTCGCTGATCGACAATCATCAGAGATGACTACATGAAACACTTTTGCTTTCGTCAGAGCACGGAGGTTGTTAACTGTTAATGTAAGATTAGTCATTCGTATAAGGATGAGCGCGTTGGTCTTCCTCTTGGGCACGCGACACAAACACACCTACGCGGAGGGACGTCTTTGTGCCGGGCGGCACACCTTGTACGTCTACAGAAAAAAATGTAAGACTGTTTGCCCGGTCCGCGTCACTTCCGCCCGGCAATGTCAAGTTTCGACTTCCGCCGGTGACCCGAAGAGCACGCGTCTCCGCGGAATCACTTTTTTCTCCACATTCACGTTTCCGTCCAAGGGGGATGCGTGGGCTGATCGGAAATCCGGCTGGTACCGTATATTGATATTGTGATATCGATAATAATTTTTAGTAGCGACAAGATCGAATATCACGTTATTTAGATCATTCTCAAAAACATTGGTTGTCTTGCATGCTACGAAAATGCAAACCGTTGATAATGGAGTTTAATTCGAGAAATTTATTGAGTGACTTTGAAAATAAAAGCTATGCGGATTTAAATCTAAAAGATAGAGCGATTGGTCCTTAAGATTATCAAAGGAAAAATTACTGTTGAATGCAATAAAATAAATATGGCTGTGTCTATATTAAGAATATGCGAGCATACTAATAAAAAAGTACCGTTCACTAAAGCGAACCGTGAAAATCCCAACGTTATATACATTGCTTATAATAATAACAATATAACAGGCAAATTGTACAATTAAGAGAAAAGACCGTGCAATAAAACGATCATCATCAAAACCCAAATAAAGATGTCATCCAAAGAGCATACAATACTGTCGTACGTGAAAGCACCGCGACTGACAGAGTTAAACGTGAAAAAGAAGAAAAAAAAACTACAATCATCCAATCATATACGTTAATTATTACCTCGGTAGCAGCGTGTCTCATTTGTCCCGCGTGCGTAGATAAAAAGTGAATAATCACAAATATAGATGTCGATTTGAAGTTTTAAAAGTCATTAAAGGACCATCAAAAGTTTGAACACGCTGACGTATAAGACCAGAGAGGTTATTCCTGTTGTACGTTAAATTTGTGAATTATTTTTCCACGCTCACTATCACGTAAATATGTTTTCGTAGAGGCGACTGGAAGCCCGACGCAAGATGAAGAGATAATACCTCCAGGATGTGGTACGAGCGAGAATCAGATTCGAACTGAAGTCTAAAGCGAGTAACTAACGTGGAGGTGGTGGTTGACGGTGGCGCAGGAGGAAGAGCCATGTCGCGTGTCTAGCAGCCCCCGCTTCTTTTGCTCCCATGAAGTGGCACGCACCTGAACAGTTCGTATACTCGGCCGAAGTCGCGTAAGCGGACAGCCCGAAGTCTAAATGGAAGTTGAGAGTAAGAATGATCAGTCATTGGCCGGCCCCTAACGTCTCATTGGTCAGACACTTTTCTTCCATCGTAACACAATTGATGTCGACTCTTGACAAAACGCGAGCGATACACTGTTGAACATGGATATTCGCTAGACAGTAGCAGATCTCCGTTCCAGATCAAAGTCTAGTACAGAATTCTTTATACACGTCAGATAACCTAACCTAATAAACCGTAACCTAATAAACACGCCTGTCACTTTTATATAGCTTTCACATAGCCGTCCGTCTAACGACATAGAATTCACGCAGTCGAGTTATAACCCTAAAGACAAAAGACCTCTTTACGCGGCGGCACTAGTTGGGGTAACTAAAAAGTAACGTCTGGTGGGTAAGGCAGGGAGAGTACTACGTGAAGCAAGGTAACGACTTACGGTTTAAAATTTGATGTCAGTTGTAAATATTATTCTAATAAAAATGTCATTGTCTTGTGTAATATTGTGTGTATAATTATTCTCGACATTGTTACCGGTGCTTGAGTATTTTTTCTTTATGATTTTTACACCGAGTCGACGCAAGCAGTCTTACCGTGCTGGGTGTTAAATCGTAGAACGTAGACGAACGATAGAAAAATGTGTACAGCGCGTGTAGAATTTTTTCCAATCTACATTTTTTTATTTTCGAAAGAGATCGACAGGAGGGGATTAGGAAAAAAAAAAGAAGGAAAATTGTAACGCTTCTCCTGATTGACATAAAGCCTACGGAGGGGTCCGATGTTTGTTCTTTGATAAGACTTGCGACCAGGCTTCCAAGAGATAACGCGTCGTGTTGGCGGCCATTGCAACCTCGCCATTTTGTATCCCTGGCTACAAGGTTGACTTTCGTCTCGAGGGATGATGATTCATCGATTTATTAGGCGCGTCCGAGTGCGCAAACAACTTTGTCGCACGTAACGCGAAATGAGAACAAAACCCGATCCTAGGCGTCCTTCTACACTCTGATTCACTTTACAAGCCGTGCGTCACCGAGGAGAAAATTCAGTGATAACTAGTTTCGCAAGGGGTAGGTCTTTCCATGAAAGTTTCCCTTTACGTATACCTTAACGTCATTTTGGTCAAACGACCGTCCAATATTGACGACGACGAGTGCAAATCTTCTTCGTGTTGAAATACACGAACTAGACACAATACTTTTTTATTTCCATATAAATATATCTAACAATTTATCATCGATTAATATTCCATTAAGATTTATCAATTTTCGAAGATTTCAGTCATGAAAAAAATCCACTTTTGTGAGAAACGAAGCACGTCATGAGGTAATAAAAAATTGCACTGAATTAAATTACGCTCGCAAGGTCGAGATATTTTTTTACTTTACCATTACGTAAAATCTTGTCAATAGTCCATTTTCGTTTGAGATATCAGCGATCTGTCGAAATGATTTACTGGGACTCGATCCATCTCACAACCCGCTTGATGCTACTATGACGACACTCGTACCTCGTTAAATGTTTCTCTTGGAAAAATCATGATAAAGTTAATTGAAATTTCGTAAGATACATGATAGATAGTAGACACGTCGACAAGTAGTCAATTGGTCATCGATTAGTCTGTTAACAGATAAACAATCGATTCAGTCATTTAATAAAATGATACAATAACTTTTTTTTAATTTTCCAAATTTTTTCTAAAAAAATAAACCATTAGGCATTCCCGTGTCTTCAGCTTCCATATACAACTGGACTAATCGGATAGAATATTTAAAAATTTTCAGACTGTTATAATTTCAAAAATAAAATGGCGCCCTGCTTCCATATTAAATATATATATATATATATACACTCTATGTTAAAATACTAAGTAAAGAATGGATGACAAAACCCTATATGGTATTTGCAATTGGATAAGAAAGTTTCAATGGAATCCAAGATCCATTCCCCATGAAGATGGATACGGAAGATGGTAAGAAGGTGAAGTCAGCCATTTAATGCTCGAGAGAGGTTAAAGTCTTCGGGGTCACCGTACCGAAGAACGAAGGCTGCAGGAGTCTCCACAAGATAGGAGGGCTGATACCGACGATAGGGAGAGCGTTGTCAAAATAAACCACACTATCGCGATTTATCTCGTTTCCCATGATAATAAGAGATAAAACTGCATCATTACATTAGCTAGTATCAGCTAAAATGATAATTTCAGTCGCCGTGGCCGCCAGGAACGCGTAGGGCTGTTCTTGCGACTGTTCCTCCCTGTCCAGTTAAACAGCAACCAGGATTCCCTCGAGTCCAAGACGCGAGACGCCATTTTAATCGGAGTGACAGATCGAGTGAAAAAGATGCTGGATACATAGCAATCACCCAGTGATCATCCCTCGGATCGTGAAGTGTCAGAAATCTAGTGCTGAATGGGCCAAGAAAGAATCAACAAAAAAAAAAGGAAAAAATCAGATATAAAAAAAATTCATGATTTTTTGGAACCCAAAAAAGTGTTCGAAAAAAAAAACTTTTTTAATATCCTAACCTAGAATCAAATATTATCTTCATGACAGTGCATGTGCGTGTGTCTGCGTACCGACTCATCAATTAATCCCCAGCGACATACTGATTTACAAAAGGATTATTCGCCGTCCGACCCCACATGCCGCCTCGATGAAAATGATTATTGACGACGAAAAAAGAATGCAGGGTGAGGGAGTCCAAAAAAAAACACGTAGCGATCGACTCGAGTGGCTTGCGTCATCGCTCGACTCGTTTCTAGCCGCCATTTTATCGCTGAGAATCTTTATCGAATGGCGAACACGGCACGTAGCCTCAAGATCGCCGCGTTGCGATATCGCACGGCGGATCTACACGATTTTATTTTCTTTTCTTTTACGACCAACGTCAAAGCCCACGTCTCAGATATCTGCTTCAGCCACTCGAGTGAGCGTCCATTTTCATTAAAAAAAAAAGAAAAGAGAAGGACAGACAAGAAAAAGTCCAATGACGACCGAAGGCAGTAATTTCTCTTTCCGTCGTGCGAAGTTGCGCGATTGAGGATTCAAAAAGATTCAAACGGACAAACGTACCAACGGTCGTTCGATTCTTGGAAACGAGGCCTTTCGCGCCGAGCGCCAATGGCGTCCTAGACTGTTCTTTAACGTTTCCATGAATTTTACAAGCCAAGTCATCGTCATCACGATGGTTTACGATATTTCATAAAGATTCATCGTGTAATCGTCTAAATTTACGACGTCGCCGTAGCTCTTTCACGCCAGACACGCAATTAACGTTACCAACGTACCTGACAAATAAACGTTCTTATATTCTTGTCGCGAATAACGACAAACGCCGCCATTCTTTCCGACTAAGCGTCTTGTTGTCTTGTAAAACCTTAAGTAAATCCAGATACTATTAGTTGCTAGGCGCGACGGCGTCTTTCGTAGATGAAATTGTCCTTGCGGGAGTAAGAGAAAACGAGAGAAAACGGAGACGGACGAAAAAACAGGCGTTAGACGTAGGAACGTTAATTTAAATTTGAAAAGTTACAATTTCGCATGCAAAAATTTTTTTTAATTATGTCAAATCATCGTACACAGATCATTGACGCTGATTCGAGTCATTAATTTTTTTTGAAATCTCACTTGGAATTAGTTGTTTGATTAAATTATTTTTTTTCCTATAAACTTCTTTTTTTATCACATAATTTTAGGGGTTATCGCGATTTGGCATTGTCCGGGATCGAGAGAACGTCTTATGGCCAATTTCTTCACCTTCGGATAAAATTAATCCGGCGGATAAACTTCTAAAACTTGAAATTGATTGGTTAGCTGGGAATTTATGGGACAAATTTTATCCGAAGGTGAAGAAATTGGCCGTTAAAGATCACTCTGGTTCGAGCTGTACTTCGAATGGACGTGAACGCGTCGCGACGCTACGGAAAGGCATCTCTTCTCGTGGGCTCTGTCCACGGACCCAAGAATTAGCGTACGACAAACAGTATTATCACCATTGTCTGATATTATTCCCATTATCTTATATGTACAGCGGCTATGTGCTTAATGATTAATAAAATATTATCTACATCAGGGGTATCTTCCTGGCGACGGATAGTTTCGTATCAGACGCGGTGTGAGCACCAATTCTGTCATTTCGTGAGAATCCGACGGTACGCGCGAACTAGATTTACGAATCGTCGGGATTTGCGAACGCGGCGAATACGCGACACCGTGAGTACGAGACGCGAGTACCACTGGAATCATACGTTTGCTTGAGAAAGAAGAAAGCACAAACAAAAATTCTTTGCAACGGAAGACGAAAATAAGAAATCATTAACCTAAAAAAAAATCATGGTAAGTTTCAACCCATCTATAGAAGTGTTTACGTATACGTGCCATAGATCATGCCCGAGATTCGAATTGAAATGAGTACTCGAAAAAGAAATTAAATAATAAAAAGATAAGTCAAGCAGCAACATGTCGCAACGTAGAAATCGAACGTCTCGAATGTCGCGTTGGATCAAAATAAAGCAGCGGTAACAGTGCCCCCGAACGTTTTCAACGAAACATTCGTACACGCGTATGTACACACATTCTGTCTTTTCATAATCCAGAAATAATACGCACGTGCGTCCGTGAAAACGTGTGCCGTAAGGCTGAGCGATGAGAAAAGACGCCCGGCGACGGCGGCAGGGATTTTTAAAAGGGCGTGAGCGACGATCGACACTCGAATTTACATAGTTGAACCGAAAAACCGTTTAATAACTTAACCTGGCATTTAATCGGGGATCGCGCAGGCAGAGACTCTATCGCGAGAAGCAATTTTTCTCGAGTAAAAGTGAACGTGCAGCGTACATCTTCGAAAAGAGGAAAACAATTGTGGGTGATAGGTGGAACGTCTGCGGGACGTGATTCCCAGTTAAGTGGTTAAATATATGGGGAAAAAGAATAATATGATAAACTTACGTCTCGTCTGTACGGAGCGTGTAGAAAACGACGTCAGAGCGAATCTTCAATTGAGTGCGAGTGACAGTGTGGTGTTTGTGGGAATGTGTGCTTGACACAGGTGTTCGAGGTGTGAAGCAGCAGCGCTGCTGCCGCCTGGTAGCGCAACTACGAAGCGATTTGATGCAAGAACCCGTCAAATATTGACTGACGATTACCGAGGGAACGTTGATGGTTTGTGTTAGGCAGCCATCTTGGTTTATGGGTGCCCCTCCTAGGCGCGGACACCAAGCTAAAGAGTACGGGTAACCCTGATGCACCCTTATCGTACGTGATCAAACATCCCCCTCTAGAACTTTATAACCAACTGACGAATAGAGGGGGGCACAAAATTTAACATGGTATTTACAGATTCTCGACGCCATCATGGAAATTCTTCTGCCCTGCATTCATGTCACTGGCTCTGCAGCATCCACCGTAAAAATCCGTGGACAGATACTCGTGAGGTTTCCCGTCTCATTAACTATCTTCTTTACCCGTGGACATTAGTTCAATTCGAATCTGCGAGAGCGACCGTAGCCCAGTGGGTACTGTCGCGGATTTTTAACCGGAAGAGTCGGGGTTCGCGTCTCTGGTTTCACACCAACAAATTCTCTCGCCAAATGTGATATTTCGTCAACACCTAAATTTATTCATAGGATCTTTACTCAGCACTGATATCTAAACTCTGCAGGTCCTCGCACTTGTCTATATCAGATCTCGCGAGAGACTGATATTAATAGCTGTTAATTACTAGTACATTAACCCACCAGGGATAAAACGATAAGAAAAGGACTCTGCCGTTATGGAGGCGACTACAGCCCAATGGATTACTGTCACGTATTTCCGATCGGAAGTATTCAGACTTCACGTTCTACTCCTACAAGCATATTTACCAATGGATTTTTCGCAGACGCAAGTAACCGAACACTGTTCAGAGTTGATAATGAAATTCTTGAGGTCCTCACACTTGCCACCTATAAGGTCTTCTCTCATCAGGTATATCAATAACTTCCACGAACTACTTCCGATTGAATTGGACCGAGTTACTGGTACGTTAAATCCATTGGAAAGGAATGAAGGAATCTGCCGTCAGGTAGCAACTTGCGTTTGTTTGTCCCGGGTTATTTTTACAAGGTGAAAAAAAAAGGTAGAAGCTTACTCTCGACGATGCTTACCATGGGCTAGTTTACTTTGGATGTTAGTATGCGAAGTATAGTCGAGGCTCTCTTATCATGGGGTGTTGTCATGGTTACAGAGCACACACGGGATCTGTACTGATAAAGCGGTCAGGTGAGATATTTTCACAAGGCAAAAGCCCCCAACTTGCATTATTACATTGGATTATAGGTTAAAGCGTCGCTTGCGTATGAAACTGACGCGGGAAAAAAGAAAGTGTGTTACGCGATCGTCCTATCACCCCGTGTACAAGATACAGAGTAAAACGACGTAATTGCGAGATCTCAAGATGGCCGCCGTGCGAGGTACTGGCGTTGCAGTAAGAGCATTTTACCTTTAAATATCCCGTTTTATTTTAAAAATAACTCATGACTCGATACAACACTCGTAAAATATATTATATCAAATATATTAACGTAGTCGCAAGCTTGGTATGTATTTCGTTACTAGAAAAAAAAAGAGATAAACGATGGATATCACCTTTTGATACTTTTTTTTTTGTTTCTTTCTTTCATTGTTTCTTGCCATTGCTATTTAACACTCCTCGCGCGCACAATCGCGTGCTCGTTTCACTGACTTCTGCTACTTCTTTCGTTCTATCTTTTTATTATATTCCAAGTTTCCTTATGATTTCTTTACTCAACTATTCACACTACGTCACGCACCTTAAATTTACCATAACTCTATGAACTACAAGGGGCATCCAGTATGCTGGACAATTTACTTATCTCCTAGACACATCTTATGCCTGAAATTACCAACTAATTATTTTCTTGGACACACATATATATATGTGTGAAAATTGTAATATATCTTTAATTAGGCCTAAATTAACAGTAACGGTTCTAGCAGCTCCAGTAGAGCCATATCCGATATACATAATAATTAATGCGATCTATTTACAAAGATAATTATTATTGCAATTTGGTGTCTTTAATTAATTAATTGCAGGAGCTGGTAATAAAAGTCGTCTTTGGTAATGAAGAGAAGAAACGTGTTTTTTTGTTTTCATTTTTTTTTTTTTTCTTTCCTGCTAATCCGTGCACCTTCGTCGGCGAGTCCTTAAGCATTTATATCCTGACAAATATTTACAAGAACGGGTCCATTCATCCATTTCCCTTCAACGTCCTGTCACCAGTGAATATTTCATTCACGACTGATGACGCTGATTAATCAATAAGACTCGTGTCAATAATATCAACACTTCCCGGCTGCACATTGCTCGAGCCTAGTATAATATTAGGATGTACGTGCATCCTATCGATACGGAATGATTAAACTATTTTGTCTTTTTTTTGTTTATGCATTTTAACGCATCTACATAGGCAGTATACCCTATGTACTTGCTCAATTAATTTGGCGAGAGTTCTTAAGGTCTAATAAGCGTTACGAGCTTGACAGCGCGTAAACAGGTAATTATGTAAATATCGTAAAATCGCGAGGAACGCCGATCGGTCTGGCATTGGAAAAAAAAAATCCATCAGAAAATTCAAAGAAAATCGACCAATCCATGACTTGTATAGAAGAAGTAAGCGAATTGACCTTAATCGAAAAGGTCTAAAAATTTACAAAAACGTTTTTCCATCCTCGCAAAAATTCATATTCGCGAAAGAGAATGTCTCAGTCTCGGAATTAGTAAAATATGAGATTACGCGCAGCGCAAATAACGACGCTTGTATATGTGTCTCACGTTGAAAACGTCTAAAAGCTAGGAATAAAAAATAAATCGCACGTTCAAGATCTCGTTCTAAAGACGTCCCCGAGTCCTGATATCTCGAGGAGACCCGACGCCATCGGAGGCGACCAGCAGTCAACAAGTACAACAATGCGAAAAACGTGAGAAAATCCGCTTAATCAATCAATTACGCCGTGCCCGGTCGAGGCGTCGCTTAATTTTACCGTTCTTATCGAGCGAATAGCCTCGCTCTTAGAAAAGGAAATAAAAAGAATGATACACGCACGCACGAACGAATGATAGCGTCGCAAGATTACAAATAGATTTTTAGACTTGGCCGTTGTTGGCGAACGCCGCCAGGTGGCAGCACCGTACGTGTCCCAAAGCCCACGTACGTACCTGGCAACCATAAATGTGCATACACTCGCGATCCTTATACAGTCAGGTTGTACGTTAAGAGAGAAAACAAAAACCAAATGGTAAGTCCTATTTACAATAACTGGCCATGGTCCATTTTTTAGGATTATGCACATAGAGCCACAAACGTAACTGTGCACCGAATCCACTCAAGTATTATGTACACAATTGATATACATATATTATTATGTGTTAGGCAGGCCGCTATTCGAGGAGCGAAGAAGAATGGTCCCGGAAAAGCTCATACAGCGAGATCACACAGTAGATGGGTCCACGTTCATCGGGATTCTCATCCCTGGATCATTCGCTAATACGATATTCTTAGGACGATATCGATACAACGGTGGGTCTCTCCAGGTGACCGTTGTCCAGCATGATCTTATTACTAGCATGACTGGGTGACGAGTTTCCCAGGGTGACGATGTGGGACGACGTCAGCTGATGATGATCCGGAGAGTGTCCAGCGGATACCACCACCGGCGAACGAGTGGTACAAGGTGGAGATGGATATTCGACCTTTAGCGAATGGCCTTCGATGAGATGCTGATGCTGATGCTGTTGCTGAGGATGCCAGCAGGGGTAGACTGGTAACGAAAGAAGTAAAGAAAGTTGGTTACTTGGTATATACGTTTTTAAATAATTCAAGTTCGTTCATCGCCCGTCAACCAACCTGGTTCCAGCTTCACACTGTTATTGTTGTTGTTGTTGTTGTTGTGATTGATAGAGCACGGAGCAACTGGTCCAGATATCGGAGTGTCCGAAGACTTCGTGCCACCCTTGGGTTTTCGCTTGCGGGTCTGAATGTTATCCTTCTTCATGGCAAGAGGTCTGTTAACCCCGTGAAGCTTGAAGTACAATCCGCAGGCGTTGCACACGGGTTCGCCGCACGTGTTACGACGCCACAAGGACGTCGTGGTCGTCTGGCAGTTACTGCAAGAGAGACCTACGCGCCTCGAAGCCGACTGCGGAAAGACAAGACAATTAATATATTTATTTATAAAGTACGCTTGCTTAAAATTTTTATTGCTACTATTTTTTTTTTAATTATTCTCATAGGACAAAACGGTCGATCAGACCACCGAGCGATCGTCTCGGACGGAACTCATCAGACTCAATGAAAAGGACGTGCGTGACTTCTATAAAGCGTTCGATAGTTCTCTCTCGAAACCAGAAAGTTCATCTAAATAGCAAATACGGTATTGACCAAAAATCTTATATGAATTTCGGGAAAAAAAAAAAAAAAAACGGCTCAAACAAATAAGCCAAATACTTCTTGCACAGATAAGTAACCGAAGCAACCGGTGGTGTAATTTAAGAATTTGTATTGCTGTCGTTATTTTCCAAAAAAATCTTCAACCCAAATAGTAACATCCTACATAAGTTTATTGGCTCGTCTGGCAGTTAATGTGTCAATGACGAAGCAGATTGCTCATTACTTTTTTTTTTTTCCAAAAAAAAAAAGATATATGAAAACACCACGTAGGGACCTTCTTGCGTTGCAAAAGTCACGTATAATCTTTTCTCTATGATACGTTCACTCGCAACAGCATCCCACAGAGTTACTGATGCGTTCCATACTTGTTTTCTGTGCAAGATCATTGAAGCAATGGACCAGTGTCAAGCAGAAGGCATCCGTCGCGAAGTCACACGCTCGTCTGTAAAACTCATTAAGACAAAATTTACATTAAGATGAGCTCCGTATTACCGAGACGAGGCTGGGCGTGATTTCGGGAAGGACAGTGGTTACCATGGGTATAGTGGCACCTCAAGCTACGAGAGAATATCTACAGATAGTTCGTTGTTAAACGATCGACTACTGGCAAAGGGAGAATTTCCTAGATCGAGAGAAGAAGAAATGATGGAGATAACCAATCGCTAGAAGATTTCGGATCGATGATATAAAAATAATTTTAAAAAAAGGTCAAATCAACGATACACGGTCTAGCGATGGGTTTTCATTTACGAGGATGCAGTTAGGACTCAGACATATACCCGGTGTCCTGAAATTTCAATTTTTCTTTTTTTTTTCGTTTTTCTCAAATTCATCAACATCATCCGATCGTCTTCAGGCACCATTTTCCTACCCCTTGGTAACACTGATCAACCGTGAATTTTCTTATGCAGAAATTCCATCATCGACGGCAAGTCCTAACTGCTCCGCCATGAATATCGTTGGGATAACAAGAGGAGGATAACGAAGGTTATGGAACGTCGAGAAGAAGATGAAGAATAAGAGAAAAGATGAAAGTGTAAACAAGTATGAAGATAGTACGTGAAAAGTTACGTTGTGATAAGGATGAGAGAGAGAGAGAGAGAGAGAGAGAGAGAGAGAGAGAGAGAGAGAAAGAGAGAGAGAGAGAGAGCGAAAGAGAGATAGATAGATAGATAGATAGATAGACAGATATAAAGAGCGAGAGAGAAATAAAAAGAAAAGAGAGCCAAAGAAAATAAAAGAAAATGCTGGAGAGCGAGAGAGAGAGAGAGAGAGAGAGAGAGAGAGAGAGAGAAAGAGAGAGAGAGAGAGAGCGAAAGAGAGATAGATAGATAGATAGATAGATAGACAGATATAAAGAGCGAGAGAGAAATAAAAAGAAAAGAGAGCCAAAGAAAATAAAAGAAAATGCTGGTATTTTGTCTTTGGGGGGGGGG